GGTACTTCATTTTGGCTTTGACTAACGGTTTCCGTGACACAATTTTGAGTTCCAGCTTGCAACTGAGCTTGCTATATGATGAGATAGCGGAGAGAACTTGAGTTAGTACTAAACCATACACCTATATACAACGAATATAAACTATGATACATGTATATATCCTACCAAAACTGGAACATTCGTAGACGCAGTGTTGTTAATACTATTAGCTGACTTTTGTTGGAAAACTAAAATTCCAGATCCATTGCAGGAGCTACCATCGGTTACTGACATTGTAGAATTGTCAATTTGTACAGAGGTGGAAGCATTTGATCCACCATTGGTCAAGGATTGCCCTGGACTCATTGATGTAGCTTCAGTCTGGGCAATAACTTGTGGTATATTTGTTGCATCTACGCATGTCAGATTATTTTGTGCAGATGTGGTAGCTTCTGACATGGCTTTCATCGAGGCTACCTGACCAGCTAAAGTATTTAACTGTCCTTGAGCTCGTGATAAGATCTGAAACATTATTATATATGTTGCATCGAAACAATGTTACTTAAAATTGACTGTAAATGCAACGAACATTGTTTCAGTGGATTATTTCTCAAATAACGGTTACTCACCTGCTGCGCCACATGTTGAGACTGAGCTTGCTGTAACTGCTGGGCTACTAATTGCGCTGCCTTTGCTTGCTGTGCCTGTAACAAAATCTTTGTTTAAAAACTATATGAAGTCATATTTGTAAAAATTTGTTAAATATAATTTCTAGAAAAAAATGTATACCTGTTGATGTGCTCGTTGCATACCAGGTGTACACGTTACACGAGGGACCTGCCCTGGTACAACATGCTTTATTCGAACATTCTTCCTACCTTCCTCCGTGAAAATTTCTGTGAACTGTTGGATGTAATGATTTGCAAGAACCCTTGTACCTAACGTGAACCTGTAAAAGTATTAAATTGTCAAATTTAATAAGAACAAAATGAACATTTCGTTCGGGAGAATAAAATTCATTGAACGATGTACTCACCGACATGCAGATCCGTTTGTCTCTCCTTCGCGATGGTTCTTGTCCATATAAAGCTCTCCCAGGTACTCAGAATTAGAAGGTCTTTGCAGAATTGAGAGCTTTATGTGATCTATTTCACCTTGACTTCCTCCTGTCTCTAATATATATTCTTCTATAACTTGTGGCAGGCAGTCTTTTGTTTCTCGCGGGCGTTCGTATGCTTTTGCAAATCTATGATGTAGAAAATATTGTAACATTAATGAGAAAAAAATAAGTTAAAAGAAAAATTTCTTATACCTTAGAACATCAATGGGTGTATTTGGTGGAAGTAAAGGAGGGTTTGTAAGAGAAGGCGGTGGGCAGGCAGTGGTCGTAACTACTCCTCTTTTTGCTCTTAATTTTTGCATCAAGTCTTGTATTGTTAATCCTTCCGGTTGTGCTAATTGTTCCAATTTTCTTTTGCGATTTACTGTGACCTATTATAAATAATAATACTTTAAACTGCAACTAGCAGAATAAATATATAGGTACGAAACTTTGTATATTACTGAGTGAAATATACAAGAAGCAATGAAACAAATTTAATTACCTGAGAAAATTTTTTGGCTTGTCGCATAAGCTGATGATCTGTAAGCAACGATTTCGACTGTCGTAGTCTAGTTGTAGCTAGACTAGGAATAGGATTTGGATCCAGGCATAGAGGTCCTTGGGTAGCTGCGATTAAGTGTGATTCTAACATTAATCGTTCCTCGTGACTCCAGTCCCCATCGCTAGTTAAAGTTGACACATCTGACAGTACGCTCTAAAATGTTTTAGAAGATACATTAATCTATTGAATTCTTCTCAGTCCTTAGTTTCTTAAAACAACGGTACATTCTTACCTGTGTTGTAGGTTTAAGAAGCACATGGTGAACTTCAGCTTTAGTATGAGGAAATGCTTTCCTGTAATCGCGAACTTCAGCTATGATGCAACCATCATAAAATAAATGAGAATGACTGGTTTCCAGTTGCTCTGCTAACATTGCAGGTAACTGACCATTGTCTATACACGAAAGCAATTCACCCTGTTCATAACCCATCAGTTGTGTTTCAGCTAATATTGTATTTTTATCATATTGATTCCCCTTATCGCTGTTGAATTGAAATTATATAATCAGTAGAAGAAATATAAAGCTGTTATAAATGATACATACATAAGAAAATGTAATATTATCCATTAAGTCTATTAATTTACTGTTATACATTTCTCACCTATTTCTTACAGCTAATGAGTATCCTTTATTACCAGCATAGAGATTAACAATTAATGTGTGCAAACCCTCTCTTTGCACCAATCTTCCCAAAAGATCACATTCATTTGCAAGGTTGTTCTGTACAATTCGAGAAATAAACAATTTATTATAATATTAGTGTTAATTATTAAATATTCTGATAGATATTATCAGATACATGAACAGTAAACGTACCAAGACTGAATCAGGGGTGGCATGAGGAACTTTAGTAAGTTCTTCAAAATATAATCTAGTTAATTTAGACTGTATGCTATGTTTAGAATGACTCTGTTCCTTTTTTTGAGTAGATGACTTGTCAGATGTTAAACTCAAAGAATTTTGTCCTTGAACATTTTTCCAGCATTTAGACACTTGATTAATCATATCCTACAGACGAAATGTAAATAGACAGATAAATAAACATGATTTTGTGAAATATACATATATAACCAGTTGCACCTAATAAAATTTGAAATATTACAATACCTGAGCCTGCCGACACGCATCTTCTAAGCTACAGGCTGTACCAATCATTTTAATTTCTGATTACTAATACCATTTAATGTCATATCTGATATAATAATAAATCTTCATGATCTGAAAAGATATCAAATTTTAATATTGAAAACAGATGAATATAATGTAGGACACAATTTTAATTTTAAGATAAATAAAGCCAACATGAAATATAGTTCATTTTATGGACATACAGATAAAGTAAAGTTCATTAATTAAATCATATGTTAAAATATGAATTTTTTTTCTTTTATTATTTTAACTATAATAATAATATTTTTAACAATTAGAAGTAACATGTTCATTCATGCATTAAAACATCTAAGAAAATCGAGGTAACATTAATTGTTTATGCTATTTATTCATTATGAATTAAATGTAATGAATGTGATATATTTTGTTACCTCTTTTAAAAGTAAAATTAACTAGATAGAAAGTTAATAATAACTGGATAGTTAGTTTATTATATTAACTATATAGTTAATATAAAGGAATTATATAAATTATCATAATGAACATGTAATCACTAATACATTAATTAAAATGATATTTAAGTCATAAATTATTAAGTGTATAAACAATAAGAAACAATTGAGGAGGATGCTCTTAAAAACAGACCTTCCTATACACAAACACAGAATCTAAGGATACCATTCATTCTAATATGTATAAAACATCAAATACTTTATAGATAAAACTTAATATACATATCGTTTATTGATGAGTCTAATAAATTTCTTATCTCATCTATAGAATATTATAATAGCTATTTCAAAATATAGTAAGTGTGATAATTGTGATAAATCATAATAGTAAAAGACTAATGATCGAAAACTGATGTCAACGGTTCAAATTTAACAAAATAAAAAGTTATTTACAACAGAGAACTGAATGTACAAGAATATACTTTAACCACAGCGTGAGTCTACCGAATGTCAAAACAAGCACGCTACATGAGAGGTTATGTAAATGTTTGTGAATAAACTCTACGTACAGCCGCACAGTTTCAGTAAAATATACGTATTACACTATTTACCTTCAAAGGATCGGAAAAGCGATTTAATGGTAAACATTGGACACAGGATGTGGCTCAAGTCAATTTCCTCATCATAACCTCACACCAATTGATAAATAACACACGGGTTTACAGATAGTGAGAATGCTTGTCAACGAGTCCTGATGTTTAACGGAAATTATTTGGCGTCGAATAAATAATATTTACATATTAGAAACGTCATTTTAGGACACAATGTAACCTATTATACAAACAGCACACAAGCATAGACTGGAAAACTAATCACATTTCTCTCTGGCGAGATATTCAATTTACATTTCACAAGCTCAGCCAACATTGGACACCTAAGGCACCTAAGGGCGAGCTTGATGTTTCGCATACGACGCGGTTTTTTTGGAAACAAGAACAGACGCATACAACAAAGGTTTAGTGGTAGAAAAAAGAAATAATATTACTGAAGTCTTAACAACTTTTTGACAGATTTCTTTTTGAGAAAATTAACTACAAATGACTTGTTCGTTTTAACTTATTTAGTAAAAGATGAAGTTTCTTCTCTTGAATATCATGTTGTATTGAGATTGTACTTTTCTTTTTATAAAAATAAAATTGATAATCTGATGATTTGTGATATAATATTTTTTAGTTATCAAATGCATTGTTTAGTGATAAATTGATCAGATTGGGATTCTATTAGTTGTTCACAGTTGTCCACACTACTACGATTAGGGGTGAATCGGTACCCTCACGAGCAAACTCGGCTTCCGCTAGGGGAAAAAGTGATGTAAGGGAAAGACTTCCTACCACTTGGTCTCGGAGTTATTGAAACTTATGCGAAATTAACATTCGGTTTAACATTTATTTCAGTATTTGAAATAAATTTACTAAGTGGTAAGAGGCCTTTCTCTTCCGCTAGGGAAAAAAGCGGCGTAGAATAAAAGTCTCCTACCACTTGGTAAATTTATTCCAGAAGAATGAAAGAATTTAAGCATAGACATAGAAATATAGACTGCGCGTCTGATTACCATTGGTGCCCCCCAGTTAGATTTAAAAAGAAATGCCAACTCTTTCGAAAGCTATCTACTTCTTTTTAAAGTTGGTTTGTCCGTTTCAGGCTAACGCGCAGTTTATATCAGTCTATATTTCTATGTCTATGGCGTCTATGGTATTAACACCTGCAAACAGTGACAAATAGTAATGTTTGGTAAACGAGGTTAGAAAGTGTATAACACGTTTCGTGTTTTGTAATCATGCATTTAGATAAAAGAAAGTTAATAGGTACGTTGTTGTGTATTAAAAATAATTTTACAATTACCATCATCCATGCTACTGTGTATTGGTCAGTTACAATTAATATAGGTTAAGTAATCAGTTGAAACTAAAAGTAGATAATTTGCAGGCAGATTTATTAGTAATGGTAATGACAGTGATGATAATTACAATAGTGATGATAGTGATGATATGCAAGGATCCTCAGATAGTGAGGTCACAGTAAGTAGCAGTAATGAATCGGAATCAGAAGATGAAAGACACGAAGAAGTGAATTCAAATAATAATGAAGTTTATGCCCATGCAAGTATGTATTACAATCATTCGTATTCGGATAATATAAATCCATAAATACTTATAAATCAAATTTATAAGAAATATATTGGGATTATAAGGTAGCGACACAGAAGTAGTTCCATTAAATGAAGATGAAGAAGAAGATGAAGTTGTAAAAGCCATAATTAGATCAAGAGATCCAGAAAAGAATCATCCACCTCCTATCACAACAGAGGAATATATTGTGGATATATGTTTCCATCCTAATTCAGATATGATTGCTGTAGCTAACATAATGGGCGATATATACATGTAAATTTTACATTTGTTAAACTGTGAAATATAATATAACTTCATTCATGTGTATCAAATGTTCAAAGTAAATTCTTTACGCATTAGGTACAAGTATAGTAATACAGAAACAGAACTTGTTTCAACATTGGAATTACATCTCAAAGCATGTCGTGATATAGAATTTAGTGAAGATGGAACAACTTTATTTTCAACTGCCAAGGACTTATGTATAATGCTTACCGATGTAGAAACTGAGGAGATAAAACGATTATATGAGAATGCACATGAGTATGTATAAAATAATCCTTTTCAATGCTGGAACTTTATATACATATGAGATTGATAATTGATGTATGTATACATCCTAGTGAACCAGTATACACAATGACTGTAATTGGAGAACACATGTTTGCAACTGGTTCAAGTGTGGGATCTTAGACAAAAGGGAAATGTACCAGCATTTTCAATAAAAAAAATGGAAGACTATGTAAGTTCTATTATAACAAACACAGATGCAAAATACTTAGTGTGTGCAAGTGGAGATGGTTCTGTGACCACATTTAATATCCCAGGAAAAAAATTACATGTTCAGGTACATATTTGTGAATAATAATCTGTCGTCTAATTTATTTTCTGATTTCTATAGTATGTATGTCAATAGTCTGAAGAATATGAGGAGGAGTTAACGTGCCTTGGCTTATTCAAACATGAAACAAAAATTATGGTGTGCAGTAGTAAAGGAAAAATGTACTTGTACAATTGGGGAGAGTTTGGTCTTCATTCTGATGAATTTCCAAGCGTAACTAAGAACGCTATTACCTGCATGGTTCCGATTACTGAAAATGTAGCAATCACAGGAGGAGAAGATGGAATACTCAGGTAACAAATCGTCTAAATTTTGAATCATAGAAATTCGTTCAAGGAAAATAGTAATATAATCATTGTATTAATACGCAGAGCTACTAGCTTATTTCCTCGTAACAATCTTGGAATAGTGGGACAACACAATTTTTCCATTGAAGCAGTCGATGTAAATAGTGATGGTAGTATGATCGCATCTTCTTCGCATAACAATGATATCAAATTTTGGAATGTACAGTATTTTGAAACGTTAAATGTCGCTGAGCGTGTGAAAGGTGGAAAACAAAAACAATTGAAACATAATCTTCCGAGCAGTAAAGTTGATAATGCGTCGAATTTCTTTTCAGACCTTTAAAATACGGTCACGAGTAATAATCTTAAAATTACAGTTTTAAATAGGATCGTACATAGATGGAATCACTGAATGTATTGTACGTTGTTATCGAACATTGTCTCGCAAGAAATGTTAATGTACCATATTTTGATATATAAGATTGTTTCTATGATAGCTTAATTGCCATACATTTATACTGAAACAGAATAATGTATTACACATAATTGAATATGACAATAAAACTACATATAAATATTTAAAAGAATCACATATTAGAATTGTATGAGACCATTTTATAAGAGTGTAGAAATAAAAATTTAATTCTTTTTTGCATGAACAGATCAGAGCATTCAGTGTGCATGTTTAGTGTATAATAAACTAAATAAAAAAAAGGAAGAAAGGAGTACAAAACTTAAAGTTTCATAATGTTGTATATCTTCCTAAAAATATTATTAACTACACACTTTGGAACATCAATTTGTAACCATTGCATTATACAATTCGTAATTTATAATAAGTTACTTATTATAGGATTTTTACTTTTAAAGCAGTAATAGAAGTTCCTTAGGTATTGATTAAATAAGATTACAAAAATCTTTCTTTAAATAATAATAAAGATTCACTGGCTATTTATCGCTGTGGTTACAAATATTTCGTACACTTTGTAATTTTGACTTAATCGCTAAAAAAATGCTCATAGCAGTTTGAATACAATACGATATAAACAAAATTTAAGAACTCATAATATATTATGAAATTTGAAGTATTTTTACTATTATAAATTAGAATAAATAATACTGATATTGCATAACACTTAACATAAAGATCTGAAATTTGATACAAAACTGGATCATCCTAATTTTAAAGACTTTCCTCGAGTCTTTGGGTAATAAATTCTTGTACAGGTATAAAGAAATAATTAATAATAAAAAATACTATTATACATTAACATCATACATGAATGTTCTTATCGATTAATTTCAAATATGTTAAATATTACCAGTATTTTTTTGTAGTAATACACCATGCACAAACAAGCAGAATATTCATCGTCATAAAAAGAAATGCGTTATGATTTCAAGTGCTCTGTAATTTCTTTCTACAAAAGCAAAAAAGGTCTGAGCGGTTTTAATAAAATATTTGGTGCGATAAATATTATTCAGTTAACGATACTTCGATATTAAATATACTGATAAGAAGATAGAATGCAATTTAATAAATGCTTAATATTTATTTTTAAAAAATCTTAAATAAATACTTAAAAACGTTCTTACATTACGACCGTTACGTTATTACTCGTGAATACGAGCTGTTTAAAAAGTGGTACTCAGCCTTAATTACGTTGTATTACAAATATGCATGCCTGTAATTTTTTACTTTACTGATGATTCATTTGACGTAAATATTCCGGCGTGTGATAGTGTTGCTGCTGTGCATGAGCGAGCGAGGGATGAATCGGAGGTGGAAAACATCGAACGTGTTCGACACTTGTCGCATCGCTATCTCCGCTTTTCAAGTACTTATTTAATACAGCGAAAATTTGCGAATTTAATACTTGGAATCTTCTAATTCTATCCACCATTCTTTTCAAATGCTATTTAACACAAACAAAAAAAGGGTAATTTATAATTTATATAGTAGAATATATTCAATTAAACACTTATACGTGGGTACTTACAATCCCTTTAACATTTTCGTCTTTTCCATCTACCCGTTGCACTCTCAAAATGTGATAACAGAAATCAAGAGCCTCGAATCGTCTTTGTTGACCAAGTAATACTATCATGGCGCATCCAGCCCAATGTAAACCTTCACCAAATAATTCCCTACAATCGGAGATAATATCGTGCAGTTTTATGTATTATTTTGGTAACGAATAACATTGTTATTTTATACACATTCGTGTTACTCACTCGACCGTAAATTCAGTTTCGCCGACGGGAATACAATATACAAATTGTAACGCACTCCATAGTCTATGGAACTCTGTGCACTCGTCAACGTTCATTACTCCGTTTGCTGGGGGAGGACCAACCCAAATAGGATCGTCCAAGAAACTACGTAATCTGCTAAGTACCACTTCAAATATCGACAAACCACAACAAAGCCGTTCTCGTGTTAGCAAGTCACCTTCCCTGGCTATCATTGCTTGCTGTAAAAACAATTGAAATTATTTTTAGAATATTATATAGAGTATCTCACGAGAAGCACAATGCGTTCCACTGGTCATGAAAGTGTCGAACTTTATTGAATTTTAAATCATCAGGTGTATTATGAATACATAAAAACCTCAATCCATTTATTACTTACCTTAGCTGTACCCAGCTTATCTACGTTCGGAACAATTTGTAAGGCTGCATATTTAGCTTCAAGTCGTTTCTGCTTGGTCTCCGGTTTTTCACCTTCTAGAATATCAATCATTGTAATATTTGCCGAACATCAAAATGTTATTTTTCGTACTTTGAATATCGTACCTTTACAATACGGTCTAGGCAATATATTTTGAAATGGTGCTGCGTGTAACAAGTCACAAACTTCCTCCTGCGATAAAGCTTGTTCCATTAAGAGACAAAACAAAATTGTGTTACCAAATTCTCGAAAGTTATGGAAAAGCTCAGTTTTTGCATCAGGATATTGTACAATATCGTTTAATTGAGCATGGTAGTAACCTAGAACACCTGGAGATCCATAGTCGTATCTAGGAAGTTTACAAACTTTCGGCATAGCTTCCATTAGGGTCTTCGTGAATTGATGTAAGCTTCCTTGAATTAAAGACTTCACGATCTTCAAAAGTTCTTCCATTACCACTGCAATCCCTTGATAACCAAGAAGTTTACACATTGTTCGGAAATGTTGCGGACCAACAAATCCAGAATACTGGCCGTATTGTGTGCTATATGCTAGATTCAACTGTTTACTTCCCCAAAGATAATGATGAGACATTTGCGGAGGTTTATCTCTATGTACGGGCTGTACGAATTGAAGACCTCGACATTTTACAAACCTGTTACATATACATTTGAATGTGAAGACATATATGCTTTTGTATTTCGCTACACACTCAATTGAGTCTCCCAGAAGCCAAATTGATCAAGTCCGTGCAGTGAAAACGTAACACAAAATAATGTAATTTTACATATTGTTCATTAAATACTACATTCTTAATAACAAATAAATAAATACTATATAGTACACCACGTAGAAATACTAAAGTGCAAACAATCACTTTGGTTTCCGAAAGACTCAATGAAGTACCAATATACCTGTTTGTTGCTGCATTGTAACAATAATTTGGTAAAAAGTCATAATTTAATTCCCAAAACACATGAAGTGTGATTCGACCATACGGAGCTAGAACGTTATGATTTGCTTCTCTAAACATTGCATCGTATTCGTCCAATGCAAGCCATTTGCTCAAAAGTTTATGAGTAAGACGATTCACTTGTAGAAGTCCTTCTAATTCCTGAAGTGCACAAAATATAAGTATATTTCTATTTTAAATTGGGCGTAAAACCAAATCAATAAATTAGATCATTTAACTCACCACAACTCCTGTAATATCACCGGATTCGAATTTACTAATTGCTAAATCCAACGACTTCTGCATGTCGGCGTTAATACGCTGTGTAATCAACTTATTCAAGTCGATACTTCTTCCCAATAATTGAACATGCCTTTGTTTCAATAATGTTTCGTATCTATTGGCACGAGGATATGGAAGTAAGTATGCTCCAAGAGCAACACACTCTACTCGAAATCTTTTATCTAACAATATACTTGCAGCCAATTGCTTGTAGTGTGCAAAAATTTGTTCACTGAGTTTGTAAACGAACTGATCGAAGCATAAATTTACTTCAGCTTCCACTTCATCATAAAGAAATTGTTTACGGAATATTGTCAGTGCGTACAATGCACTATCATTGTACAAGTCCAGTGGATATAAAACATACCTGGAAAGATAATTTTATGTATAACAATATAATATACACAATATTATATTAAGATTACTTACTCCATCATGGATGGTTCTTTGCTTCGTAGTATGTGATCAGTCAGTATCCATGGCATAGACATCTCGATAGGAAACTGAAACACGTATTAATATATTTTGAAGCTATCACGGAATAATAATTTGATCGCTAGTGCAATATTGTATGATATTCTACTAATTACAAACTCCAAATGCTAATAGAATAATTACAGAAACAGTTGTACGTTTGTAAAAATACAACATTATACACATATTAGGTGTTTGCTTCAAGAACACTACCCATTACATAAATATACATTGATTTCATCACTTAATGCATGCTACATGTAAAACAATAAACAGAAATCAAATTAATCATTGAATACACTATATATATATCAGATTTTCCTTGTTCAACTTTTATTGTGTTCATGTTATAAACGTGCAAATATTTCTTAATATTTTACTTTGCTTTTGAAAAGCTATCACAATAGACGAACACAATCATTTGTATAAACCATTAATAAAGATAAATTCTAATAACAACTAATATCATGATTTACAGTCATTTCTTTTTTAAATAACAGAGGTATGCAAAACAAAAAAATGAACTCCATGTATGTAAAATGCAGTTGACAATATACACAAATGCAGTAATAATGAAATCAGTAAACCATATCAATGGTTATATACTGCAGTAAATTATAAACATAAGTAACACTACTACAATCACTCGTGTCTATCAGAGTACCTGGATACGTTTCTCCATGGTGATCAAGTCGCTGCACTCTTCATTATGCTGGTGACGTACTTGGCATTTCTAGTCATGAAATCAAGCACACAAAATGCTATTTTGATAGTATTTTTCATATATATAATACAAGACGTAGAATACTTCTATGTTTATTAAAAAACAAATGAAAATGAAAGAAGGAACAACACCGACTAATGTTTTCCATTAAAAATGTTTACATGTTCTGAGCATAGGGCAGAAAATAAATTCTGAAGGAAATCTTAATTACCTGTATTTTACGGCCCATGGTCATTTCTAGATAAAACTCTCTGTACCATAATTGGGACAAATCGCAACAGTCTTGCAACGATTCTAAAAGGAGCATAGTATACTAGTAAGCTACTCTAATATAAAAAATTATAATTACGTTGCGAATGTTTATGTATTCGGATTGTGTGCAAATTTAGAAGAAATAAATTCCTATTTAATTTTAATTTTTAATCTTGAGTAATGCGAATTTGCATGAACATTCACTGTTTAACTATAATTAATTCTATTTACCGCTAAAGTTTAAAAGATAACTCCAATAAAAACTAGTTTTATGGAACTGATCAATTTGCACGAGGTACTGGCCATCAATATCTTTTCTCAGAGTACGTTTTCCACCACTCTTATCAGCAATTAGTGATTCTAACATAGTGCGGACCATGTAAAGCTGAGTTGAAGAAGGTCCTAAAAAAGCCATTCCTTAAGAAAATAAAAAATTTGTTACGTGGAAAATATAAATTGTTTTTCAATCTTACCAACATTTCTTCGTGGTACCTTAATACCAAATCCATTGTCAGGATCTTTCTTTCCTTTTAAAGCAGGGTCTCCTAAAGGCTCTACTCCAAAATGCCAATCTGCGCAAGTTTCTCTTACAGATACAATTATACTGAAAAAAATAACATGATTAACTGTTCGAACTTATTTATAAACAATTAGACTTGTAGAAATTGTATATCGTTATTGCACAAACCTTCTAATAAGATCTTTTTTATTTTTAATCGCCTTGCGCAATGGTTCTCGTAAAATAAGTTGCACAAAATCTTGTAATTCCGCATATATATTTCGACGTATTGCATCAATGAAAACTGTTTCTATACGCGCCATTAATACTTGCAATCCTTTAATCATTGCAATCACTTCTATTAAAGCGAATTTTTCTTCGTCTGTGTAATTATAACGTGTAGCCTACCAAAATGAAACATGTTAATATAGAGTACATTGTAAGTAGAATTTATGACAAATACGTAATGTATTTTACTCTTTCATATTCTTCTGCTTCCTGTGGGCACTCCTTATTCATATGATGATCAGTAGGATGAAGAAGCTTCCAACTATAAAGCTCGGTTACTACGCTTGTCCATTGAGAAAGTAACTGTAATCCGCGTAAAGCTAATTCAGCAGTTTCTCTATTTTCTGTATCACTACCACACTCTTTATAGGTTGTAGTTACTTCATTGCTATATCTATATCAAAGTTTGTAAAAATAATAGTTTGCTATGCATTTCTATATATTTTTGAATGCTTTACAGAAACTGTTAATATAAACTGTTACCTTGCTAATTCACTAATGTATTTCACATGATCTTCTCTAATCTGTGGAAGATGAACCATAAGATCTGCTTGTGGACTTATACTATTTGACGATGAAGATAATGGCCATCTTGATGCGTCAAAGTGTTTAGAACGTTTGATATAATTAAAAGGCGCAATTTGCATGTCGCCGAACAATGGTACCACTTCCAAATTTTTAAAAATTCTATCAATTCTATCTAATTTTAGTTTCTTTTTTTGATCTAGTTTATTGATATTGCACAATTCGCTGTCCATTAAGAATAGTCCGAAGCCCATGACTTTTACCAACATGTGCTTCTCATTTGGTGTCAAATACATTTTAGTCTCGAACATATGGACGCATATATTTACAACATCTGCTAACAATTCTTCGTATCCTGCAATTTTCTCCAAATTTTCTTTTACTGTATCACGAATCTTGTTTTGAGTAGCCAAGAACATTGACAAGTTTTGGGACTCCTGTAATGTCTGTGAGTCAGACATCACTTTAAGAAACTGAGCTGCTCTAAAATGAAAGATCAAAGTTACATAATACAATCATAACATAGTTTTTCTAACATAATGATTTAGAAGCACAACATTTACCTCCTATAGGTAGAGTAATCATTCTTCACACTAGATTTCATGTTCTTTAGCTCATCTAAAACTGCAAACATATTAATAAACTTCCCCAATGTAAGTAGATAAGCTTCAGAAACAAAGTCTTTTCTCTTTTCATGATGACACAAACGTTTTACTTCTGCAGAGAACCTTTCGATTGCTTTTCTCTAGAAAAAAAAATCAATTACATCATATATGTACAATGATATATAGAAGAAAAATAAGTACTTCAATACTTACTTGAAAATACATAAAATTAAGTAATTTATTTACTTCTGGTGCTAATACTTCTACTGTTTTTTCATAAATTTCTACTCTGTTTGGTTGTTCATTTGATTTTGGTTGAGGAATCGCACGAGAACAACATCTCCATGTGTATAACATCACAGCATGTTTCAAGCCTTCTTCTAATAACTCATTCTTCAAAATAAATATAATATTAATTTTCACTTATAGTATATAGTGTTTACTGCTATGTAAAATAATCGTTTAAATCTACCAAGCTTGCATGAACTGTAGCTTCTTCTATATATTTGGCAATTCCTGTAACGAAACCATTTCTATCTTCAAAATTAGTATCAAAATTAGCCTGATATACTACGGAACATGGTTGTGCTTCAATGCATGGTTGTTCATCGGGTAATGTAAATTCATCAAGCACATCAACATTGGACAAAGCATCACTCAATGTCACTTTATCAGTAGCCATTTCACTCTAGATGTAAACCTGCATAAAGAAACAATTATTTGTACACTGTTAACTGAAATAAAAAATCAAGACATTTTACGGATTCAGAAAAATCGTTTATTGATCAACACCTTCGTGAATGTAAGATTCTTTTGCGCATTAATGAGTAATCATGGGCGTTTAAAAATCACATGTAAAGGGTGTTATAAAATAATTGTTATTACTTACCTCCAAAGAGGTTACGATATCTAGTGACTTAAATGTACTAGTTACACCTTTCTATGGGAAAACAAAATAATTATCGAGTTCACGATATAATTAACACATTTTGACACAATTGTATCGAATTATGCCGTGAATCTACAGAATTGAAAATCTAACACTCGACCCTCCTACTGGAAACATAAGATGATTATTGATGATTATCCTATCAACAATACTCAAACCCCTCCATACAACAGTTCTATGTATATACATATATATGTTGTACCTAGTGCTGCAATTTAGCTTGCATGTATTCCGCATTCTGCTTGGTTCTCACGGCCTTCGCTAAATCAATGTTCTTTTACACTTAATCGTACTGTTTAATAGCAACTAAGCGACTAATTAAAAATATCGTTTTTCGTAGCTTTTGATAAAAAAATTAATAATTAGAGAATGCCAGTAATTTTAGGATAAGATTCTAATGAAGAAAAGAATATAATGACAGAAATAAAGTCTGTTCCTTGCGCCCAAATATGAATATTATCAATGGATATAATATCTATTTAGTTAAAAATTATTTACATTGGATTGTATTTTAACAAAAGGTTAAAAGTATGATACAAATAAATTCTCACTTTATCATGTGTCCTATAGTAACAGAAACTGTACACAATGCTTGACCATGAACGCACTACTATTTAAACCTTTAGTACAAAGAATAATTCAGAAGTCCAATTTCTTTAAAAAACTTTCATGACACTTTTATAATTTTGATCGAGTGAGTTAAAGTACAGCGGAATTAACAATAATTTCGGGTGTGAAAATCGTAACGGCAGTAACACTTGGAAAAAAACTTGGATTAATAAAAAATGTTATAGAGATAATGTTTATGGTATATGTGTAAATGATGAAACTTTGCAGTGTTTAACTCGAGAGTGTGTGGGTGTTGTGTATGGCGATGTAAGAGTGAACACTGTCAGCCGTGTAGACGTATGTGGACGGGTTGTAAAGAATGGGTGGAATCATACATATGTTTTGTTTATAAATATATAGTTTATATTATTGTAGAAGAGTATCTATTTAATAAAACCCATAATAAATAACAAAAAAGTTCATATCGGAGTTTTAAGACAAAAATATCTGTTGAGTGCTTGTGACTAAAAGCGTATGAAAGATGACAGACGAAATAACACTAAATATTTTAACGTTGAATTGCTGGTAAGTAGAGAATTATTTTGTAATAGTTTGTACTTCAATTTCATTGACATACTTTTTTATTTCTTTAAATTATAGCTTTACTTCTTATTCATTATAGGGGTATACCATATGTTTCAAAACACAGAGAAGCCCGTATGGAAGCAATTGCAGAGAAATTTTCAACCGAGAATTATGACATTATTTGCTTGCAAGAAGTATGGTCCATTAATGATTTTAAGATGATTAAAGCAAAGACACAAGAACTGCTACCTTATTCGCATTATTTTTATAGGTAATTGTTCTTAAGAGCACTATGTTTAAGTAACATAATACTAAGTAATTTAAGATGAGATATTCATATAATACATTTGATATTAACTTGCAATGTAAATTATATTTATATTGAAACTTGTTTAATGTATACTTTTAGTGGTGTTCTTGGATCAGGGATTTGTGTCTTGTCACGTTATCCTATTCTAGATGTAGTATTTCATAAATGGCCTTTAAATGGTTATGTGCACAAAATACATCACGGAGATTGGTTTGGTGGAAAAGGTGTTGGACTTTGTAGACTTAAAGTTCAGGGTTTGAATGTTAATGTTTACATTGCACATGTAAGCTTGATCATTGAGACTTTTAATATTATGCATACTTCTTGGAAATGTATTTAATATGTTTAATATTTTAGCTGCATGCAGAATACAGTAGACATAATGATGAGTATTTAGCGCATAGAGTTCTACAAGCATTTGATACTGCCCAATTTATTAGAATGACTTCTGGCAGTGCTGATTCTGCAATATTAGGAGGTGATCTCAACGCAGAGCCACAAGATTTAGCCTATAAAATCATGTGTGGTGTTGCTGGTTTAGCTGATGCTTGCTCAAACAGTTTAAGTAATTTAGGGACCAATGAGTGTGCCAATAACAGTTACACAAGTTCCAAATTGGCGAGTACATTCCCTGCAGGCAAACGTATAGATCACATTTTATACTTGCATTCGAAGCTTTATAAAGTATGTTAAATGATTTTCATTACTTTCAGTTGTTTATTGTATACCGTGCAAGTTCATTAACTCTACAATTATGTTTGCAGATCGAGGTGACAGATTTTCATCATCCTTTTCCAGAACGTGTACCTTACAAACAATTTAGTTATTCTGATCATGAAGCTATTATGGCTACATTGAAATTTAGCCCTGGTAAATTTTATGATGGTGATGTATTGTACAGATTTACATTGAATTGTTATAGCGTACAAGCGTTTAATGTTTATAAATATTTTTACAGGTCAGTCCCAGCCAGTGAATCCAGATGTTAGAGATTCGTTGAAAGAGGCTATAAATATATGCGAAACATCATTGAAAACTGTTCACCGACAACGTATTTGGTATTTAATATTAACTTGTATTTTAGGAGTACCACTAATTTGGTCTATGGGATTGGATTATTCCGTTGCATCTGTGGGTGTTACCATTGGGCTCAATATACTACGCATCTTTTTAACTGCGACAGTGTGTTATACTCTCTTCATGGGCACTATATGGAATAGTATAGAAAAAAATGCTTTGAAAGCGGGGTGTTTAGGAATGGAAATTCATTTGACAAATTTGAACAATAACTTATTTAAAAATTGAAAGTATGTACACCCCGTATGTACATAATTAACTCAACATTTTGACCTCCCTCTTAAGCTATTCCTAAACTGTTCAGTCAAAAATATCAAACGATATTCTTATTAATAACATAGGTATATATTTTCTTATACAATGAATCTTAGCATTTTTATACATTAAAATTTCCATTATCATATCACTATAGGACAATAATCAAGCTGTATTTAAAAAAATATTAAGCGTACACATCTTATAATTGTAGTATGCATAAATATTTGTTTCTATGTGATTTATTGCATTTACTTCTTCTTAATTTCAATATGCTTTATTCTTTATCATAAATTATCAAGCCAAATAGAACAATACCTTAAATTTTGAAACACTTTTTAAAATAATTTTTCAACCACTACTTCACGTAAATTATAAATTTAATCAAATTTGGACGTTGCCCGAATAAATTCTCCTTCTGGCTATTATTCAAATATTAGCCGAGAAGCGGCTATTTTCAATAAATTTAGTCTATGTGTGTATGTATATATATATATATAAATTTTCTACAATTGATTATATACAATATAGACCTTCTTGAGCAAAGAGGCTCCTAATAAATAAAAGGTGTATATACGAATGTATATATAATTGACTATGTAAATTGTACCCAAAGGAATTTAAATAGAAAAACATTGCGCTTCACGTATGACATCGTAGCATTCATGAATACATTATTCAGTAGGCAATAGTACTAAAAAAAAAACTACAATTATGGAATGTAAAAAACAATGTAGGCACTCTTTGGTTTCTCCAAATTCAAGGTAATTGTTCAACATAATTCTTTGGGACCAGTCCTGTCTTGCCGTTTAGTGTACCCTCTAACCATCCTGGTTCCAAAGAGGCCTTTACTGTAATCGAAAATTAATTTCAGTATTTTAATTAAAGTATAATTACCAAATTGTATATGTAATTGATGCGTTTATAGTACATAAGAATGTAGTTAGAATTTTACAATTAAAATTCTATCTTATATCATGTTTCATACCATTTGTAATAATTTGATTTGGTTCAAATGATAATTCGCCATCGTTTTCTGCCAAACAGGCATATAAAGTACGGACTCTCCTAAAAAAAAAAAATGATTACGAAATTTTGTTGCCCAAAAACATCACGATGTAAAAAGCGACAGAAGTATATGTATTTACCAAATACCAGGTACTTGTCCAGGGCTCGAACGTCCACTACTAGGTGATGTATTAACTCTATTGGAAAATCATAGATATATGAAAGATGTAACGAAATATGTAGGTACAATTCATTTTAATGCGGACAAAAAAAAAACTTACACAGATACCGATGGATTATTTCGTTGAGCGTAGCTTGATGGATAATGTACAGACATCATAGAACCACGTTTTTGTTTCACCGGTAAATCGGATGAGAATGAATGTGGGTCAGACGCAATTGACTCGCTTGAACTGCTCGTGTTGCCGCTCGTTAGTACTGAATATGTATATGTAAATACAAAATATTAAAAATTACACAAAATAAATATACATCAGAAAAAGGAACAAATACAACATTTCTACAATAAGAAACTAACCTTTATCTGCAGAATGGTACATAAGATTTGCGTTAGTTAGTTTCACGCGTCCACTTCGGCTGTCCAAATACGTTTGCATTCTGTGACCTGTGTGTTCTGTTTCCTCATAGTCGCCATTTTTACGGTCGTCGACAGAGGACGATTTTGTAACAGCTGCTAACGGACCATCGTAGTAAGATCTTGTGACAAGCTATGAAAATTCGTTTCCATTATGGTATCGAAATTATCGGCTCGTAAATCACACAGTGTGTCCCAAGATAAGTTTTACCGCCACTCTTTTCGTAACGTCAACAGTTTAGACGCCATTTTGAATTTTCCACTTATCTTGAAACACTGTATATGAAACAAATAAATATGATTACATGTCCATGTGGCGAAGATATATTAGTGTGCATTGGGTATCTCAAGAAGGGAGTGCCATTTCCAGACGACGTTGACCCATCCTCTACATTGACACGTTGCGATTTAGAGGGAGCGGTATTTTGTGTGATCTGCGTTGAGCGTATTGTATCTTGCGGTGGGCCAGCAATTATTCTTTCGCAATTCTCAATTAACATTTCAACTACGATATTATAGAACTTAATGTCCATAATAGAGGCTACCGTTTCTTCTTCTGGTCTTAACAAAGACGGACCAAAGCATACGGCCAAGTTACCAACTGTCATTAAATTTTTATCACTCTTCTTTGCAACACTGAAACAATAGTGTGGTTACTCGAATGTAATTGATATATGTGAATTTCAATGCTTGAATATTTAAAGTATATCGAATGTAATCGTTACCTGCACAGGTGTCTGATGAGAAGAATCAACATATTGAAATTTGCTTTCGGCAGTCGGTAGACAAGATTGTGAATATCACTTACACGCGCTTCTTTTATTTCTTGTTCTGTTAAACAGAACAATAATATTAACGATACTATATTAACATATTGTAGTTGTATATATAAATAAAATCAAGATTCAAGAATAAATAACTTTATATACAATATTTACTCACTATAGTTAATAGAATAGAAGTAACAGTCTTAATTTGAGGATTTTAAATAAAACAATATTGTAGAGAATACCTATACGCACTCGCAGCTGAAATGAAACTATTATAGTATCGAAAGGTCATTAATGGTTCAGATAATGTCCTCAGATAAGTTTTCAGTGCACTAGTAATAGTTTTACTTTCCCATTCGAAACGATCATCCATATTAAACTTTTCTAATTTCCTTCTATCTAAACCCATTGCCAAAAGCTTATTTACTTTGGATGCAACACCAACTACTCTGTATAGACCTTGTTCTTCAAGACCTAAGAAAATAATAAACATATATTATAACAGAATTATTCTATGAAGTAATAAATATTTAAAAAATTTCCTTTAAATATTTATGTAATATATGCAAACCTCTATCTTCAAGTGCTGCAATACATTTTGACACAAACACGAAACCTGTTTCGTCTAAAATATTTTCTTCAGATTTTGTTGCAGCACCTACTACAGGGTAATTCTGTAAACGAAAAATATATTATTTGTAATCTGTTTTCAAACTCACAAAAATAAAATACCTACTGGCTCTTTACCATCCATAGCATCTAACCATAATATCCTGTCTTCCTCGGAAAGTGCTTGGAATGTATATACAACATTTGGTCTGAAAAAATTGAAAGTATTGTAAAAAAATAATCAATAAAGATTTAATGTGTCCACAATTTTTCTCAAAAATGACTAATATGAATGATAAAATCTCTTTAAATCACATTACCATATTTTCGATATTATTTCGATTGTTTTAACACGGATAATCTACACAAACGGTTTTGTACTAACAATATAAGACGTGTATTATTCATTATTATACCTACATTCAAATTTAAAAAGAAAAAGTTGATCTGATATTTATTTAGATCACTGATTAATCTGTATATTTATAATTATTTCTGATGCAATTCAAAAGCGAATTTAAAAAAAAAAGGTAAAAATACAAACTTTTCAGGAGGAGGAAAAATGGTTTTATTTTATTTATGATCTTGAGTCTCTAAAGATATGGAAAAATGGCTGAAAGTAGGTCATCTATCACCTACCTTATATTCCCAAGAATGCAAAACGTATCAAACTTTGAAGAATAGACATTCAAACATAAAACATAGTATCTGGTTAGATAAATTATTTCAACTGTCGTGTTCCAGATTTTACTATTAAAAATATACGCGATAGTTATACGACAAAGTATCATAACTTTACTTACTTATCAATTGTAGTGATGTCAAAACAGAACCGTTTCTCAATTGTATCCGACGAACGACGTACACAAGACGCCAATGTCAAAATTTCTTTACTACTCTGTTAAAATACAATTAAAATGAATTATTTGACATATAAAAACAAAACAAGTTTTAAACATTATATGTTTCACTTACAAACTTTCCTGTTAGCTGATTATAAGGTATCATCGTGAATTCCTTTTTATCTTTCTGATATGTACAATATTGCTTTGTCCATGTTGTACCAAATGCTTCTGTAAAATTAAACAATGTTTATATTAGACAAGACAAAACATCGATGAAGCTCATTGTAAACATCAATTTGAACAATGTATTTATACTTACTTTTCTCCATTAGAAATAAATATCCTTCTCGCGTGTAAAGTTTATTGACACCAGTTTCCACTGCGGACTACAAAAACGTTCTTAAAATTAACACATGTACTACTAATCTTATGGTATCATAGATTAATGAGACTTTTGTACAGTTTAATATTGCGCAGAAATTATTACAGTGTAAACATTTTGCATACTCCAATTATGAAGTTTCATTTAATAACTAAATAGCGATAGAAACGTATTACATACCTTTTTCATATCCTTCATTTTATTCATAAGCGATTCTGTTTTATCCCGGGTAGCAAGGAAATTTTCTCTAGTCTTGTAAAACACACGCACACACATAAAATTGAGAATTAGTAAGCTATTTATCATGCTGTTATCCTAATTGTATTTGCACCACACAATACTTTAGTAATAAGTTATGCCTAAATACTTCTACGAGTAGTTGAACATTAACAATCAATTTGATTATAAGAACTTTAAAATTACTAACATATAATATACTTTCAAATGCCACACAAAACTGTATAAATACCCAAGTTATATATTCCCCAAACGATTCTAAATATTCGGGGCATGTTGAGTCACATTCGTATGATATAAATAATACATACTTCAATTTTTTGTTATAATTACAGTAAATATTACCTTAGCGCTAAAGAATGCTACAAATCGTTCATCGAACAAAATTGTTAGAAATTAGAATGTGAAACAACACTGCAAAATATATGTAATATATATTTTGGTAAATCAGTGTTACGATGCACAAAGCAATTTCTTTGTCACTTGGATAATGCTACTGTAAGTAATAAGTTTTAGAATCGTGCCTCTGTAATACTAATGCTCCTTTCATGTATTTATAAGCAACAACCTATTGAAGTAAGAAATACTAACCTTTTGTATTTTCAATTGCAGTTCAGTCATGTAAGGCTTAAAATCCTTTGCAACTTCATGACCTTGATGATAAAAAGTCAACCAACCAAACATGAAACCTAACAACTAAAAAAAAAAGCAAATTTGGTACCAAATACTTTTCATATTCCAAAACATACAATAATTTATATTAAGAATAGTTTTTGTAGATAAAAAACTTACAGTTTCCACAAATTCAAACTTCTTTCGCTCTTGTACTTCTTGAAGTAAGAACACATATTCTAAACTAGCTTGACAAAAATGTCTTTCGGCCATTTCCAATGTTGCATCGGCCTAAGCATAACATATTTTATAGTAACTCAACCTGAACAACGTACATAAACTACTTTTGTTTTATTTAAGAAACATTTGTACCTCTTGAAGAACATTGTCTTGTTTTTTAGTAGACAGATTTAGGTATCGTTCTTGGCTTTGACAAAATTTAATGGTTTGTTTCTCAAACTTCTTTTTACCGTCCTGTAAACATATTAGTTTTACAGATTGTTTTACAAGCTAACAAATATACATAGAAACATTTTTAAATTACCTTAACACCTCCAATATGTTCTTTTCTAAAATTTTCCAAGGGCAGTATAATTTGATCATAAGCACGTTCAAGCTACAAGTAAATTTTTTCAAAGTTAAAAGACATCTTTATATATAGTTATTTTTAGATCTATGGAATTTCTAAACAATGATTCGTCCTTAAACGTTAAAGTAAGTACATACAAATCAAAATTATATGTATGAATGTGCTACACATATCATACAATAGATGGAGATGATAATGAAAAACTATTGAAAGAGTAATTTAAATTACTAGACAATTATATACAACGAATGAGTATTTTCTACTATTCTAATCTAAGATGATCATAACATCTCTTAAAATAAAGTAACACTTTGCACAAGTGTTCAAATTTTAAATGTTTTAATAATGAAACAAAAAACACTTAATAGAATCTATTCTAATTTCTATGAATTTTGTTTTTATACAAAATAAAATAAATATAAGGAAAATGTATGATAATTCAAGTATTCATTTATGAATCTGTAATTGACTTGTTCTTGAACTTTTATAACAGCTACTTCTGTTTTCTTGATACTTAAAAAGAAATGAAAAATACAGGCTGTCCCAGGACAGGTGGTACAACCAAGGCACAGGGTCATTCCACATGTACAATTAAGTTAAAAATACACAATATATTTTTTTCATCTGAGGTTTCGTTTCTGAGATAATCAAATTTGAAAATCTGCTGAATACATGTGCAGTTGGATAGGACTTGGTTATCATGTCTGTTCATTACATTCTGTCTGTACTTATTGTCAGGACTAATACACGTATACTCAATGAAACTTTCAAGTCATTTTTCTCGAAAATGAAACCTCGTATGGAAAAAATTTATTCTACAATTTCAGCTTATTCTGGCATGAGGAATCCCCCGTTTGCTTTTGCACCAAGAATTTTTCTGCACCCGGTCGATCCTTATAAACATCATAAATTAACTTACTATATTCTAAATTTCTTGTAATATTAAATATCAAAACAGAAATTAGAAGATTATTGGCATTACTAAAATTCATTCCTTGCTTGTAAATGAAGGTAATTGTATGTATGTGACCTATGTCCACACACATGCACCAATATTGCTATGATAAAACAAGCAGAACAGCAGTCTTCATTTAATTATTTGGAAAAAAAAACTCATTTCACATAACACATACTCAAACATGTAGCTTACCCAGAGTATCATAGATGAGTATGTTATTTGTTATTAAAAGTATGTTATTATTATGAAAATTGTACTAACAAAGTCTAACCAGTTTTTAGTTTTGTATGCATTACACTTTATGGAAGAAGTTTCCTCTAATGTGTAACAACTACATGCAATGATTTAGTATTCCAAGTTTTATTTTAGTAGTTAAAAAAAATATATTAAAGAGAAATCTGAAGACTTTTATGCAGTTTACAAATCAGAAGTATTTGTGTGCATTCATAAATGTGAGAAAATATGTACACTATGATTATTTGCTATGGTTGATTCAAAGTATATGTAGCATAGTTTAAATCCAAAAGCAAAATAGTGCAACGAACTTTGTTTGAGAAAATATGACTCAAGAAATATACCATTAAATAACCAGGTAGAGCTCCTTCTATAAAAACAAAGTTTTTATAATCATATTTTTATAATAACAAAAGGAAGCAGTTGCAATGTTCCATTAAACAATTTCAAATAATAACTTTTAATTTGAAATAGAAAAAATATTTCAGTTTCATGTATAATATAATAGATTGTATATAAGTATGATGGTTAACGTGACTACTTAAAATGTAGCCTTTATTTTTAACAATAGACGACTTTTTCTTCAGATCTTTTACATATCATTTAAAACAATAAATACATTTTAGTCGATCATATTAATAAAGCATCGTATTTAAGAAATTCTAGAATTCTCAGATGTTCTAAATTAAATGATTATTTTAGAATTTTCTATAAGGACTGTACAACTATTCACAGTTATGTACTAAAAACATAGCATACCATGCGATCCCTTTCATCCTCTATTGATGCAATAAGTTTACCAAATTCCTTTAGGCTTTGAGATATATGAGTTTCATCTTCAGTTTGAGTTTCTCCAATGCATTCAAAACTAAAGTTCTGCAATGTTTTGGAAAATGCTCTCTGGGCTCTGGACAAATCTAAAAATAAGTGTTTCTTCTGTAGTTAAGAATATACTGTTACAGAAAAATTATTTTTAATTAACAGTATTTTCTTATCAATCAGACAAGTATATATAAAAAAATTCAAAGTGAAAGGCAAGATTCTGCTTGTATCACAATTATATAAAATAAATATTACTTTTTACGACAATATTTATTTATAAAATTTACATATTGTACAGTAACAAATGTAACAATTGATAGACGCGTCTGTCGCGGATTAATAACATAAAATAAATTAACACGTGTAAAGCTCTATGTTTTTAATAAAAAGGAGGTTAGTGACAGTAACGCAGTTAACTGAAGATTGTTAGGTATTGTAATGTTGCAAAGTGAGACATGATTTGACGTGAAAAAAATTATTGAGGTATATACAAAAAATAATAAACTTACTTTTGGCAGCTAGCAAAAGATCTTTGACCTCTTTGATGAGCCGTTTAATCTGTTGGCTGGTCTTCTCCAATTCACGTTCATGATAATGAAGATTCTCTCGAAAATAGGGACTATCGGTTAAGCAATCCGTAAACTCTAATGGTTTGAGGCCAACACCCATTATTCTTGATTGTGTATTAAAGTTCGAAAGTCATTAATAAGTCAACAACAACAGAACGAAGGAGTCAACACTTAAATAACAAAGTATTACAAATATACGACTGTTTAATAAGGACAGAGAGTCTTATCGCGATGTATGCATCGAAACACTTAGTGGCGCGAATGTTCTTGACGAAAACAACAAGATCGGCCCTCGACTTTTCTCCTGTTTATTGCTAGTCATGAACAAAGATACATTTTGTGAATCTTCGTTAAAGCTAATGTAAATCACTAGCACGATTGTATACTTAGACTGGCAGTTTTGCGATGTCGATTAAAGATCACGTACCCTCTTAAGTCAAATGTATAAACTACATTTAAAATGGCGGGATATTCGATTTACTTTACAGTGAGGCTAATATTTCATTAGTAGACCGCGGATTTCATACATTTATTTTACATTCAAATGTGTGAAACACAATGAACTAGGAGCCTTATCCAGGATTAATACAAGTTTCACGATTCGTTGACCTAGAACCTCCAACTGATGAAACACATTTTTCCGACAGTCCAATAATTAAGCCACGAATGTTTATGCAAATTAACATTTTTATTTCTCTATTAAACAGAACTTTATTTCCCTCAGTCAGAATCTTTTTAGGTAAAAAATAAAATAGATACCCTGTGAGAGTTTACTAACATTTTTATTTGTACTTTAGCTGTGCATGTATCAATTTATTATTAATTGATATCATTATTTTATTCTGTTTCACAGGTGTGGAGATATTACAAATGTATACTCATGCAACTTTATATTTTTATTAGACTAAAAACAATATATGAGCTTTTCATTGTTTGGGATTAAAATTTTTTTGGGATTAAAATCCGAGAACTGTTAATCATAATGTATGCTAAATTACAGTTACACATCATTTGAATAAGCAGTTGAATAAGGACTCATTTGAATAAATTATTTGGCATGCCATTGTCAAATTACATTATCAAATTATATACTTTTACACATAACAGTAATTATATATTCAGACAGGATACAAGGTTAACTAATTTTCATTATCAATTCGTTTAATATATAACCAATATGTACAAAGTAAAAGTAGGTGTTAAATACAGTGAGCGACAATGATTCATTTTAAAGGGGAATTCCAATTGTTTTCGTTCAAAATCTAACTGGGTTTGTTGATTTTGTATATGAGTACATCCGATTCTAAAGTAATTCAATACTTAGAATTTTAATGTAATAATTAATTATTACATAAGAAAGTGTGATTAATACACTATACTTTAATTTACATTATAATAAATTAAATCACGCTTGGTCGTCGGTTGGTGTTACAATTTTCGGACATTCAATTGCTCTAGTAACAACACGAATCATTGATTCTAGTTATATTTTGGTTGATTGTGAGAGCAGCTTAAATTATCCCCTCCATTGAGAATCATTGCCGGAATGTGTGTATCATACATGTATATGATGGGTGCATGAGAGCGTGCATATACGTGTGTAGTATGCGCTGCTTTTTTATTGCATTCATTGCTTTCGCTCAATTAGTACTTTAAAAGCAATATTGCAGCTCGAGATGTAACAGCAGAACTTTTCAAGAGCTTCGTGAATTTATAAAATATTTCATAAACAAAATTAATATTTAATCATGCAGCTCTACGATCTAAAAAAACTATTGTTTCTATCTACATTTTTCAAAATATAGTAAAAAAATATACAATTGACAGTGCCAGTTGTAAAAAAATCAATGGAAGTACCACACCATAGAATGTACTGAATAATTTTATATATTTTCTGCATGATAAGGAATACTCATCAAAATATTGATACTTACTCAGCAGTATAAAGATTCGAGAGTATTTAGAAGCAAAGTTTGCTTTCTGAAATTAACTTTAGTCCTATACATTTCTCACACGACTCCGAAATATTTTTCAGTTTGACATATTATCATACATTGCGTTGTATGTTGTATTCACCAAGAATCGATCTTCGATACAAAATGTCTACGTCTTGAACTGGTCTTCAATTGTCACATCAGGAGCACGAATTATATTATAAAAGAACGGAATCTTATTGGTACGCATTTTCAGGTTGCAGTGGGTGTAAACTGTTTGACCATCAGTGTACCACGATTCCTATTCGCTATGCAATCTGCAACTACTTTTTTTAAGACTAATTGTAAGCTGTTCAACAAAAATGGCTAATTGTACATAGTTTACAATATCTAGTATACAAAAACATTTTATTTGAAAATCACAATAAAACCGTTATTCTGAAATCTCTGGAATCATTGAATCCTCCATTCTAGAGGTCGCCATTGCACATAATATCTAACTCGCCTTTCGTTTTCCCACCTGGATCGTATTAATCAGAATGAGTTGAATGTGTTGAGTGTGTAGCATGGTGGACCATGGCGCTCCACAGTTCAAGAAAGATATATTTTCATAATTCGTAAAAACGATTTTTCGTGTGTACCTATTTATGCTTGAATAATATTAACATGGAACCTCGAGTGAACGAACTGCTAATAGCGGGCCCTGTCGCGACGATTAAAGAAGAACCGGTTGATCAAACTGGCGCGAAGCAAGACATGCAACAATCTCCGCAAGTACAGGGCGTTTGCATCGAGGAAGAATGCGAACAACGTATCGAGTGTACCACCGAGGGCCAAGAAAACGAGACCCGGGCATTTTTATCGAAATGTGTATTCTGTGGAAAAACGTTTGTTCCTGGTGACGATCCAAAACTTTTGGAGTGTTTACACGCAGCGTGCTCGGCATGTGTCAACAGTAAACTGAGTGATCACAATACGTCGGTCGACGTGGATGTTTTGTGTAAGATCATATTATACTATCATGATTTAGTCTGTGGATGTTCACGCGAATACATAAAATCTCCAGTAAATCGTGGTACAACTAACAGGTCCACGGTTTTACTTGTAAAACCAAATAAAAAATGTAGAATACAATTTTTCCATGTAAAGTTTCATGTACGAGAAAATCGAATCTGACAATTTTGTATGCACCCATGATTTCAAATACGGTGAATTCCATTTTGATTTGTTCTATTGGACTATTCATTTTAATTATACTTTGTAAACGTAATTTTCAATATACATTCTAGATTGTAAATACAATCACGAAAAAAGTACTTTTAAAAGAATTATAATTTATGATTTGATATTGAATCCTTGATGACGTGTGTTCTGCAAAGAAATAGATATTGTAGATGTATAATGTAATTTATTATATGTGGGTTAAATTGTATATATATTGTTGCAGTGGAAAGCAATGTGATTGCTTGTCAAATTTGTAATGTCACCACTCAAGCAGACAATTTAATCGAGAATCAGTTTTTGTCAAAATTTATAGAGGAAGATAGTAGTCCAGGTACAGATGATGAGTTTAAAGAAACAGAAGAAGAAAAAAAGTGTACCAGCTGTCATGATAATGCTAATGCTACCAGTTGGTGTGTAGAATGTGAAGAATTTATTTGTCAAAATTGTGTTATGGTAATGAAATTATGATACTGATTGCATTGTATATCATGCATATATTTTTCAGAAGTAATTTGAAGAGTAATATTGAATTTTGTACTTCTTTAAGGCACATCAAAGACTAAAAATCACAAAGGATCACACTATTAAACCAAAGGATGAAGTTGCCAATGATAGAGATAACGTTAAAAAGAGCAATAAAAAGATACCTGGCTATTTATTTTGTACAATTCATTCACACGAACAGTTGTCCTTATTTTGTCAAACGTGTGATAAACTTACTTGTAGGGATTGTCAGTTAAGTGAACATAGAGATCACAAGTACAAATTTATTCATGAAATTGCTGCTGAGACGCGTACTTCTGTATCAACCTTACTTAAAGAAGTCAGGTAATATTTTTTTAAATTAATCATAATATTTTTACATTTAACTATTAACACTACTGTGTTAGATCATAGATAAGTTATTATTATTTTGTGAATTTTTCTTATATACTTAGAAAGTTACTTATATCTGAATTACTGAAATTATACTGTTTGTATTTTTTAGTTACAAACGAGTCTTACTCAAGAGTGCTATGAAAGTTATAGAGGATAGACAAGTCCTCATTCTAGAAAAGAAGAAAAATTTAGTACAAGATATAACACAAATGGTGGTGCAGTAAGTTCTTTAATCTTTATATAAAAATTTATTGAAGTCAAGTAAAATTACTTGGTTTATGTAATTTATCTTTTTAAAGGTTAACAAATGCAATTAATACCAGAGGAAAACAATTAGTTATGCGTTTGAATGAAGTTTGTGATCAAAAGCAGAATACGTTAAACGAAAAGAAAGTAGCTTTAGACCAATTATCAAAGCTTACAGATCATTGTATTCAATTTGTGGCTCATGCATTAAAGAAAGGTTCAGATCTAGAACTACTTTATAGTAAAAAGTATGTATTCGGTTAATGTACATAGATTGTAAATAATATTGAATGTATTCTGTAATGCTGTTATTGCAGATCCGTTACGAGTCACTTGCAAAGAATTAAAAGCAGACGAGCTGACATTCCAAATCCAGAAATACCTGTTAGAATACATTTATCCTTGGAAAAAGTGCCAGACTTGATAAAAGGTTAAATTAGTATAAATAGGTGCTTAATTATATTATTAAATATAGGCATTGTGTGATATTGCTACGATCGAAAATTACAATATATAATATTAGTAACATGTCGGGGCTAAAATAAATATTTTTAAATTTCAGTGGTTTCATCGATCGGAGCGATAGTAGTGGATGGCAGAGTATATCCTTCGATATCTCCATTGGGCGGAATTAATACGCCATCTATGTCGTACAATGAATCTCAGCCAGAGCAGAAACAGACAAATAATCTCTCGACTACTCCTATGGATGGTTCCTCTGTGGCTGCTCAATTACCTCCCGTAACGCAACAGTCGAATAATATTCAACAAAATTCCTATCAACAAGTGCCTCCGTCGTTATCTCTACCACAACAACAACAACAGCAGCAGCAGCAGCAACAACAGCAGCAGCACCAACAACAACAACCACTACAACTACCACAATCACAAAATTATATGCAACATTATCCTATTAATAATATGCCACCACGATCATCGCCTCAGGCACATCAGCCACGGGTGTTATATGCGGTTAACTTCAACAATAAGATGCAGCATCCAGTAATGATGCAACAGCGACCATTGGGTAGTTGTCATCAACAAGTAACATCATCTACGCATCCGCATCAACAAGTCCATATAGATCAACTTGGACAGAATACAAGTCTACGTGGGCTTCTTGCACATAATCCTCCTCCTTATCGGCCTTCTGCAAACCATGTACCATACCGACTACCACCGTATAGATATCCTTCTAATAATTCTCAACGACCAGTACCGCCACACACGTATCAACCGACAAATACATCAATGGCATCTGGTATGAGGCTTCCACAATGTAACGCAACTTCACCATCTGCTCAGCATTTAAATTATCCTGTGCAACAGCTCACCGCAGCCCGTTGGCACATCCCCCAAAATGTTAATCCTTGTCTTCCTTATTATCCTTCCCGCCATCAAGCCACACCACCAATGCCAGTTCCTATCAATGATACTTATAAAATAACGTTAAAGAATCAACAACCCAACAACAATCAAAAATATAATACGCAAACAAGCGTTGCTTCCGATAATCCTCCTCAGGCGCAAAATTCACCATCTGTTGGGCACACGGTCAGTTCCTCGGTACCCAAAACGCCTAGTCCTGTGCCACCCGGAAAGACGGACGAAACTGAAAAGAGTTTAGACAAATTTTGCCAGAAATCATTGAACGATTTGATGCTCACTATTGCTAAATTAGATAGTAATGGAATCGTGGTGATACCAGAGGCGCAACGAAATCAGTTGGATTCTGCTCAAGTAGATAGTTCAACTGATGAGGGAATGAATCCGATGGCAGAGAATTCATCAGGTATTTTAATGTCTTGAACAAATGTTTAGTGATGAGCAACGTTTTCTTTGCAGTGGACCAAACTAGAAAATCTAGCAACCTGAAAATACCTAATTTACTAATTTAACAATTGTTAATTTACTTTAGGTTTTACTTAATTTATATCATTTTAGCTGATTGAAGTGGGTTGTACAAGCAACTTCTACGAGCTGCCGGTTGCTCATCACTGGATTAGTGCTTTATGATGTTGATTATTTTAGTTTAATGAAATAAGATGTAAATATAATGTAATTAACATGTGAATATTTTTAGAAAAATCTAACAAATAATAATGAAGTAATAAACGCACATGCATAATTATATGTTCGATAGATAATTCCAAAAGTGCTGCAGCATCTATGGCAAAGGATGATCCTAATGAAGATTGGTGTGCAGTATGCATGGATGGAGGAGATGCTGTACTATGTTGTGATAAATGTCCAAAAGTCTTCCACTTGTATTGTCATATTCCTAGCTTAAAATCATTTCCTGAGTAAGTATCTAGGTACTGTAGCTTATTCGACACATATGACGTAAATATCTAAATATTCTTTGTTTGTTGCAGTGAAAGCGAAACTTGGCAGTGTATGTTGTGTACAAATGTGCTTGATTGTTCAGATGATCCAGCAGGAGAAAAAAGGCCCAACACAATCTGTGCAAAAGAGTTACGAATTGCCCAAAGGATTATACTGGAGTTGTATTGCCAGTATGAGCAAAGTTTACCCTTCCGTGAAGTTGTTTCTAGTGAGGTAAATTTGTTATATAAATATTTCTGTACATATGTTCGTAGGTTACATAACAGAAAAGTATTTTATTGTTTAATTTCTTTCTTATAGATAGTTGATTATCATCGTATTATAAAGAAACCAATTGCGTTAGATGTAATTAGAGATAAATTGAAACCTGATCACCCAAATCATTATATGGACTTGAGACAAGTAATGGCAGATGTGAGATTGATGTTTAAGAATGCTTTCACATACAACCCTGTAAGTGTTTCTAAAGTATGACATTCTGTAGTATCATATTCGTAGAAACGAAGTTATTTATTATGTCTGTGTAATTAAATTTCGTTTAGGTTGAGTCGCAAGTGTATCAAGAAGCTCGTAATTTAGAAGAATTTTTTGAGAAATTGTTACTGAAATGGGCACCGAATTATGCTTACGACGATCCTTTCCTATCAGCTGATAGAGAAGAAGAGGAGGAAGTATTCCCTCCGAATAGAAAATATCGACGGATAGTTACTGACTAATTTTTATTTGTCACAACCGTGCACTTGAAAAAGTACGTTATTTTTAAAAGAAAATAGCAGAATTACATTTCGAAGCAAACTACAAACAATTTTTGGTTATATTCTTATTTCTCATGTTCAATTAATTGATATAGTACATCATAAGTGTTCAAGAAATACTAACAGAACAGTCGTTTATAATTGTAGTATAGCATCGATCGGGTTACTCTTCTTTCTTTAATTAAGGACAATTTTACTGTCTATTGCATGAATTTATAAATTAATGGTGAATGTTATTTTATCGAAACAAAATTTTGTTTACACAGTACTTGGATATTTGTTGAAGTTTATGAATTCGATATGAAGTCAATTTCTGAAATACTTATCATTAAGTTATATGGTTCAGCGAACGTCTAATTAAATCAGTTTTACGATGAAGTATTTCAGAAGTACGCAAGTATATTTTTTATAAAGTATTATGACTTTATATACATATTATCATTCTAATAAAATTAAATTGTATGGCGGCAACGTTGTATTAATCGTTGATAGAAAATTACAGTTGACTATGTTGTAGAAAACATATTGATTATAAATTTTATATATTGATATATAACTTTCACAAATTTTGTTGAAAAACCCCGGGTTTTCAACAATATTCTGAGATATGCATGGTATTTAATGACCAATTGCACATTTAGTTTGTTGCGAGACAATGTATTACAGCGAATAATTTTAATGTACGGATTTCCTAGTTAATTTTTCATTCTATAGTTATACCTTAGTTTAAATTAAAACATTACGCGTATCGTATTTACGTAATACTGCTCGACTGTAGAAAACATTTTATCTGTTTTATTGAATTCAATATACATAGCCTGTAACTAAAATTTTTAACATGTCTTTGCTTTCTACACAGTTGTAATTTGTAATAAAAATTCTATAAGATTAAATTAGTTGCATCACTTTTTATATAAAAAAAAAGAATATTTTAGAATTTTATTTTATTGTGAATCAAATAACATTACATATTAAATAAATTGTCTAATGTGGAATTCATTTATAACGATTTTACAAAGTTAACAAATGTATGTAACATTTAAAACATATATTGCATTATACTTTTAGAAGTTAGAATAAATATGACCATTTCTAGAAAGATGAAAATACCTGAATATTATTTGTACTATAAAAATGATTTTTTCAGTAAATTCGTTTTCTTCTTTTTTCCTACTTGAATTACATTATAAAATTATATAAAATTCTGGAAATTGATTTATGTCCTTATAAAAATGAAAGATTATAGAAACAAATTTAAAAGTCAATAATATGTCATTTGTTTTCAAATATAAAAATTTATATTTTTAATATTAATAGAATAAATACAATTTGAAACACTAAAGTTTTCTATAGACATTTTCTTATTCACAGCAACGAAGAAAATGTTTTTTATTTAAAAGAAGAAAAGAAAAGAATTATTTATTATTTCTATTTATATGAAGTACTGTTATTGGTTCGTCATTTCAAAAGGAACCAATCTACTAGTTCTTTAAGCAGGGTGGGCAACTGTTCCGTACCATTTGCGCGGTTCAAACTTGATAACATGTGGTTCATATTGATATATATTTATCACTTTTGAACTGTCAAACGGTTTGAAGTGAAAACAAGTATCAGATCCATTTATTTAAGGACGTGAGAACTGTTCGAGCGAGCTTGATTTTTAATATATTTTTCCTGGATTTCTTAATCTTTAATTTGCTGGTCTATATACGTATCTGTAAAAAGAATAGAAACACTTTATTTTAAACTAACAAACAAAAATTTAACTGTTGACTTTTCATCTATATATATGCTCTTTTTGATGAATGTTAACGTTTGTCAAGTTTTATTACTGTACACCTTTTCCAAGCGTATTAAAGGAAATCTCTACTTGAACATGAGTTAAAAAAGGTCTAGAAAATAAATTTAAAAAGGTATTTATAAAACTGTATTTTTATAATGCCACAGAGTAACAAATATATGTATATATATAATGTATATTTGTGTAGATTGTTTTATAAAATGTAAATAATTCTTAATTACATTTACTATTTATGTAACAAATTATTAAAAAAATGGATTTAGAAGCAACTCTAGTTGAACGATTAGAAAAATTAAGACAATGGCAATTGGAACAGCAGGAACGATTATTGAAACAGCAACAGATGCAAAGAGAAATGTTAACTCAGAAGCAGGACTGTATATATAAAGCACTTGAATTATCTATCCAAGAACTTGACCTTAGTGAGAATATTTTGCATGTCAATGATTTAAATAAATCTGAAACTGATAATGAATATTCAATGGACCTTAATGAATCAGGGAGAATAAAAAACTATATGGAAATTGTTGAACAAAATGTAAATAATTGTAACAATTTCATTTCTCAACCACAACTTCCTTGTAAAGAATCAATTGAGCAGACAAAAGATAAACATGACATAAGATTAACACTACTTTCCCCCCAACAAGGAAAAGAATTAGAGCAATTCATAATAGATGGAATAGCACCATTATCATATAATGAAACATTAACTAATCATATTTGCATTGATGATGTACCAATTCCTTCCCCAAATAAAGATTTTCGTACCTTACTTGAAGAAAAATTGAAAGACTATGAAAATGTGTCTGGGGAGAAAACTAACAGCAATTCAGTAACTAAAGTAAAGAAGCCGTTTTTAAGGAAAGGAGAAGGCCTATCTAGATTTAAATTAAATCGAGAGTCACAATCTTCTACCAGAAAAACAAGATCACGCAGTGCATCTTTTTCTACTAGCACACAGCCTAATTCTAAACATTCTAAGAATGAATTCAGATGCGACAATGTTAATAGATCTACAAGAAATACACAAATGACAAAAAGTTTGCATCGTACAAATGAACCACAAAAGCATTTGGGTTTGAAAAGTGTTCCCTTACCAAAAAGAAAAGTTCGTAGTAAATCTGAGTCTAGTACTTCAGTTACTCAACTGGAGGATTATGTTCAGAATGTTAAAAATGCTGAATCAAGTACATCGGACTTTGACTCAAGAACACAGAAAGAAATGGAAGAAGTAAGGGTATTTGAATTATTAGAAGAAAAAGCAGAGAATTCCAGCTTCTGTTCTACATCTAGTACAGTTGTTGCATTCTTGCAACAATCAACGCCATTTAAGATGAAAAAACATCAAAGTCCAATAATTAAAAATTCCAAGAGTCGATCAGCCTTTAAATCTAATCATGCTTATGTATGTACAACTCCTATTAAAACCAATGATTCTTGTTGCAACTATAAATCCAATGGAAATCAAAAAGAATTCCTCTCAGTAAAAAATAATAAAGTTTCAAGTAATGCAAAAGCTTTGGACGATATTAAGGAAAATACTAAAATAGATACAAATATCAAGAGGCACACAGCATCAGGAAATCAACTTCAATCTACACAGAGTCAACAAAACTGTTATGATATTCCTAATGCTGAGAATGGTAATGATGTTAGTCTTCACGTCAGATTTTCTGAGTACAACGAATATAAAACTATTGGATTAACAGACACATCAAGTATATCATCTGAATCATTAACACTAACAAATTTCTGTGATGAAAAGGTTTGGAATGATACTTTAACTTCAGAAGTATTTGATACAGAAATGTTATCACAGTCCCCAACAGTGATACAAGATAAAATGCGAAATAATGATGATAAACCCAAATGTGAACATAGCAATGGAGAAGAAGAATTAAGTTATAAGTCCTTACATGGAACTATCACACAAAAGAATGGTTTTAATTATAATGAGGATATACACCAACAAATTTACCATAACAATGAATCAGAATTCTCAGATACTACTGACCAATCTCGTGACGATGAACAGAGTATTTTAGGAGAATATGATACAAATAAATCAATCTTGCAGGAAATTAATAAATTGTATAATACCGAAAAATCGAAGAAATGTGTAGACAAATGTAACACTAAAGAAAGAAACGATTTAGTAGATAATTATAATGATATGGCCAGACCTAATGGTCAAAGAAGTGAAGAAAATTTACAGAATACAAATAAAACTATCTTCAAATCAGAACTTTTAAAAAATCGTTTACTGGAGCTTGAACAAGAAATTAGCATATTCCGTAAAGAAAACACAGCTTTATCTATTCAGCGCAAAAAGTTAGAAGAAGATCACAGAAATTTATGTAAAGAATATGCAGACAAAGAAAAAAACTTAGAAGATAGCAGAAAACAGATGGAAGACCGTTTACAAGATGAAAGAAAAAAGCTGGCTCGTGAAAAAGCTGCATTAGAAAGTAGGATGCGGGATTCACAAGAGAAAGCCCAACAGAGTAAGTTGGAAAGGCAGGAAATACAAAGTTTAAGGCAGGAATTAGAAACATTAAGAGAAGAATTTCATATAAAAGAAAGTAGATGGAACGCTGCACAATCCAGACACAAGTGTCAAATGAGGATATTAAGAATGGAGAACACCAAATTAAAGCAAGAGATTGAAAGATTACAAAATTTGAAAAAAAGTAATGTTCGAAGCAAAGGAAAATCTGGAAATTTTTCTAATACAAGAGCAATTCATCAAATTAATAAGCAAATTAACATGCAGCATGAAGAATCAAAAAAATCTAATGATAATTCATCATCAGAGGAGACTGATCAGAAGTTGGTAGAACACATAACAAAAGCCACTGGTAAAATTGACTCTCAGGATGCAGAAGAAGACAAATATAATTGTAAAAACAATAAGAGTATTCTGAATGAAAGGCTACAAAAGAATCAGACAAGTATGGTAAATGTTGCTAAAAAACGTAGTTTGTATGAAAATCTAATTAAGGAGGCAACAGTAGATTTAATGGAAGTTCAAGAACAACTTTATACTTCAGAAAATTTAAACGAATCTAAATCTGATTCAAACGGTGAATTAAGAAAGCTGAGTAGGTCAATAAATACCATAAAGAATGATTCTGAAGAGCTAATAAAAGATTCTGATGCTGTAGTTTTTACTCATACTAATTCAAATGAAAATGCTCAATTACATGTACAGAATGAATATGAACAGTCTATATCTTCACCCAAAATGTCTCACAAGCAACATAATCAGAAACTAACATCAGTATCACCAGATGAATTACTGTCGAACACTTGTATAAAAAATACATCACCATGCCAAAGTAATTCTAATGTTGATAAACAAGACATAAGGCAAATTCAACATCCTGACGGACGTATCGAGTATTGGTATCCAAACGGAAATGTTAAAAAGATTTTTCCTGAAGAAGGTTTGACTAAGTTAATATATTACAATGGAGATGTTCGAGAAACTAATAAAGATGGAAAAATAAGATATTTCTATGCATCAACTCGTACATGGCATACAACAATGCCGGATGGTTTAGAAATTTTAGAATTTGCCGAGTAAGTTACCATATTTATGGTATGGCTGAAAAGATAGTACAATCAGGCAGAAGATAATTTCATATGCAAAAATAAATTAAAAGTGAAAAATAAAATTTTGTCATCCAAGCCTAGGTAGCACAAATGACGCCTTGAAGACGCCCATTTTACGGCTATTTTAGGTCTAAGGCGCCTTTAGCCGTCTTCAAGGCATCATGTGGTATTTGGAAAGGCTTAGTTTTAAAAAGAAATCGATTTGGAAAATTCATCTATAACGCGCATATTTGTACTAGCAATGAGTAAGACGGAACGCAACGAACAAACGCGCTAACCAAGTCTTATTCAATTTCACACAAATAAACGCAGATTTTCAAATTCAATTATGTCGGAAAGGAAGCCTTTGATAAAAAAGTTGATTTTACACTTTTATTTTTGTATAAGGAATCACCAGCCTGCTTGTACCATCCTCTCGGTTACACCCTTATATATATTACTACTTCTGATAATTAATTATAATATACCATTTTTATTGGTAACGTAGTGGTCAAGTGGAAAGAAGATTACATGATGGTGCAGTGGAAGTATCATTTCCAGACGGTTCTGTACGAATTCTGGAATCAGATGGATCTGAAAAATGGACCCTACCGGATGGAACCTTAATTCAAACTTTTACTAATGGAGAGAAAGTTCTTTCTTTACCAAACGGACAACGAGAAATACATACTAAGACTCACAAGGTACAAATGACAATGTCATTGAAATTTACATGTTCCATAAATATTTTTTAATATATTTTAAATATTTCAGAGACGAGAATATCCTGATGGTACAGTTAAACTTATTTATCCTGATGGCACTCAAGAAACACGATACTCAAATGGTAGGATACGTTTGAAAGATAAAGATGGTAATCTTTTAATGGACTCGTATCAATAAAATCAGGAAATATTATTAGGAATTTGTATTTAGAAGTAATATTCACTACATGCCCCATTAAAAATAATGTGCATGATACATAAGTATATTTTACAAAGTTTCTGTACAGATGTAGCATATTATAATTAGGTATAAGTAATATTTAAGTATAGTCACAACTAAATTACAATAAATAAAAGATGAATTCCACATTTTTACAACATTAATAAAATGGAAACAACATTTTTTAATAGAATTGAATTTTGTTTTGTCCCATTTTACACCTTTCCTATCTTCTTTTTATAAAAATATTCATGTACATATAAAAGACTTTCAAAACGGAGAAGTCGTTTTAAAAAAAGTTAAATAGTCTTTTAATCGTAAAGATAATAATTTTTTGCAGTCAGTAATGAAATTTGATGTGGGATAGGAATTTAAAACTTAAAAATTTAAAACTACGCGGTGCAATTCTACATTTCAAAGCGGCAGGAACTTTTCGGACGACCTATATGTATGATATGTTGGAGAAGTTCAGTGATCTTTGAATAATTAAATGGACATAAATGGATATAAAAATTCAAAATCGTATTGATTTAAATTCTTATTTAATTAAATGGCTTTAATTTGGTAGTAACAGAGGATCCAAAATTTAAAACATAACGGAACTCGATTGAAGTGCATTGACTCAAAAAATCGTGAGATTTGAATTGTAACAGTAGCTATATAGCTTAGCCGTGATACCTCATTCACTGTGATTCACTGTAACTATGTCAAGAAGATCGAATATTAAGAAGTGGGTAACGAGGCTTGGTGTATTAAGTGGTGCAACGTTATTTTATTATAATATTTCTGGTAACAAAGAATTTCTACAGGTGCATAATTCGTGGACAACGAATGCGAATCCATCAGTGAAATGGGATCACAACTGGGATAGGTTATCTTCTTTATCATTTTTATCAATATTTTTAATACAGAAAGTATCGGTAACTTTATAATTTAATACGGATATAATTAAGACGATTTTTTATAGTTATTGTAGATACATAAATATAAACCAGATATTCTCATTCATTATTTGTATTATAATTTTAGACTGCGGATTGTATGTATTTATAGGATACACGATTGGTTAATACTCAGTATAAGCAGTATTTAATAAAGTTTAACAAGATTTTTTATTTCATTTGGTATTTAATTATATTTTGTTCAATTTGCATAAACATTCACAATCTAGTGTATAATTTTGTTGCTTCTAAAAAGAAACAATGACTTCATGTTTATATATGATATTATTTAATTGATGATATGATTGACATATGATATAATTTATTAAATGATATTGTTAATGTGTCTGCCTTCTTTCTTTGAGTAACAATTGAATGTAAATGAGAACATTATTTTCACATAAATATTGACAAATATATTTATATGTATATGCCATGTATTTTTCATTTCCCCTACTCATACATGATTGTATTTTTCTTTTTAATTTGTAATATAAATAATTAAAAATATTATTCAGAGAATATGATTTTTACTTTTAAAAGTTAATTTGTAATTTATTGTATTCGTAATTGTGTTTCTAGACGTGATCCAAAAAGTTTAGTAAAGCCAATGAAAATAAACACTGAAAATGATGAAAATATATATAACAAAGAATTATCATTGAAAAAAGCCAAAGCTAGTCGTCACATAATTTTGATACGCCATGGACAATATAATCTTTCAGGCAAAACAGATTTCGAAAGAACACTTACAGAGCTTGGTTAGTATTTTATATATTATTTATTGTTTTAAAAATAATAATATATGTTGATTTTTATGTGTTAAAAATTTCAATTAATGATATAATCTTTATATTATAAAGGTAGGAAACAGGCAGAAACAACAGGAAAAAGATTACAGGAATTAGGCTTTCCATATAGTCTGATTGTACGATCAACAATGACCAGAGCTCAGGAAACTTCTAAAATTATAGAAGAAAGATTGAAAAATGTAGCTGTAAAAGATGATTCCTTTCTTACTGAAGGTGCACCAATACCACCTGAACCACCAATTGGTCATTGGAAGTCTGAAATACATGTAGGTATATTATGATCCTTTTATGAATTTGTTCTTTGAAATTTTATTCTATATAATATTCTATACATTTTATATCAAATAGAGTAAAACTTCATAATATACTATATGACATGAATATATTTCAGTTCTATGAAGATGGACCTAGAATAGAGGCTGCATTTAGAAGATATTTTCATCGTGCAGATCCAAACCAAGAAAAAGATTCTTATACTATTATTGTTTGCCATGCAAATGTCATTAGATATTTTGTATGCCGGTAAATTATCTTTTTAGTATTTTATGTTTATACTGATGCATAAATATGATACTGAAAATTAACCTTTATTTCAGAGCATTACAATTTCCACCTGAAGGTTGGTTGCGCCTAGGTTTAAATCATGCGAGTATTACATGGGTCACTATTTTACCTAGTGGGAGAGTAAGTCTACTGACTTACGGCGATAGTGGACACATGGAGCCACGTTTAATCACTACTGGCTAAAATGAATATTGCTTATTATTTTGTACCATAAACATTTATATTCTTTAACTTTTACATTATTTTGAGGTAATAAGATAAACGGTATACTTTTATGTACTCTTTTTATTCACACAAAATAGTTTTCGATATCGCGTTTACGATACTTTATATAGTCTACTGAATGCAGTCAACTCTTGACTGATACACTCGTTGAAAGAGTTGGGTGTATTGACTCTGAAAAACTATCAAAACCATTATTTTGACTTGCTTGTCGTTTTTTAAAATCAAAATTTTGTATTACACAGTATTTAAAATAGTTCAAAGACTGATAAGAAGTATTTATATTTACACAAGGTTTTAACAGTAGGTACTAATAATCAAGGTGGTAGTCACATGAAGTATAGTAACATCGCACTAGACTATAGAAATGTTCAATTTATAAGATTACAGAAATCCTGTCATATTGATTATACACATCTGTACAGAATGTGTTATATCATTAACACAAATCATTTTCCTGTTACTATTAAGTATTCTACATATTTTTTAATTTGTACATTATGAATACTATAATAAAAGAAATTTATATCCTATACTTTACAGATAATTTGATGGAAAACAAATAACATCTAATTCTATTTCATTATGTAGCAGTAATTCTCATAGATTTTCTCGCATAATATCTCTGTAAAGCTGCTTCAAATACAGGCCCAATTGTCCTCTTCTCCCAAATTTTAGATCTTTCCCTCTTTTCTGCCTCTATTTTTGCTTTTGCCCTGACACTAGATTTGATTGCTTCCTCATCTGTATCATTCTTACTATTTTCTGAGCCATTTTCCTTACTCTTTCTATCTGAACTATCTTTTGTTGCAACTGTATTATTTATTACATTATGTTCAGCATCTTCAGCTTGTTCCTTAAGTTTTTTACTCTCAGGTTCTTCTACATTTTCTATTTCAACGTCTTTATGTTTTTCAGGTGAAAGAACTTTCGTTTTATTTTCTGCTGTTTGTGGAGCCTCAGCATCTGTATCGCTTTCTTCCTCCAACACTCTCCGTCTGTATTGTCTACTCTTTTTGCTTTTTTTATTTGTAATTTGTTCGTTGTTCGATGTAGCTACACCTGTTTCTTTATTTACATGCTGTATCTCTTTATCCGAATTAGGTTTATCTTCATTTGTACTGTTTTTAGTTTGAGCTTCTTCTGGTCCTTTGATTGTCTGTTCATACAAATGTCTATAGAATCCTGACATATCTTGCTGTTTCTTAACATCTCCAATAGCTTCCAGTCTATCCATTCTAGATTCTTCTTCTTCTAGTTTCTTAAATTCTTCTAATTTTGCTCTATAAGCAGAAGTGACAAAACTTTCTTTGTCTGCATACATTTCTCCTTCTTCTTCCCGTTCCTTTTGCACCATTCTTTCTATTCTGTGTTCTTGTTCCCTTTTTCTTCGTTCAGCAGCTTTTAGGAGATTTTGAATATATTTTGGTTTCTTGTTCTCATCCTTTGCTTCTTTTGACTGCGTTTTAGTACGTTCCATATCATCATATACTTCATCATATTGATATATAGTTGGGTCTTCTTTCAAAGCTTTCTGCATATTCAACCTGGTTTGCTTTTTTATTTTATTTTTCTCTTCTTCTGCCTTGAGGGCTTTTTTAACCCAATCAGTGCCATCTTCTTCATCTGAATCATTGTCATCTGCAAATATATTGCTGGTTCTTGGTGTTACAGGTTGTTGTTTTTTCGGTAAAATTAAACCATACCTAAAAGTATTCATAAGAGTTGATGATTTCATTCAAATACGGCATTTTTCTATTCATTAGAGGATTTATAGTTAAATATCGTCGTTCATTATTAATATTTTTCTATAACTTACTGTTTTTCTTCTTTGATGCTAGACATGTTTGTACTAATAATACGTTATTTGAAACGAACGTGCTCGTTTTATTACTTATTAAAATTATGGTACACAAATTTTACACTAATGTTACGTTAAACTATGGTTAAAAGACCATATAAACAAACAATTATAACGTCTGTTTTTGTTACTAGAAATGGTGAATTTGAACGTGTATTGTTTCTCTAGCATCTAACGAATCACATTTTTCAGAGAATAGAGAAACATAGATAACTTGAATTTGATGATAGATTTTAGTTAGATTCGTGACAAAAATATAATTTTGATTCAATTTATTAAACATTTATTCTAAATCATTTGTAGAAGTAATTAAATACTTTATTGATGAATACTTCGACTCGTGATAAATACTAGTTAAAAGGAAATTTCCTTTAGAAAAAATCCTATGAGCAAGCTGACGTTAAAGCTTTTCAGCAATTGCAAAATAGACTCAAAGGAAATAAGACTGAAAAATACGATTATAAGGAAAAAATACCGTATATATCAATATAGGTCTCGTATCTCATTTTAATATAATCTATGGCAAATTATGCGTGAGATAAAAACGGAAAAACTGATCATCATCAATCATCATGATCAGCTTCGTCAGTATCAAAAGTATTATATACTGAGTATAAAATAATATAGATGCAGCACATACACATATGTATGTATATACTATACATATGTGCATCGGTGTTTCATTCAAGTAAATAGTAAATCTATAATTTTTTTAGAACATGTTTAAAGCTATTAAAAATCAAAATCGTTCAAAAACCACCTAATAATAATTTTATAATAATATTATTTTCAATATGAATTATTGTAAAGCATTAAATATGTTTCGCGAAATAAATGTGAAGCCATAGAGAAAGATGATACGTATGTATATATAATCACTTATTGTAACTTGTAACTCCAATCGCTCCTACCCTACTCTGCCCACACACTCGTAGTTGCGGACGTCATCAGTATACTATATCGACATTGTATATATAGACCGCGTAGAATGTCTTGTTGAGGTTTAGAACGGTTTCATTTCATTACCGCCGAAATAATTTCTTCAATATGGTACGGACAGGTGCTACGTGTTGTGTTGTGCTGCTTTGCTTTTTTGTTGGAATTGTATATGGTTTCGCGATAAATTCCGAGCAGAAGTTGGAGGAAAACTTCATTGCTCCACACTACACACATTATGAGGAGCTGAAACAGTTGTACAGTTCCTTGACCGAGAAGTACCCTAATTTGGCGAAAGTGTTCTCCATAGGAAAGTCTGTAGAAGGCAGGGATTTGTTAGTTCTTGAAATTTCTGAAAATGTCAGGGAACGAAAGCTTGGTGAGCCAATGGTGAAGTATGTAGCTAATATGCATGGCGATGAAGCTGTGGGCAGAGAATTGTTGGTTTATCTTGCTCAATATCTCCTGCACAATTATGAAAAAGATGATAGAGTTACAAAGCTAGTGAATAACACTGATATCTTTCTTATGCCATCCATGAATCCTGATGGGTTTGAAAAGTCAGAGGTAACGCATTCGTATTTTATTATAGTTTGCCTTTATAATATGTATTTGAAAGCAAATAATTTGATCTTTTACTTTTTATTAGGAAGGAAAATGTGAATCAAAGAAAGATTTCTTGGGACGTGAAAATGCAAACCATGTTGACTTAAATAGAGACTTCCCAGATCAATTTGATAGGAGAATTAGCCAACTACAGAAAGGTGATAGTATTTTAGACGGACGTCAAAATGAAACAATAGCTGTGATGACATGGATTGCTACAGAGCCATTTGTATTGTCTGGAAATCTTCATGGAGGTGCTGTTGTAGCCAGTTATCCATATGACTCTGGGTAATAATGTATTAAAATTTTTGTACAATTACAAAACTGTGATTTTTTTTGTATTCTATTACAGTAGTTATTCTGTGTAAATATTCTTTCTTAGAATTTCAAGAACTTGCTGTATTGAAAGTAAAAGTCCAGATGATGAACTGTTCAAATATTTAGCTCATGTATATGCAGATAATCATCCACAAATGCATGCAGGCAATGCATGTCCTCCAGAAATTTTCCGAGGTGGTGTTACCAATGGAGCCTATTGGTAAGTGTAAATTTTCCATTTTATAGCTACTGAAAACCAAAATCATAAGCAGTAGAATACAATAGCAATCATCTTAGGATACTTTAGATGAACTGGGAGAAAAAGAATCGCTGACTGCGTGGATACCTTAGTTCGTCAACGCACTCGCCCGCAAAGTGTGAGACCCAGCTTCGACTGCCGGGCTCAGAATACTCTATCGACCAATTATTCTGGATGAGTGCTTTGACCAACTAAGCTACGCGGGCCTTCGACGATTTTTCGTATTTATAAAAAGAATGCTACTCAAATTTATTTGCTTTAGGTACGAAGTTATCGGTGGAATGCAAGATTTCAATTACGCTCGCTCTAATGCATTTGAGATAACATTCGAACTTAGTTGTTGTAAATATCCGAATTCCTCAACAATGCCAGAACATTGGATGTTAAATAAGGAGTCTCTTATAAAGTATCTCGAGCAAGCACATATTGGAGTAAAAGGTGCTTGGACATGTCTGAAATACAATTTGGCACTTGTCAATAATGAGACACTTATTTGTATGTTAATTCTAGGTCTTGTACGAGACACAGATGGTCAGCCAGTAGAAGCGGCTAGTATCATTGTGGATGGAATAGATCATAATATTTCAACCACACATCGTGGAGAATATTGGCGTTTGTTGCTGCCTGGTACTTATCTGATTCATGCAGACGCATGGGGGTAAGTATGCTTGTGTGATAAATCTAACAGTAATATATTAACACAATATTACTACAGTATTAGTTAATTCAAAAGAACACTTTATATGTGTTACATTTCTGTTTTTTTTTAATTACAGGTATCAACCAAGTGAGCCAGTAAATGTTACAGTGGAACCAGGTAAACCAACCATTGTCAACTTCACTTTAAAACAGGATTCCTGCGATGACCAAGGTAATCAAGACATAGATTATCCTCGTATGCTACCACTTCTAAGTCAATATCCTGCACTTTACAAACTAATTCGCTCTTATGAAGATATGAACTACTAATCAGTTTTCGTATAATTAATGATATGAAACTTTATTACATATCTTTCCTTTTTTTCAAATTTATTTTCTGATTCCAGTTTTTTTTCCTTGAAAATACAGATAGTTACAAATTTTTATTTTTTTCTTAACACTTGTTTTTATCATTTTTTCCTCTTTATTATTTGTGTTCTGTTATATGTTCTTATTTTCATTTACAGCACCAATACGATAATATAGCCACAACACATCATTTGATACCTTCTGACATAACCACACATTTTATTATAATTTAAATTTTCGTTATCACAAACAAGTAGAAAAACACACAAGGTATGGAGAAATAATATACATCAAAAGGATAAATTAAATTGAAAATTATTCACTTTTAATATGAATTATTTGTATTACTAAATAATTATAAAAACACACGTACTTCAGTTTTTTTAGCATTTGCATTTTGCTTTTACGTTTTTTGCAATTTTATCTGCAAGAAATTATATGCGATAAGCTAAATATAAAATCTAAGAAGAGCTATTATATCATCATGTACTAAATTTACAACATTGCTAGAAAACTGAACATATCTTTTTCGAACAATAGGAATAGTAGCTATTAATTTTTAAACCATAGATTATTTACAACATGACATTTTACTAAGCCTTTTTGGCATCACCGAATATATAACGAACTGTGATTTCTTTTTTATTTGAATGCTCTCTGATGTATTTTTATATTAACAAGTAATACAGTAAAGAATTAGTTGGAAAAGGAATGTGTGGATACTACGTTTACATACCTATATATATATTTTTTTTATTAAGTATGGTTTTAAATGTTCTAGTAAAAGAATCTCTATTTCAATAAACTTGGAAAACAACCGTACCGGGCAATATTAATTAAATTTAAAAAAAGACAAACGTTTATTTTCGGATTTTTATTTTATATTATTTAAAGAGTGATGCAAAAGTCTATCACATTAGATGATGTAACAGTAATTTCTATGCAATAGTGAAATATGTAAAATTTCTAAACGTTTTTAGTACAAGACACGATATAGGAACATTTACTATGTAATTTTAGTAAGTGTCAAAAGAATGTAAAGCAGTGAGCGATGTTTATGATTGTATCTGTAATTAGCTGTGTAGTATAATATATCTGAACTGAATGTATGATATCTGGAATTAAAAATAAAATATTATATTTGCCTGAAACAGTGAGTTAGTTTTCTTAAATATTTTCCAGCCTTTTCCTATTATTTTTTATCCATTAAATATTACAGTTCTTCTAATTATCATTTTTATTGCTTCTTCTTTTCTTAAGTTTTTATTTTCTCTGTACCTTGTGTTGAAGTTTATGCAAATTTACGTCATAAATATATTATTTTATGTTTACTAACAATTCGTTTTTTAAATTTACTTCTCGATTATGTGAGAAATTCGTCAAAATAAATTTAACTCTACTTTTTATTTCAACATTAATACTTTTTTTATACAGCATGTTGATCTTAGTTTTAATATATATAAATTCTGTTTTCTTTATTATAATATTGCGTTTGTTCCCATATAGGAAAGTTAGAATCACCTAAAGTTGAGGAAATTTTAAGATCTATAGATAAATACGGATTCTTTCATGACACGAAATTTAAACATCATAATTATGCAGAAATGGAGAAATACTTGGATACACTGAACGCAAATTATCCTAATATTACTAGACTTTATAGCATTGGAAAGTCTGTTAAAGGGCGTCACTTATACGTTATGGAAATAACTGAAAATCCGGGGAAACATAGTCCAAATAAACCAGAAGTAAAGTATATAGGAAATATGCATGGAAACGAAGTGGTCGGCAAAGAAATTTTATTACTTTTATTGAGATATCTCTGTGAAAATTATAAAACTGATGAACGAGTTACAAAGATACTTAATAATGTTAGATTACACGTAATGCCAAGTATGAATCCCGATGGCTATGAAATTTCTAAAGAGGGAGATGTATATGGAGCACGTGGAAGAGCGAATGCTAAAGGAGTTGATTTGAACAGAAATTTTCCGGATCAATATGAAACAAATGAAGTATGAATCTTAATTTATTAATTACTGTAATTTCTGATTGTTCAATATGCATATTGTCATATGCAATGTCATGGGGACTTTAATTATTTTACAATTTTATATGTTATAGTATAATAGAGAACAAGAACCTGAAACAAAAGCAGTGATGGATTGGATCGCAAAAATTCCGTTTGTTCTTTCTGCTAATTTACATGGGGGAACTTTAGTAGCAAATTATCCATACGATAATGCACCACAGTATACGCCTAATGCTCCAAATCTAAGTCCGGACAATGATATCTTCAAAGCACTAGCATTGGCATACTCAAATGCTCATCCTCGTATGCACCTTGGAGAACCATGTCCGCCACTTCCCAACGAGCGACCAAATATGCAAAGTGTGCTCGAGGAACGTTTTCCAAACGGAATAACTAATGGAGCTGCTTGGTATTCCGTGAGCGGAGGAATGCAAGATTACAATTATGTTCATAGTAATGATTTTGAGATTACATTAGAAGTTGGGTGCACAAAGTTCCCAAATACAACCGAATTACCAATGTATTGGCTACAAAACAGGGAACCTCTGTTACGTTTTATTGAAATGGTACTTGTGCCTGTATCACTTATTAGGTCGATATCCATAAGAATCACAATTACTGTTTCCTGAATGTTAACTTCAAATTCAGGAACGCGTATCAATACTACTTTGACTGATAAAATTCGTTTAGAGTTTAAAATAATATAAAGAGACACTAAAAAATTCAACGTTTCCTATGTATCGACTTAATACATCTCAATACATGTGTTTGTAATCTATATTGTAACAATTATAAGTGTTATCATTTATAGTCTCGCAAAGGCATCCATGGTATAGTTCGTTCATCTATTGGCAACGTCGTACCTCATGCCAAAATATCTGTAGATGGAATTAAACATCATATTTATGCAGCCGAAGGCGGTGATTATTGGCGACTCTTAGTCCCGGGAAAATACAATGTTACAGCCAGTGCAGTAGGATATGAGTCTCAAACACAAAATGTAATTGTACCTGAGGGAAACAGTATGGGAGAAGGAGAGGAGATACTGGATTTCACGCTAATGCGAGATGATCCTCAACACTGGTACAATCACATATAACTTTTTCTTAATCTTGTTGAGTAGGGAATACTTTATCATTCATAAACATTAAAATTTACAGAACAATGATATTTGTGTGTTTTGAGCATTAAAAAGGATTCTGTTTTATAAGGAATGTTAAGAATTTCGTTTTACAAAGAAATTTAAAAGCCCCAAGAAACATTAAGTAAATACTTTAATACCTCACGAAATGTATGCTGAACTTAATGAAGTAGATTACAACACTAAGTTATTACATATATAAAATATTGATACAATTATTAAAATGCTCTTAATAGAATTATTTTTTATTTGTTATTTTTGAATATTATAAGCGATAGCAGTTTGTTTACTATAAACTTATATTTTAACATTATGTATAAAGATATGCATTGAAAAAAATTTTAATTTAATATTTACATGTATAGTGTAATAGTGTACATATTATATTATATCACGTATAAAAAAAGTATGTCGAAGATGTGAATTCTTATTTCAGGTCATCCGCGTACGATTTTGGGTTAATGGCGAATTTGCAGAAAATTTACTTAAAAAATGCAGAGTTAAGTGCTAGGTTTAGTCAGTTAGAAAATCATCAGCCAAACGTTGCCGAATTTCAAGCTGGAGACTCGTTAATTAGTATGGCTATACATTCTTTAAAGATTACACATGACGTAAGTATTTTTTCACGAATAAAACGTCTCTAAACTTTACATGTTAGAATTTTATAGCATATTTAATGAATACGATGTCTTTATAGATGGGAGCACCAGAAGAAAATAAATTTCATATTGGTTTAATTGGTGGGCTATTTGCCTCTCAACCAGTGGGTAGAGAAATTCTGTTGCGACTAGCTACGCACATCCTTATGGGAAATCAACTTGAAGATCCTCCTATACAGAAAATACTGAATAATTCTGTTTTACATTTCATTCCTGGCGTAGATCCAGGTTTTGATCAAATACTAGATAATCAAGTTTGTAATCCTATAGTGAGAGGGGAAGTTGGCGAGAAACTGTTACAAAAAAGCACTATGAATTCTGATAAGATCTATACAGTTACTAATGCATTTAAAAAACTGCTGGCTAATGAGGAATACGATATAGTAGTTATATTAGGAAGTGGGGCACTTAAAGTTGGGTAATGCAAGATTTAATCTAAATTATTAAATTATTACCTAAATTATTTAAGAAACTACTTTATGTATTTCATATTATTGTTTTAGTTACACGGACAATAATATGAATGCATTTAAAACACTTGCTGTAAATTATGAACATGCAACGAACAAAGGGACATGTAGTATCTTTAATAGTGAAGTTAAAGAAGTGCAAGATTATATTCAAAATGAATATAACATTCCAGTAGTAAGTAATACATGTGGAATGTCGCAGATTTTTAATTATAGTTTGTATATTATACGTATATCGGTACTACGATCTATAATATTTTCAGATGAGTATCAACTTGGCTTGTTGCAAGTATCCACCTGCCGAATCTATTCCAAATATTTGGCGTGAACATTTATTGCCTCTGATGCAGCTTATTCGTAGCCTAACAACTGGTATCAGGGCAGTAGTAACAGGTGTTGATAACATTCCTTTGAGGGAAGCAGTCATTAAGATTGGAACGAAACAGTATGAGGTGTCAAAGAATATGGCTTACTTTAAGATTATTCTCCTTCCTGGTGAATATACATTAACATTCTCCTGTGAGGGGTATATAGAACAATCCGTTAAAGTTCACGTGAAAGATGAAAGTATAAAAGATGTTACTGTTACATTGACAAAACGTCATGTAGATGAAATTGAACATCAAACGAATGATAAAGATTCGGAGCCAAATGTTGTGAACCAAATTTTAACTGATCTAAACAATAAATACTCAGAGTTATCTATTTTACATACTATTGGCAAGTCACAAAAAGGTATTCGAATAATGTGCTTAGAAATTGGAGCTGAAAATAATTACAAACGAATAGGCCGCCCGTCGATTGCCTTTGTAGCTGGTGTTTCCAATGGTGTACACGTAACATCTAAAGTCTTACTACATTTCACTACGTATCTCTTGGACCATTATAGAAAAGATACTAAAGTTACAAATTACTTAGATAAATATACAGTGTACATTGTCCCGGATTTAACCCAAAATCCTAATAACAATCAATCTTGTTCTTCGTTTATTGTGGATGACTTACGATTTCCTATTAATGCTCCATTGTCCAATGCAGCAAGTACAATAATTAGTTGGTTCAGAAAAATGAATCCAATGTTAGCGATAAATTTAAATATTGGTTCTCAACATATTGAAATTCCGTTCGCGGGAAAATACGGAAAAATGTCAGAATATTTATATGAAACCGATGATGATGTTGTATTACAAGATTTAGCGATCACGTACACTAAACACAATGTCTATATGACTTCGAAAGATTCATTTTGCAATCGTGATTTAAATATAAATGCTACTGGTGTTATTCATGCTGGGGAAGGAATTGGTGGGAGAAGAGAACATTCCTTAGTGGATTATCTTTATCTAAATACAAGTACTTTGATGATAGATGCATATATTACCTGTTGTGATACAGATGATTCAAGAAATGTGTGGGAAGATAATAAAGACAGTTTCTTAGCTGTGGTAGGTAAGCTTAATGATGGAGTGAAAGGATATGTTCTTACTAAAAACAACGAACCAATAGAAAATGCCATTTTATCATGCAACAAATCACTGCACCACATTAAAAGTGGAATAAACGGAGCTTACTGGCTTTTACTTCAACCTGGTACTCACACTATAAGTGCCAGAGCACCTGGATATGTTCAGCAAATTAAAGTTTTCGTTACAACGGATGTACATAATATTTCAAATTTAATATTTAAATTAAGATTTAATGACAAGTTCCTGGGAATGCCTAGAATCGTTTTCATCATACTTATAAGTAAGATAATAAATGTTAATGCATATATAATACAATATACTTTTAAGAAACACAGTTCATTAAAGTTATATTTCTTCAGGTAGTATATGCTTCGGAATTATTGCTTGTGCTATGTTCATCTGCGCAAATTGTAAAGCTTCTAAAGAGTTGCAAAAAAACAATCGGAGTGGATATGCGTTTAGTTTACTTAAAGATGGAACAAGCTTTTTTGATGATGATGAGAAGGAAGTTGAAATATTTAGAAGACCAGTGAATGGTAAGTATTATTTTAAGTGAAAAATTATATTTACATTTTCACACGTGAACAATATTAAAAAATATAGGATATATTATATTTTTTTTTCAATCTACACTTTTAGGACATATGCAAGCTAGTGAAGTTACAAAACCATATTTTGATGATGAAAACATGTCTAGTTCTGAGGATGCCAGTGATTTAGAATTTATTAAGCCAGGTCAAGTTCAGTGGGAAGACAAAGCATCAACAGAAACTAGATAGTGTTCTTTACAAATACAAAAATTTTGCATTAGACTTACACTGAAAATTTAGCACTTGAAAGTAAGAAATTGGTTGCCTTCCGTTATCGCATTTATCCATTACTTTAACTTATTTAATATGCGACAAAGTGTCAATAATACCAATGGCTGGCGTGATAATATTGTAGTGATGTAAGTTACGATGCAGCTTCTTTTAAAAGATAGATCTTTGACTAATTACATCCACCCGGTGATAAAAGTTTTCAAATTTAAATTATTTGTTAATCTTTTAGATTTAGATAGATCTAAAAATACACATAGCAAATAATAAAAGAAATCACTCTTTTTATGTACGAAAAATGTACTTAAATGTATTATGAAGATCAACCAGGATATGTATGTATTTAAAAGTCAAACTGAATTTTATTATACAACAAAGAAGGATAGATATGTTTTAAAAAAGTAATTAATATTTTTATATGTGAGGCAGAATTAATATTTAATACGCAAAAATGCAGTATACATTCCAGAGTTTTTTATATGTTATTTACATGTGATTCAAATGCATTTAGTATAACAAACTATTGTAAACTTTGAATTTATAAAACATATCTTTCATGAGCATTGACTGTCATCTTTAAAATGATCATAGTTCTGAATATGTATATTATATATAGTATATAGATATATCTATATACACGTCTATATAAAACTTTAGTGAATATTATTAAAATCTTTTAATGTACTTGTAGACATTTTTACTAATTTTTACCTAAAACTATTTATATTTTCGGTATCAATAAAGAATATTTATTGTAATAATATACGCTACTAGTTTTATTAAGAAAATATGAATAATTCAGTTACTTTGAGTACTTAAATTACTGAAATTTTGTTCTAAATTGTTTCTAATAAAGGAAACGCATATAACAGTGAAAGACTTCATAAAAAGTGATGAATATTACACTTGTAATTAGATGCTTACTTTTAGAAAGTTAGTTTAATTAAAAGAATATTATTTTTCTATTAAATAATGTTTATTGAATGGTTGTGACACATTGTTTAGTAGTATGTATATGTAAACTATGATAATTTTGATGTGACAAAAAATTTGAAACTTGAAATAAAAAGAATGTAAAGCAGCAAAGGTACTGTGTTCGTTGCTTATTACATATGTACTTTCTACATGTATTACTAATATTATAGTCAATGTAGGAACCTGTCATCATTATGGAAACAAAAAGAAATTGGTTCTTCTCTTTTAACAGCTATGTATTTATAAAAAAAAGTATTTATAAAATAATTTCCATATGTATAAATGAACATGTGAGAGCCAGTGAGAGTATGCTCTACCCAGTCAGCCAAATTTGCAAAGTCATGTTTTGTTCAATGCCTGTTATAAAGTTATGGCTACAAGTTTGATGCAAGATTTGCTATAAACAACTTGCGCTGCCTTGCGCGCACATTGGCAGCAACATATGCAGCAAATTGGCTTGCGCAAACCTTGCTCCAGCAGAAATTCCCTGATTTTTTGCATGATCGGTATTTCCGAATTTCAGAACATGAGACACGGAGCGGGGGACCTCTGTGAAGTTAGCCAGGAAATTATGACTTTTTAACGTTTCATTATATCCAATCGATTGGTGGTAGATTGGTGATCATTGGTGGCCTAATTAGAACATTGGTGGTCACGCGTTCTTTTGTAATTAAGTTAATTTTTTTTCTCGCCGGATTCAGTTTTTTAAATGCTCAATCGATGCGTAATCGTTTTCTTGGTCTAATTAGGCCATCAATGACCACCAAACGACCACCAATCGATTGGGTATAATGAAACGTTAAAAAGTTAAAGTTATCCAGCTAACTTCAAAGAGGTCAGCGGGAGTTATTTCAATTGCTAGTTAGAAACAGGTTTAGTAACAGTACGATTTATTGTGTTATGTTGTTAAACGTGATTTAGTCTGTTTTGGTTTTAATTTTTTTTTTATTACTTCGCGGCAACCAATTGCAAAGCAATGTGTGAATGGAGTCATGGCATGTGTGGACCAATCAGAATACGCCAGCTGGGATTCCAGACATTTGACAGTGTCCAACGTGTATAAAACTAAACGTGGGACGAACTGATGTAGTTGCGTTAGGAAATCGTTTGAAATTATAAACGCATGAATTAAAAGTTCCGGTGCGTTTGCATTACAAGTTCCAAGGGATATCTTCTACACGGTGTATAAGTTACTTTATCAGCGCGGCACTGTGTAAGTTGTGTTTCTTTATTATTCTTGGTAACCTAATAATTATAGTAAATATTTAGACGTAAGCATTCTTTTATTAATTAACATTATCTTCACATTTTACGTACATGAACATTTTATAAGTAATTCTGTTTTAAGTTGACGTCAGCTTTAATGTGTTAAATTTTTCAATGATTGTTTAAGATTGCATCATTTTATTATTTTGAAGTTCTAATTTCTGTCAGGGATAATTATTAGACACAGTTTCACGATGTTATATAATGAAAGATTTTTGTTTTTGTTTACAGTACATATTCAAAATGAACAACTCATTGTTAACACTATTTGTTCTTGTTGGAATAATCTACACTGTATCAGCATTAAAAAATGATGAATGTGAAGGTATGTAAATATATATTTTATTAGTTTCTATAACATATTACTTATTTATCGTGATGACTATTCTTGATTTGGTTGTTATTGCAGTGTGTATATCTACTGTGGAGAAGTTTGTTAAAACTTTATCCGATGATGTCAAAAAGGATACCAAAAAGATAGAAGCAGCATTTAAGGAATTTTGTAAAGGCACTAAATCTAAAGAAAACAGATTTGTGAGTATTCATATTCTTGATAGAATGTTAATAATTTACAACTATAGATACAATAAGTTCACATTTATGATGATCTATATTTTTTCTTTTTGTAGTGTTATTACTTGGGTGGCTTAGAAGAATCTGCTACTGGTATTTTAAATGAATTAAGTAAACCTGTATCATGGTCTATGCCTGCAAACAAAGTATGTGAAAAACTAAAGAAGAAAGATGCTCAAATATGTGACTTGAGATTTGGTATGTACATTTCTAATTGTCCTATTGTCTACTGCTTATTGTCAATTGAGTATTTCATTGAATGACAATGCTATCAAATTTCAGAGAAGCAAATTGATGTAAACACAGTTGACTTGAAGAAGCTTAAGGTGCGTGACTTGAAAAAGATTCTAAGTGACTGGGATGAAACATGCGATGGTTGTATAGAAAAGACAGATTTTATTAAGCGGATCGAAGAACTAAAACCTAAATATTCTCGTAGTTCGAAAGCAGAACTCTGAAAAGTGTTCAGTGATGTAGGTAAATTATTATATTAGTGTGGCTAAGCTTTTGGACATTCTTTATTTTACAAAATGAGTAACAGTGTAACGCATATATTCGTAATTGAGTGCATGTGTGATTATCATTTTGTAAAAGTTTTGTTTGGTGAGACTTTTGAGGCCAGATATATGCATTTACGTTTCAGTAAAAAAAAAGATTATTCTCTGATTTATGTAAATTAAGCAATAACTATGGATAAGGGAAAAAACCAAGGAACGTCACACAACAACTTTACTGAGAAAACCAACTCTTTAATACGTTAGCCCATCACTGTTTTTAACCATACACCGAATCTTTAGCCTTATCTTATGTGGACATTTCTACTTCGTAACGCACTGTGAATCAACAGTCCTATAATCCCAATTGTCACGAACGAAATACGTTATATACCGTAAAATCATTAAAAATGGACATTTCCTGTTTTTGTCTCTTATCTCAATTTAGGTATGATTTCAAGAAATTAAGAATACTGAGCAATGAAAATTTGTGAAGGCGGTTGATTTCTTTTTTTATATTGTAGCCATGCTAATAAATGTTGAATATCATAAAAGGTGCTCCGTTTTTAGCGTACCAAATGTTAGACAAATATAAGTAACTCAAATTTATCATACTACAAATTATTTTCATGGTTTTATCATTCATTGCTCTTCCTCGGATATTCTGATACAGTGCGTTTATACATGTATGAATCCTATTTATACCAAATGCAGTGTACGTATATCAACAGATGTGTATATGTGGTGAACTATTAATAATATGTTGTTATATATCTTTATTCCTTCTTTTTCAATACACATAACACTTACAAAGTTCTGTCAACTCTAGAAGCATACAGTCAGGACATTTCTCAATAATTATGTGTAATAATACATTACCTTTTTACATCGGTAAGAACATTTATTCTATCGGTTAACATAGATCATAATATTAGAAGTCTATCGAATGCTCAGTATTATGTATTTATTAACAAACTTGCATTTGCGAGAGCCAGTTTTACTCTATTTCAAAGCTATATGCTTCAAGGCATAGAATATTTTAAGAATAACGTTGACGTTCATTATTGGTAAATGTATCTCTTGTACAATAATGTTATTTTGTGAAGATACACTTATGGGATGTAAAACGGAAAAGTATTATAAAAAAATTGAAGATTTAATAATTTTGACATTGAATAAAAAACTGTCACATAAATTTGCTATGACGTTTCATTTTCATTTGCGCTAAAAACTATCCTTATATTAATTACCAGCACAATTTGGTGGCTCGCTCCAACGTCCGTCAGCTTTACACGTAATTAATCCCTGTCTTTTACCATTGGGACACACATATGTCAGCTGATCTTGATACAAATACGAACGACCGTGAACAGTAACTCCAGGCGGAATTTTGGGTTTATTGCATGATAGTTCTATAAATCGACAAATGGGAATGGTATGCTAAAATATATGTAATATTTATTATGTGCTACACTTACTTGAACATTTACTGTATACTCGAGACCATTTTCCGTTCGCAAGACATCTGGCATTTGGTTGTCCGAACATTAAATATCCAGGTAGACACTGATAAGTGATCATGTTACCAAACGTAAAATTTGTTGTTCCAATGTTGTCTTCTTTCAACACTGCATTTGCAGGTATTGATGGTTTCCCACATGTTACAGCTAAAAAAACATGCTATTGTTATTAATTCTTTGATATATTAATTAAGTGTTCGCCACAAATAATAATTTTATTCTTACGTTTACAAGAAGGAATTGCAGACCATGTACTGTTCGGGAAACAGAAAATTTCTCCGTTGCCTTCAAGGATATAACCATGGCGACATTTGATGGTGATGGTGTTATTAACAATTCTTGAGTCATTATTACTATTATCTGTGATGTATCCATATTCTGGGATCTATTAATAATTTCAATGTGAATTTCTGTCTTCTTAAAGACATTTATAATGATTATTGAGTACAATACTTACTGTAACTAAAGGGCACATCAATTCTTGGCAAATATCAGTCCTGTTGTCAAATATATTCTCAATTATACCACTATTTAACTGTAAATGATTAATTTCCCATTTACCATTCTCATTACAAGACCATGTTAAATCAGGAACATGTATACTAATATTTTCATGAATAAACGTGATTGCATTATTATTTTTACAAGCAAGAACTATTTTCTTTGTATAATTGTAATTCTCCACGGAGTATTCCAAGTTTTTATAGGAACCGTTATAATATTTTATATCGTTCAATGCCTCAGTATCATTATTCCAGATACTAGAATGATCATTGGTAACTGCTGCTCTTTTGAAATGCTTAAACAGTGGAAAATTCAAGATCGAACATTCGTAAGGTTCACAAGATGGCGATGTTGATGACCATTCTTCATTGTCCATGCAAGTTCTAATAATATCTCCAATTAATTTATATCCTACGTGACATTTTATTAAAATCTGCGAGCCAAGATCAAATTGTTTCTCAAAACCGTCATTCTTTATCAGTGTTGCGTCCTTATCTGTACTATTAGATGCTACTTCCTTCTTGGAAAGTTCGACGGTACCATTTTGCGTTTTTAAAAACATTTTACCGTTATTGACAATCCTGGGCGAGGGACACGTAAGCGGCATGCAGTCAGGCACGAATCCACTCCAAGTACCGTTCTCGTTACATCGAAGTTTGAATTCGGTTAATAAATTATGATTACCCTGAAATTTATATCCCGGATGACAGGAGTATCCAATGACGTCATCGAAATAATAATTTCTTTCGAGAGTGGTATTAGACGTCTCTGTGTCGAGATTTGTAGCAGAAATTTCGTGGAGATTATTACTAGAAGAACTGGAGAAGATTATGTACCCGTGTTCGATTCTGTAAAAACATTCAAATAAAATTCATTATAAAATCCAATAAGTCCATACGTGGTTTTCTTGACCGCAACCAAAATGGCGCCGCCAATGGGAAACTTTACAAAATTTAGGAACTTTGTTTATTCACGAATTATATCATTGTCTAAATAAATAACTACAACAATTTTTTCCACAATTCAGCATTAATTTACATAGCTTACTTTTTTGGCGATGGACACCCATAAACTTCGCACGTTGGTCTCTGGTGATCCCATGTTCCCGATTCCAAACACGTCAGAAATTTTTCCCCCGCCAAATGAAATCCTGCATCGCATTTGAATTCCAATTGTTGCCCCACCTGAAAGGGAATTTACCGAAAGTTTCGAGTTTTATTAACCAAACGGCTTCTAGGTTGATCCACGCACCTGTAGGATCGACAGATCATCCCTTTCGTATTCTTCTATCACGTACTCGATGTCACCGTGTTCCGGAGCCAGTAAATTCTTACACGTTCTTCCTGGCATACAGAATTGAAATGATTCTCAGAAGTTCTCGGTAAAGAAACTTTCGCGTAGCTAGTAAAAAATAGTAGGGGGTATACACCTATGCAGACCGGCGGCAATCCACTCCATTTTCCGTCAACGTTACAAATCCTATGGGGATTGCCTCGAAGCTCGTATCCACTCAAACAAGAATAGTGTATTTCATCCCCGAAGAAATACGATTTACCTTGTATGCGACCTCGGGGAAAATATCCTGGAAAACTACATTTTCTTCCTGAAATAAAGATGAAATCTACAGTATTATATCCCCAGCCAGTGAATTTGCACTCCAGTAGCAACAGATACCGTTGCCAGAATAATTTTTCTGGCTCATTTATTAAAGTTCATTCATACTTTGAGAAATTCCATTTTCAAAATTAACAATCGGAATTGCCCCAGCTTACTAGCACAAATTGGTGTATAGTAGCCTTCCCATTGGCCCTGTTTCAAGCATTTAACCTTCAACGATCGATGCTCTTTTCCACGAAATCGCACCACGTAACCAGGATCGCAATAATAAGTGATTTCCAATGAATCATCGCTGACGTTTATATTACCCTTAAACGGCACCACTGGCAGAGGACAGCCGCGACAAAAAGGGCTATTTAATATCTGAGAAAGCGAAATTTCCGTTTAACAACATGAAATCTTTCGTAATTCAAGCATATTGTTCTTTGAAAAGTGATATTAATTACAGCAACGTCACCGTGCGCGTGTTCTTGCACCTGGGACCAAGCGATCACGTTCCCGTGGTATTTGTCGCAGGTGTTAAATAAATGCAGTACATCTGTCGCTGTTAACACCGTGCTCCAAACGTCTAATAAAGTTATTTTCCCCAGGAATGACTCCGATTCGGAAAATCCACCGCCGACCCGGTCTTGTTCTTGACCGATCACGAGGGTGCCATTACCTTATTTTGAGAAACATTACATTCTGTTTTAGTGTTGGTTTGATAAATTATAAAACTGTGGTATGAAGCACATAATTAATAGTATAAAATTAACAATACTGTACGTATAAAGATAGTTATAAAGATAAATATTTAATGTGCACGTGGAAAATTTATTAGTTAAGCACGTTGTTACCTTGAACGATTGTTCCTTTCGCCAAACGAGATCCATTGTCCCGTAAGATCCCATCGATAAATACACTCCAGGCGCCATTTTCGGTTTCCCAAGTGATACAAACGAAATGCCAGTAACCATCGTTCACCTTAATGTCGGTTACTACCTTATGCCCATTCATGTATACAACGAGTCTATGAGATTGAAATAATTATCGTTTTTTTTTTGCTTCGATGTAAATTGCAAATTCATTTAATTCGTTTTACAGTGGATTTTATTCATTACCCATTGTAATCGGTTAACGTGAACGCGTTGTCGTAATACTGCGTCGCGTACGACAGCACGGTGCCGTAATTAAATGTGTCCTTTGATTGCAACCATAAGCACGTTGTTAACTAAAAATTCACGTTTGAATATCTAATTCATGGTTCGATTTCTTTATTGTTTTATCTGACCGTGTAAACTCGATTTATTACCTGAACAAGATTAATCGTAGGTCCTTTCATACTGACGTAGTCTGTCGTTCCCGATTTAGTAAAGTGCATCACATAATCGGATAACAATTCTATAAATGATTAAAGAAAATCTTCAAAGAAAAACATACAAGATTTCGAAATACCGTTAGCTTCTTCAATACAGAAAAGTGTATTTCATTTCAACTAAAAATAACGAAATATTCATCAAGGCTATACTTTCCAGTCTCGCAATTCCGTCCTGTAAATGGGACAGGACACTTGCACGTGTAATTAGAAATTCCGCTAAAGCATTCCCCATTATTCCGGCACGGAAGGCTTCCGCAATGATCCACGCTTATGGTACAATTTTCTCCTGTGTAGCCATCGTTACATTCACATCTAACAATTAATAAATTACCATTTTTTTATCACTAGACATACTATTAATAATAACTCTATTTAATCTTTATACAATTATTTATAATAATTTTGTCATTCCTTCATCTACCAACAGACTTTTTAGCCAAGCTACTTTTATTTGAATAAGTAATTTAGATATTACCAAGTTCATGAATTTTTTTAACGGACAACTAGAAATCACAGGATACCGTGTGTGATCTTTTGTTATACAGACGTTCTAATTATATAAATACATTCGGATAAATGGTATACTACCCCGTACCTATAACTCATTCGTGTTGCATTCTCCTCTTCGACATTCACGCAATAAGAATTCCCGTGGCAGGGGATCCAATCGCAGGCGAGCAAATTGCAATGGCGACCGAGAAAACCAGGCCTACAAAAACACTGCCATGACTCGTTGACAGTGCGACAAGTGGATCCTTCCATGCACGGTGAAGGATCACAGTGATCCACAGTGATTTCGCAAAATTCTCCTGAACGATACATCTCAATAAAAAACTCTATACGATTAATAAATTCTAGTATTCATTAAATATTTAACTAATATACCTTCGAAACCGTCTCTGCACTCGCAACTGTAGTCACTTTCGGTACTCACGCAGGTACCATTATTCTGACAAGGGTTGAGAGAACATTCATCCACTCGAAGCTAGAAGTTTAATATTATTTACTAACTCTTTTATATTTTAATTTCCTGAATAAAAAGAAGAAATACTTTCTTTACCTCGCAATTTTGTCCGGTATATCCGGTTTCGCATGTACAAGAATAGTTCACTGTGTTGTTTTCAGAATATCGTACGTTACACATCCCCTCGTGCAAACACGGTGAAGAATCGCATGGGTTTCGAAACGTCTCGCATTTCGAACCTGATGAAATTTGTTTAGAATATATGTTTTAGATTTGAATATACCTATTTTGCCTGAAAAGATGCTAATAAAATTAATAATTTGTAAATACTGACCGACGTAATAGTCAAGACACTCGCAACTGAAGCTGTCCTCTTCTTGCACACATTGCGCCCCGTTTAAACACGATTGCGGTTCACAAATACTTACTTCGATCTTATGCAATGGCAGACACTCGTTCGTGTTTTTGGCGCCACGATTTTCAGTAGTGGTATTGGATGGACAAGAGAGACAATTGGTTTGCCCGTATTCCGGTTGATAAAATCCAATGTCGCATTTTGAACAAGGATCGAGAGCCAAACGGCCGCCATGATGGCGTTTCTTTCGGGAATAATGTCCTGGCTGACACATAGCTAAAACGTAACAAATCACGTCTATATAATAATTACAATAATAGGTACTTTCGTCAGAGTTGTGGTTAATAGTAATTTAGTTTCCATTTTCACGAATAAATATAAGAAATAATAAAACAATTGCTTATTCTTTACGTTTGTATCCCTTTGAATAGAATTATTTCAAATTTTCAAATGATTTGCTCTTGATTACGACAACCAAACATTTAAAAATATTATAATATTTATCGAAGTATAGATTCTAATTTAATCTTCATTTTGGGACATGTAGACTTGAGGAGGGTTAAACTTTGAGGGATTTAGTATCCTCCAGAGGAAGAATGATTTTTTTGAAAAGTGTTTTAAAGATCAGGTAACCGACAAAGACGGAAGATTTTGATTTTGTGCTTACGTGTGCAATCGCGCAAAGATTTTGAATGCATTTTTCTCGTAGAAGTGTGCCCAGGACATCGTTTGCATTTTAAGGATCCGCTGGTGTCTTCGTATTCGCCGAAAGGACACGGACGACATCGTTTGGTCGAAGAATCGAAGAAAGTGCCCAACGGACATTTTACTGGATTTAGATAACGTTTAATAAAATGTTAATGAATCATAACGCTAAAAAGAAACGTGATGTATTTAACTAACCACAAGAGTGCTTCTTGAGAACGCTTCCTGGCTCACAAAGTTCTTCGAAATTTTTAAAAACCAGATGCAGATTAAGCGCAAGTTTTGCAATTTCTTGATTTGTTTTCTCGTCCAACAGATCAAGTTTTCCAGACTGCGACATTAATTCCGTTTTCTGTCGCAATTTTTCTATCCCCTCTCTCGGATTTTCGAAATTTTCTTCGATTATCTTTCCTACATTAAACAAGATTACTGTTAAATAATTCGAAAAGCATTCGAGTATCTCGGAAGTGAACAAATCGATATTTGAATTTCACAATCCTAAAGATTTATTCCTTTAATCGGTAAGCTAAATGCTTACCCAAAAATCGAAATTTTATTTCTATCTTCTCCTTCTTCTTTTTCGTTCTCGATTTGCTTTTATCCACGTTGTCATTCCTTTTGGCATTTTTTTTCGCTTTACTAGCAAGATTATCCACGGGTTCATTATTTGAAACTAATTCGACAGTAGAAGTATCTTCACTGTTTCTTCGTCTTCTTAATAAGTTTGAGGAAATAACGTCTGATGACTCAGGAGTTTCCACACACTCGGGATCGAAGGTAATGAGATTGCACTCGATATCGTTCCCACAAATGTCAAGCAAGGTCAATCTTAAATCGGCGGTAATGTATTCGCCCAACTAATTGAAATAACAAGGAAACATTTTTCCGTTTTCGGTGCAGTTGATTCTGTGTGGAGACAATTTCTCATTAATTAATGTTCTTTTTTTATTATTAGACCTTGGGTCTTTATGCAAATTTACATTTTTATATGCACACTCACGTTCTATTGGTACACATTTATAGTACTTGTACATAATTGTTACTAAAATGTTTAAATCAATGACTAAAAGCATTCATCACCTTTTCGTGAAATAAGTAGAATATAAATATATAATAGAATATAATAGAATATAAAAATTAACATTTGCATAAACGCCTGCAGTCTATCTATGTATTTGTTACTTTATATAGTAATTTTTAGAAGTCATGTACCCGAACATTCAGGAATGTAATCCTCTACGGTCGAGTTTTGATTACTCGTGTTACATTTCAGTAACAACAGATTCTCCACGACACGAGAATTAGGAACGTCCGTCGCGAATTCAAATCCTGTGCCGCAAGCCACTGCACACTCGTTCGTCTCGTTCGCTGATGTCGAGGAGCAGTTTGCGTAGCCGTTCAACACTTCTGGAATCTCTTGGCACACGTCTGAGAATCATAATAGCAAGACAGTGCAATTTACAATATTTCGAACAGTATGAATTTCTTCTCGCCAACCATCCACATACTGCTATTAACATTAATTATGATATCAGGATTATTCATTGTAACAGATTGTATTTAATTTAATATTAGAGGTCATGAGTATAGTAGACTCGCGATAATTATCCGCTGTTGGGGCTAAAGATGGGCGAATTTATTATCTAGATTCTAGATTATAGAGTTTCGAATAACGAATAAAAGATCAAAAAAGTCTGTCATAACGGATATATATCCAGCAGGCAATTATCGCGAATTTAGTGTATTTCGTTTGTTCACCTTTTATAGTGATGTTCAGCGCGCAACTCGCTTTGTTATCATATTTATCGATCGCGTTGTACACAACTTCCGTAAATCCAATGAGGAATCTGCTCTCCCCCGGCCGATAATTTTGTTCCACTCGTACGGGTGTTCTCGAATTGTCGTAAAAACCCGGCTCGTCCCAAGTTATGTTACTTATCCCAACTCCATTGTCAGTGAAGAATATCGGGGGATTTATGCAATTCTCGATCATTGGCGGTTCTGCGTCTAAAACCATTTCGAAATTGAATACGTTTAAAATGTAAGTCAGACATTGTATAATCATATAGTACGAACAACAAAATTGTACTTTAATCACTCTATACGCGATCACTGTAATAATTATCGTGCAGTCAGTTTGTAATCATATAATATACAGTCATTTTAGAACCACCTTACAGTCATATATAGTCATGGAGCAGTTGTCATAAACATCTTGTAGTCTCCCATAGTCATCTGAAATTTGTACTACCCGATAATGATGATTGATTAACTACGATTGAAATGTTAAAATCAAAAAGTAGTCACAACTGAATCACCAACTTCTGCAAGTAACCGTGCACAAAATGTGAATCTAAATGTGTTACAGTCAAAATATCTCCAGGGCTATTTATTTTTACTACCAGGGCTACTTATTTTTGGGATCGTTTGATACCTCGAACTTTGACTTTGAATTTGCATCTGGCCGTATTCCCAGCCGAATCCTGGGCCACGTACACCACGGTTCGTGTGCCGATTTTCACTTTCCACGGGACCGTGACGTACGGTTTGCTCCAGACCGAGGGTGATTCGTCCGCGTTGTCGGTGGCTATCGGACTCGTCCAGTTCACGTAAGCGTAATTCTTGCCCGGCAAACTTTTCACGGTGATGTCCGATGGACAGGTTATCGTTGGCGGTGAATTATCTGAAGAAAAATTCAATCGTAATTCGAACTGTGGATATGGGTGCGAAAAACAACTACAGTAAATCTTTGATGAGTGTTCGAAGACTTCTTGACACTGACAAGGAAAGGTTCCCAGGTATAACGACTGGACTTTCTAATGAGGTTTATGACAATGGTAGAGATTGGAATTCTGAAGCCAATGATATTTCTTTCAGTCGCATATGGCCATTACTTTATGAAATATTTAATGTTTAGTACCGAGGAGCCGTGGAACACTCACCGAGAATTTACTGTACGTCGAACGATTGAAAATGCTACTTTAACCACCAGATGGAATGCTATAGCAACCTGTGCAACGGTTAATATTTCGTCGTTGCGTCCAGACGCCGGAACGTCCACCGCATAATCGACTGCGAGGTCCCTCGAGCACGAAACCCTTCTTGCACTTGATGGTACAATTTGTCGCAAACGGCACCTTCTCGGGCCCGGAACAGATCTCGGGTGAAATCCTTCCGTTTGGTAAACGCTTCAAGGGCTCACACTTTATTGCTGTGAAAAGGAAAAACCTAATGTGATACAGTACTGTACCTATCTGTTTCTTAATACAATCCTCTTCTTTTTGTTAATCGAAACACCGAAACAGAATACCATCACGAGAAACGTGGTTCGCCAAATGCGTCGCCTCACCTTTGCACGCTGCTTTAAGGCCGTCCCACTGTGACAAAGGCAGACAATTACGTATCTTGCTGCCCCGAAGCCGATAACCGGTGTCGCATCGGAACTGGCAACGAGTGTCGATGGGATACGCCGTGTAATTCTCCATGAACAAATGCTGATCCTCTTCGTTCTGGCACCGCATTCGGCCGTGCGATGGGGCTCGAAGGGCGGCGCATGTTTTCACTGTTCAAACAATTGAAAAGAACAATCAAGCAATTGAATATTTAGGGGAGACCAAGGACAAACGTGACAATTGGTCGCTTTGATTCTGTAACTTTTAAATTTTGTAGAATTTAAACAAAAATTCATACACGATGACAGACCTTGATTATTTGGACAGCATAATCAAACCTGAACACTTGGAATATGTTACAACAGTTTTTTTTTTAAATACGACTTTCATTAAAAGGACCAGTAAATTGCACAAATAACCATTCATAAGCAATTTCAGGAATTGGCGGGGTTAACTCCGCATCGATTAAGCACTAATGATGATATGGACCAAAAGATTAGGTTCGATTAGGAATGTAGAAATTATTATCAGTGTTGATATATAATACTGTATATATTTATTCCATCACTCTCTCAAATTTTCGTAACAATAGGATTGATTTAAATACTACACATTTTTGCAATAATCTGTATTATCGATTTTCGTAATAATAATAATAAAAGTGGTATAGGTGTTTTAACTTGTTTAATATTCGAGTGATTTCCAACGTACCGTAAACTAGTTTTGCGTGAAATGTTAAAAATTTTTGAACTGCTCAAGAGACTCACGTAAACATTTTGGCTCATTCCCGGACCAACTGCCGTCTTTACCGCAAAGTCGAATACTGTCGCCGGTCAGATAAAATCCGATTCTGCATCTTATGCCACAGGCAGCGTGGACAACGTTGTTACACGCACTGGCCTTTACAAGGTATCCGTAATTCGGTATCCTCAGCTTGGGGCACGTTATGACTAGAAGCAATCAAAACGGACAAGTTTCTAATTTCATATAAAAATTACTAACAATATTTAAAAAAAAATTAATAATAAACAAATATTTTAACACAAAATTACTAATAAAACAATATTTGTTCATTTGATTCAAAATTCTGTAACATTTTGATTTATTCATTATATATATTGATTCGAGAAAAGTATTCTGTAATACTTATTGATAGTTCAAGGCATATTATAGTATAATGAAAATTATAATTTAAATTGCCAATAAAGAGATTTGCAACGCAGATCTCTTATTTTTTAAAAGAAATTTATTGACATATAAAAGTCGGCATTAATAATAGAAAATACTAACAAGTAGATCGAACGTATTTTAAACTTGAGAATTAATCGATCGAAACCTGAGAAGTTATCAGCGAGTCGACGTTAAAAAGTTTAAACTTCATTATGAACGAACGAAAAATTTATTTAAGTTTCGTAAGTTTGTATATTGTATTGAATTAATTATACGACATTTTTATCGAATGAAATAATGGATCCACGCGACTACAGGCCACGCGACTACGTCGCCAACACGAAAAACTTGACCGAGGGAATACTTAAAGAAAGACAACTGCAAATGAAATGGTTGAAGACGTATGAATGGTTACTGGACGAATATGTGTATGTATGACGATTAATATTAGTACTATGATAAAATATATTACTGTACATATTATTTGTATATCGTGAATTCATAATTTTCCTTTCGCTTCAACCCGATGTTCGATTTAAAATTGTTCTCGCGACCATAATATTTCACTGAATGTCTCATTATTTATAATTTTGTAAAACAAGCGTGTCAGAAGGGTGAACAATAATTGTTTATTAACGATTCATTATGCAGAAAATTGAGAAAGGAAACAGAGAAACTCTGCGAAGAAAAGCACACGGTTATCGAAACCGAAAAATTCATTCGAGAAGAAGGAAAAACGTGTTTACCGGCTCCGGTGACTACAAGCGGTGAGGTATCTATTAATTGAACAATATTTCTTAAAATAAAACAATAATATAACTTTCTGAGCCAATAGAAAATCGTCAAAATAAATATAATAGTTATTTATCTAATAGAAAGTCTACTCTGTGTACGAATTATATTGAAATGCAGAATTGTCAAGTTTAAGAGTAATTTATAAAATCGATTATTTTCACAGTATGGTTGGCTTGCATCGAAGCCAAAGTTCCAACTGGAAAAATATGGATCTTACATGCCAGAATATCCGGATCCTCTCGGAGATATAGTACATCTATCCGGGAATATACCTGTTCTCGCGGCTGGTAAAGGGTTCATTTGGTAACGAATACAAAGAAAACAGAAAACTCAAAATTACGCAACAAATAACTAAAAATAATGGACAAATAAAAGTTTTACAACAAATATACCTTCGCATTTGTTTCCATCGGTTATAAATCCTGATGCGCACACACAATGATCCATCGAGGTCGCTGGTATCACAATGGTCACGTGATTCACGTCGGGGCAAGACACGCACGTGGACGTCGAATCGCCGGAAACCTCCTCCGAAGCGTACGTGCCATTTGGGCAAGCTTGAAAAGCCAAGATCATTTCAAGTAATCATTAAATAAATAATGTTTTACACAATCATCATTTTTCTGATTATACAGAAATTTGAAATTTTGAAATTGTAAATTGCGAAATATAAATTTTGGAATTGTGAATTCTAAAAATATTTTGTTTTCTATAAACTTACGTTGACAGGATCCTTTCAAACCCGAGCCGAAGTATCCCGTAGTGCAAATGCAAGCGTAATGGCCCGTCGCGATACCGCAAGAGCACGTCGCGAAAGTATCGCAACAGCTCAGATCGTTTTCAATTTCAGTGACATTACTGCACAAAGTGTTACAATTATCCGACGGCGTCACTGGCACATATTTACCAGTTCTCAAATCTGTAAAAAAGAAATCTGGTGATACAATACATATATCGATACATTACCAAAAAGATCCAATTTTTGCATTGTTCCATAACACATTGTGGACCAATCGCTTCATTACTACAGTCTGTCTAATAAGAATAATTACGTTGTCCAATCTCCGTTATTGTTTATAATCGCCTTGCATATTTTGGGCATAATTCCTTAGATAAAAATCACCATATTGATCGAATAATTCTGCATATACAAACAATTTTTCAATTTTCCCTGTTATTAAACAGCACAAAGGTATGTAACCCCTTAAGAACACTGCTTCGAAACGTGTACAGAGCACTCACTTGAAGATGTCGTTTCTTACGAAGGTCGGACACTTACTGCAAAATTTATATATCTACAAAGTATTGTAAAGCTTGGTCGGGCTACCTAAATTCAGCAGAATTGTTATGATAACTACATCCAGATATAAATTTTCCCGATCTTATTTATTAAACAGACGGTATCTGTACCCAAGAACCAGGTGTTTTTGTGCTCTGGATATTTGATAACACGAGAATTTTCACGACTTACTAGTACTCCGTTCAAATCGAATTATTTTTATTTTATTATTGAAACTGTTTCGAACGGAACGATAAAATTATCTCGAAGCTACGGTTAATTGGTGTTCGTCGAACTTACCGCGATGCAACGCGCGTCGCGCAAGTGCTTCAAACTCCGCGAAACTGTCGAGAAAATAGCTGTGCGTGTAACCGGGAAAGCTGGCTATGTCGTGGAGCTCCTGCACGTTCCCTGTTCGTATACCGAACGTGAAGATCGTTGCGCCAGCGCTCTTCAGGAGGTTCGCAGCAGGTCGCGGATCGCCGCCATTGCTGAATCCGTCGGTTATAAGGAAGATCGCCTTCCTCGCTGTCTGACGCCCTTTCTCGAGGATCCTCTGTCAAACGAAGAGTCCAAAATATTCAGAAATTAATTCGAAAAATAAAAAAAAACTTTTTAAGTTACACGGTTTTAAATGTGTATATAAAAAAAATTAAATAGAAAATAAAAATATATATACAAAAAAATTTTTTAAAAAATAAGAAATAATTTTTGTAGCTATCGCAACAGGTTTGACCAAACAGAAGAACCAACCTAAATAATACTGCGTACGATACATTGTCACGTATACATATTAGGTCGGTCCATAAATAAGTACGCAGGTCTTTCTGGGAAATTTTGAAGTGAGGAAAAAGGAAACAGAATTTATGTTATCAACAACTCGAGTGTGTATTTTAGAACTGAATGGATAAGTGCAAGACTCCGAAAATATGATACAGTTTTCAGCACTTTATTTCCTGGTGTCAGAATGAAATAAAAACGGAGATAAGTCAAATTTTATAGAAATACAATTTCTCACAGGGCAATAGCAGAAAACTATTAATTTGAATACCCATTAATGGAACCTGTAATGTCAGTTGAAATTACTTTCTGGTCTACTTATGACCTAATAAATTAAAGTTTTGACATACCTAATGTTTTTTGGGACACCCTGATATAATCGTATTTTGATAAAAGAAAATTCAGTTGTCCTTGAAAATCGACCTATACCAACACTCGGAAGAATTATTCGCTTGTTAAATAGATAAAAAGAAAAATGGGGAGAGATGCTTACGAGTGCTTCGATAAGAGCGCCGCGTGTATAAGTCCCACCGCCTGTATAGTTAATGTTATTCAATTGTTTATTCAACAGATAACACTTGTGATCGTCTTCCCCGCCGCGGGATATTTGATCGACGTTCCGTCTGATGTTTCGTCTGCCTCCGAATGTCACGATCGCGACTCTGGTGGCCGACGGTTCCACGATGAAGTCGGACAAAAGGTTTTTCACGAAGTTCAATTCACATTGGAAATTCTTCAGGCCGACCGATCCCGAGGCATCGACCAGAAATACCAATTCCACCTATAATATATTAAATATAATTTTAATTCATACATTTTCTGAACGATTTGCAAGTATATATCTTCAAAAATGAATTGTAATCAAATGTGATACTCGAACGGAATATGAAAAATCTCTCGATATTTAAACAATTCTTGCCCTTGAAGAATAAATTACTAAATAGTACACTAATAATTATTAAAATAATATCCACCCGTTACTTGATCTGTGAAACATTGAAACTACTCCATTTCTCTCGAAATTTATCAAACTTGTTCGACATGTTTATAAATGATTAAACTAAAATAAATTTTGCAAGTTTTTTTTAACTACGGTTTTGTAAATAGCAGCAAGAAATGTACATAATACTCACCTGATCGGTTTGGTTCTTCAGCCGATCGATATGAATTTTGAAAAGACGCGATAAAATATCTGCCTTGTTCTTGAACGCTTTCTCCGCGTTCTCGAAGCTCAGGTTTCCATTTCTTTTCTCGCTGTAATTGAAGTACCACGGTTTCGCTTTATTCTCTTCCGGTACACCAAGAGGTGGCCCCTTGTCGATTAGATTCGTGGTATCGAAGGACGCGATCGAGACGAACATAGAAGACAGCAGTCCGATTAATATGTATCTCCTTGCAACGGGACCGATCATCTTTACAAATTCACATTTACTATTCGAGAATACTTTCAGGGCATGTTTTCACATGGTTATTAATCTCTTTTTTAGATCGATCGATCGACACAAGTGTTCGAATATAGTGAAAATATACAGTGTCCACTCGGTCAGACTGTTCGTTAAGTTTCTCTTTGGTCTACGTTTACACATATCATTGAACCTTCACTGCGATGGCTAGGATTCGTTCTCTTTTTCTTTGCTACAATAAAAAAATATCAATCGTGAAAAATCGATCCTTCGGCTTATAATTGTTTCCTTAACGTTCTCATTCCACAGAGTACGAAATGTTATTCGGTTGATTCGCTGGGAATTCGTTATCGACGAATACGATGGAAAATATGCTCCACGGAGGCACTGTCTTCCCGGTGAAACATCGAGAGGATAGAGTGTCGATACATCGAGACAAACTGCTACTGCTCCCTGGACGGATCGTGTAAACGAGAGGTCTGAGTGGTGGTCTGAGCATTTGAAAAGTTCAGAACAAGGGACTCTCTGTTCCATTTATACCGTGCACACGTGTTCATTCTCATCGAGCCGATCTCGACGGATGCCCGATCTATTAAGAGACCAAATCGAAAAACGCCTGGGAAATCACGAGTCACTCGGGATAAATCGGATTAACCATGAGGACCAATCGCTATCGATTTGATTGAACGTCCCGAATGTACATTCGCTTCTTTTTTTTATTTCATTCTCTGTTAATTTTCGTTTCATGAATTAATCGTGAATAATCCACGAAAATGCCTCGCATCGGCAGTCTAATAATTCGATAATGTGAAAACCAATAGCATTCACGAAATTGACCCAAAATGTCCGACTTCGATTTTAACGGGGTTTTGTAACATGATAATACACAGGTTCCTAAAATGATATGCGTGAAATATTAAGCGTAGACACTCGATAATCTTACAGTTACAAATAATTAACGTTACGTACCATTGAGACGTACTATGAATATGAGTCAAACTTATCGACATGTATGAGGTTGTTTGGCTGGTAAATCGGATGTCTTGGGATCGATTCCTGTTCACCGAAATCTTTTTGCCAACGAAACTTTGACTTCTATTCATAGTATCTCTTGGGAGTTCGTAACCTTTACGTGTCTATATCTTTAAAATTATCCAGTGTCTATGCTTAACATTTCATAAATATATCGTTAAGAACCTGTATACCATCATCTATCAAAACCTCGTTAAAATCGACGTCGAACAATTTGGATCCTTCCCTTGTAAGTGTCACTCCGAGCTTACAGCCTTCTTCAATTTCGTTGATGCTATGGGTCCTTCCTTTCTTAGTGAATCTTCGGGCACGTCAATGCACAGCTTGACATAATTGGAAGGTCGAAGTATTAATAAAAAAAAAAAATATTCATAGTCGATTGAAACGTGACTAGAAATCTTTCGACAAGAAGTTTATCTCGTTCGTCGCCTTCACAAGAAGACGTAACGTCTGTAATCTGCTTTCCTCAACGAGTTAATCAGTGATTCCTTATCCACAACGAGATGTTATGCGAACCGATGCATTGCACACAGGTCACCGACGTGTGTTTACGATAGCATTCGAGGAAAGGTGGTGTCGTGTTCCATGTCACGTGTAGGAGGGATGCTGCACAGTGGTTTCCAGTAGCAGCACTAGGCAGCAGCCAGTCAGCCATCATTCGGTCAGAAAAACGCTACAGTCCCCGTGTGACCCTCATGCACATCTGCTGGTGAATCCGACGTAAATTTATTTTTCTGCCGGGATATCGGCAGACCACGCGTGAACGTCGCCCGTTCACGATCTACAGTCCGTCGATTCTCCTCCGGTTCGCGTTCTCTCGTCTTTTCCAAACGGTTTATCGGGTCGACTGTCCAGATATCTCCCGTCGTTACTAGTCAGCATGAGTGTGTTCCATTAAAAAGCACGATATCTATTTAAACAGTCGGAAATTTTACGTAAATACAGTGAATCAATCGGTTGGAAAATTGTTCTTGTGTTAAACGAGCGAGTTCGTAGGGGCACATTGAAAACTTGCTTTAGGAAGCAATTTAGCTTTTAGCTCCCTGGGGGGTAGTGGTTTATTTCATTTCTGTTCGGTGTTGGTGGTTGCTTCGTTTTCGACGAGATTTTTCGTTTGTTCAACGGTGGGAAATTTAATTTCGGAAGAGTGGAGAAGTTATGTCGATATTAACTGCCGCGCTGGTGATCGCGCTGGTCTTTGGCTGCTTCGCTGAAGAAGAGGAGCCTCGGTGGGCCTTCCAGGTGCCACGTTATTTACGTACAAGAAGGGAACCCCATCAATATCCAGGATTCGTCCACCAATGCTACGACACGGGTCCGTTGATAGGAGAATCGGGACACGTGAATGTGGTCGCGTTTTTAGACCCTTCATGGTACTACAGCTTTAGACAGGCAATCATGTGAGTCGCTGCAAACATCTATCGCCACTTTTTAGTATCTCAATGATGTGTCTATTTAAATTCCAATTGATTATACGGGAAATTTTCTGTAAGGACAAAGTAAATTATACATATCAGATTCGGAGTGGTTGCTGTATCGACTAAAATCACTTTGCTGTTAGAGCAATTTCGATCGATGTGCGATAGATCGTCTAACAGGAAAGATAGCAGATGAAATTGTAATTGAACTTTAATCGCTGAATTTGTTTATACAAATAACGTATAGCTGAATTGTGTGAAAGTATTAACTAACAGTTTAGCTGAAATAAATTATTTATTGATAATTGTTGGTTGAAATTCTGATTGTTTCTTTAATTCTTTCAAATCTGAAAAAAAATCTAAATAGTCTCAAGACAAAATTTTATGGAAGTTATTCTACGTCAGGTTGGACTTATTGAAGAAACGATTAGAAAGATCCGGCTTCACGGACATTGTCTTCTTCATCGTGATACCGTCTTCGAACTTACCGGAGAACACCATGGAGAACAATGTGGAGATAAAAACGTGGAAAAGGATATCTATGAATATGGTGGAACCGGAGTACATTTTGGGCACGGACGAAACACAATTTAACGATCTCGCGAGAAACAGCAAGAAGGACATTCTTTGTGTTCAGGACACACCTGATTTGGGTATCTGGGAACGCTTTCGCGCCTCGAAGGATGAAGTGGTGGTTGTCGATCGGTGAGTGATCTTTAATAATTCACTGTTACAATTAGTTTAATGCTTACAACTGAAACGAATATTTATTATTAATCAAGGCCACTGTTACGAAAAATCTTTATGCTTGATGACTCCTCAGTCCTGTAGGTTCCCTAAAGCTTATCGAGAGTTTTATGTATACAAGTTACAGATTTCGTGTTTACAGAATTTATTACGCTTTGCTAACAATTCTATGAAGAATTATAAATAAATTGTTTTGCCCACTAATGTTTCCTCAGATGTTTTGTTAACTCACAGAAGACCACTTTCTTTGCCACAATGATCACGAAACATCATTACAACTTTCTTATCTTCGACGTTTGAGAAAATGCTTGTGCACAATTCATCGATTTCTATTGTTGCAGCTGTGGGAGATTAACATATCAAGTAATAATACCATGGAGTATATTATATTTCCCTTATGTTAAAGCAGCGATCCTTTCTACGTACAAAGAGAATCCATGTGGTCCGTGCGATGTAAGTAGTGTTACAAATTTCAAACTGGTTAACGAATGAAAATCGTAAAAGAGTGACTTTTTTGTGCAATGAACAGAAACAACCGGTGCCAGAGTATAGTTCAATGGTGTATAACGAATATCTTCCTGGAAACATTAATGTGGATATAAAAGGAACAGAAAAAACATTTGATTCCTATACGGAAGGAACTCCTCACAACTTCGAATCGGAGAGTGTCACAGTGCTTTCAGAAAAATCGAAGGAGAATGATAAATACACTACCACTGTTGCTCCGATTGATGTAAATTTAAGTACAAATGAAACCACTACTTCTGATGTGACGATAACTGATACACCACTCATTACAGCAGATCACATATATGATACTACACCAGTGGAAGATATAAGACAGGATAATAATATGACAGATAATGCTACTTTTACCGACGATAAAATTGAAACAACAACAGAGATCTCATTAGAACACGGTCAAACTGTAACTTTGTCGACAATCTCGGAGGTCAGTTACAAGGCAACTGAAGAGTACAATGAAACACAAGACATTGACCCTTTCAAAGCACAAATGAACACAAGTAATACCAACACGTTACTCACGATTGTTGACACAGATACTGATTTAAAAGAAAATCATAAAAAGCATGAAGATGTAGAAGATGAAATTCATGAGACAAAAACTACGGGTATTGGGAGCGCAGGAACGAAAGTTACGAAAAACGAGAAATTACCTTTACGTATAATACTATACGCGCCACACATACATAAAGAAAATGAGACATTGAAACAATACACGCATTTAATTCTTCAGGCTGGAAACCCTGGTTACCATGATCACTTTAATTATATGAGTGCAGTCGACGAACAGAAGGTAACGTTCATCTAGATATTAATCAGTTTCCTTAATAAGATGTTTCATTCTTTATACTCATTAGACATTAGGAGCCAATGATTTCAGAAAATTCAGATCCGACAACGGTAGGAAATAAAATGTCAGAGGGATTCATAAGTGGCATAAATGAGAGTCCAGGAGTATACGGTGAAATAGCAGATTATTGGAGAACTGAAGACGATGAATTCAATAATCAAAACGAAAATATAGCATATTTTGAACCCGATGATGTTACGGTAATAATTTAGAATATATTAACTTGAAAATCAATGATTCCCAAGGAATCATCTCTTGGTTCTTTGCATTATCAAATGGCTTCAAATATTTTTTAGATTGACGACGTAGAGAGTAAAATTGATAATAATGAAAGTCACACACTGGCGCAGTCCGTCGATGTCAATGCAGACGCAGACATAAAAATTAACGTCAGTTCGGAAGATTCGGATGAATTTGTACAGCGTCGACTAATTGAACATTATAGAAAACTGCTATCGTGGATTTATTACAGTCTATAACAAATAAATTGTGTTTATATAATAAACGAATATTTCTGAAAATGTAATATATACACTCTACATGTTTACAGGAATAACAATCACAATATTGTAAACTAAGACACAAAAGAGATTCTGACTTGAATGTTATTGTATCAATGATGTTAAAACAATTTGTGTCGGTTTATAGAAAGTTAATTGTTTACGCGAAATCGTGTTGTAAATCTTACAAATAGTATCGTTCATCATATATATATACATATACATTACAAATATGAATGTACGAACACGTAAGGTATAATCATAATTTTGTACTTGTACATTTAAGTAAACAAAAGCGTTTCAAAAACATTATATTGACGAAGACTTTTCGATAGTAGACCTTTACCAAAATCGAAGACGTAAAAATACAAAATTCAGTGTGAAACATTCAAAAGTCAAATGCACATTTTTAACACTCACTCAGGTTCACTTGCATCATCGGAATCTAAACTACTGCTATTACTTGTAGTGGAGGAACTTGAACTACTACTGTCCGAGTCGCTTTCTGAGTCTGTATCACTGCTGTCGCTTGAACTTGAACAGCTTGATAATCTGCATAAAACATTAATATTATATAATTAATGACAAAGAAGCGAGTTTCAAGTCTTCTTTATTGTGCGCTTTTTGCCATGCATAATGTGCAAACATAATGGCAGATTGTTATTGCTGTCTAACGTGGGTAATGAATTTGTAGATAGATATTTATATAACTCGTCAAAGTATAGTGCATTTTAATTAGTGTATTATATTAGCATATTTAAAATAAACATTTATAATATATTACATGTTTTATTCATCAATTAAGGAATAAACACATAAGTTTTGTTAGGTGAGAGTTATCAATATTCAAAACCATTCTATTGCAATACTTACAAATACTTTAAAGAATTTTTGTCTTTAATGTAGTATATAGTCTTTGGCCTTTAAAATAAAATCATACAACGTAAAAACAAATAGTATTTCTCAGTGAAACCTTAAAATTGAGAGACTTATAAAAAAAACTATATTTGTTCTACTTACTTATCTTTGTCATTGTCATTAACTGTTAACTCGTCCATTTGATCCACCATTTCATGAACTGAATTTTCTATAATCAAATCTTCTTCTTGAACCGAATAAGCTGATTGCTCCAGTTCTACTAAATCAAATCCCATGTCTTCCTTAGATGGTAGGATCTTGAAGCAAGTATGTATTATTCAATGTTTCATTGAGGACCAATCATTAGCAATTACATACTTACATCAAGTATCAAGGAATCTAAGGATTCTACTGAAGATTCAGGAATTTGTTGTAGCCAAATTAAATAATCTTTTATATACAACTGATTCAGTATATATCGTGGTTCACACGAATTATTAAATAGACTGTGTATTTCACAGAAACGTTTTATAATATATTTTTTGCCTAAGAATAACATATATTAACAACAGACTGGCAGAAATAGTTTTACAAAATCGATACTATTTACCTACCTAGTTTAAGAACCTTCTTAACATCTTCAAGCACTTTCAAAGAAAGATTCCAATTCCTAAAAAGTGGATAACATACAGATCTTCTGAAACACGCTCTTATAACTTCTTCTGCATCAGAGAAATCCTAAAAATGTTGAAACACATACATACAATGCTGTCAATAAAACTAACGATACCATTTGATAAAAAATAGCACATACATCAAACCAAGATAAAGTAGAACTTAATTTATTAACGGTCCAACTGCTTTCAACTGTATTTTCGCCCAAGGTTGTCCTATGATTATAACAGCTACCAAATAAAATATCAACTAAACTTAACAGCAATCTATTTGTTTCTTCATTGTTCAATAAATATTCTTTGTTTGGAAGTTCCTTTAACAGATCCACTTCTGTTTCATTCAATGATATATTTTCTTTTTCAAGGGTATCCCATTCAGTAGTGAACATTATGTATGGTTCTATACACTCTGGTTGCATTAAATCAGCTAAATAATGTTCTTCATTGAAGTCTGAAAACTCGTGCTTTTCTCGTAAACTTTTCCTTTTGGATTGTAGTGTCGTATCAGGCATTGGAAGATCTATTACTTCTTTGATCCATGCTGACTAGAATTTTAAAAAATACATGTATGAGTCACAATTGATTTTGAAATAAAAGAATGATTTACAAAACTCATATTTTAAACCATATACCTCAAAAGCCCCTAAAGCTTTAGATATTTTATTTGCAAAACCATATTTTGGAGAATTAGGCAGCAGTGGTACAGTGCCTAGAGGATTATTTTGATGCATATACCATTCATCACCATCTGTATTTTCATTATCAGCTGTTGAAACATTTTCATTTGATATTTCAATGATATCTTCTGCATTTGCTGATGGATTCCCTATAACACAAGTACAGAATTAGCATTAACATAAATTTAATTAAATACGTGTACATATTTATATTTACCAATTACTTCAATATTAGGAACAATATTGTTCTTTTTTTTTGGTGGTGCTAACAATGTAGTTATCATATCTAAGTTCTCAAAATGTTCCCCTTTTGTTACCTTTGAGAATCTCAAAGAGAAATTTCCTTTCTCACAATCGTAAGATCCAAAGGAGGAATCATTCTCTTCTATTTCACCTGGAAGCTTCAACCTAAAATATAAAAAATTTTGTAAAACGAAAAGGACATAACTCTTTCAAATGAATATTTTACCTCAAATAATATGGTGTAGAATAAAATCTGAAATCTGTTCCATCAACATAAACTTCTGTATCCTTAATATTGGCATATGGTGCATGAACAATAATCGCCACTTCCGTGTCAGTTTGAGTTATTTCAAATCTCGGCGTCAACATTTTGATATCACACTTTCTATTTCATTCAAAACTTTAACACTTGTTACGCACGGAACTTTATACCTTTGCACAGACTAGCTGCTCGGTGAACATTAAATAAGCTACCGATATAGACATTGATGTGTATACGTATTAATAAATGTTCTTCGATTATTTATACACTGCAGTACACGAACGTCTCTTGAAAACTATATTTATAATTTTATTACAGTAATCAGATCAAGTTTTTGAAACATGTCGACTTTGTATTAAAGAAGCTACGTTTCAAAATTTTAAATTCCTTCGATCTCATTGATTCATTTTTCTGACATTCCAGGAAAACACATGTGCTTTTGTAAGTGTTCACAAACTCCATATAAACATCGATGTTGCTATCGATTTAAAACTTCTCGAGAGTCGATCAATGCACGTGCTATTGTGTTATATGTAACATGCCGCCAATGCAACGCCATGTGGTAGAAATCGTGTAACTGCGTGTAACCTAAACTGACTGTGACTGACTGGTGAAACTTGTTTTCACGATGCAAGCAACATTGATGCAACTATTGGAGAATAACTAACTCACAAATATTTAATTACACAGATATTAATTTTATTACAAACATATTATATCGGAGGTATGAATAATGTATTTCTTTGATATTAATGTACATAGAACGTAACTTGTTTATTTAATCAAATAATGAAATTACAAATGGAAATCTCATAAATAATTTTCTTCTAAGAATTGATAGATAAGTGAAACAAGATTTAGCAACATGGTTCAGAATAAATATCGGCCTTCACGTTTGACTCCAAAACATTTGGATCCAAACTGTTTAATGTTTTCCATGTTTACTGCGAATGATATACGAAACTTGAGTGTCACTAAAATAAGGACACCTTTATCATTTAATATATTGGGACATCCATTGAGAGGAGGATTATACGATCCAGCATTAGGTAAATTTATTAAATCAAATGATACAAATTAAGAAAGTGCCTGTCAATTTCGATTTATAAAAATTAATACATAAAAACGTATTTCTTCTGTTAGAAACAAAAGACATTGTACTAAATCTATGACTATTAATGGAATATTGTAGATAGATATTGTATTATATCAGTGGCCACTACTTGTTGCTTAAAAAAAAATAATAGAAGATTAATAGAAATATAATAGTACTACTTAGAATACATACATTTTTGCGTTCATGTAGAAATAAGTTTATTTTATATTTTAGGTCCACTTATGGAAAGTTCAGATCCATGTGGAACATGTGGATGCAATGTATTTAAATGTCCAGGTCATTTTGGTCACATAGAATTACCTGTGCCAGTTGTAAATCCGTTGTTTCACAAAGGATTGTGTATGCTAATTAAACTAACATGTTTACAATGTTTTACTCTACAAATTCCACCATACGTAAAACTGTTGCTGCAAGCAAAGTTAATGTTACTTCAGCAGGGTTATCTTAGTGAACTTGAAGGGTTGGAACAAGAAGTAATGATTCTTGTTTCTGATTCGAACAGTCCTTATAACAGCGATGTGCAATTAATTCAAGATGTTATAGACAGTTACATAGAGAATCTTATCACTAAAACAAGATTTAATAAGTCCAGTATGCAGTACAATGAAATGCAACTGAATACAAAAAATATCAATATGCAGTGGCACACATATGTTGAAAATGTCCTTAAGCAATATACAACACATAAAATTTGTAGCAATTGTAACGAAATTATACCAAAAATGACGACATTAAAGAATAAAATTATGACAACTAAAATGTTCAAAGAGGTTGATGGAAGACAAGTACAATCACAGCGTGGAGGAGTAGTTCATAGATTAGAAACAGTGATGGTAATGCCAGATCAATCTAAGGAATATCTCAGAAAACTTTGGGAAAATGAAAAAGATTTTCTCAAAGTAATTATACCGTGCTTTGGAATGGTAGATATTGAATATCCAACCGACGTATTTTTCTTCGAAGTGATACCGGTTCTACCACCTATAGTCAGGCCAGTCAATTTTGTCAACGGTCAAATGATAGAACATCCACAGTCTCAGGTCTACAAAAGCATTATTCAAGATTGTCTTGTTCTCAGAAATATTATTCAGACTATTCAAGATGGAGATACAGATCAATTACCAGAAGAGGGTAAACTGGTATTTGAACAAATAAAAGGTAACACAGCAGCAGAGAAACTGCACAACGCTTGGCAAAGTTTGCAAGTAAATGTTGATCACTTAATGGACCGTGACATGAACAAAACAGCCGACTCTGCAAATTGTCAGGGATTGAAACAAGTTATTGAAAAAAAGGAAGGAGTCATTCGAATGCACATGATGGGTAAACGAGTCAACTTTGCTGCCCGTTCAGTTATCACACCGGATCCTAATTTGAATATAGATGAAATCGGGATCCCTGAAGCCTTTGCGTTGAAATTAACGTATCCGACGCCTGTTACCCCATGGAACGTTGTGCAACTGCGACAGCTAGTTTTAAATGGCCCCGACGTTCATCCTGGCGCGGTAATGATTGAAAATGAAGACGGAAGCATACAACGTATCTCTTCAACAAATGCTACTCAAAGAGAAGCCATTGCAAAACGGCTTTTAACGGCTAGCGATAAAGCAAACAAGTTCTTTAGAGGCATTAAGATTATACATAGACATCTACAAAATGGAGACATCTTATTACTAAATCGTCAGCCAACTTTACATAAACCTAGTATAATGGCTCACAAAGCACGTATTTTAAGAGGGGAAAAAACACTACGTCTTCACTATGCCAATTGCAAGGCTTATAATGCTGATTTCGATGGCGACGAAATGAACGCGCATTATCCCCAAAATGAGCTTGCTAGGAGTGAAGGATACTATATAGCAAATGTATCTAATCAGTACCTTGTACCCAAGGACGGTACTCCGTTAAGCGGTCTTATTCAAGATCATGTGGTTTCTGGCGTACGTATGACAGTGAGAGGAGCATTCTTCACCAGAGAAGATTACATGCAATTAGTCTATGCTGCTTTGTCTACAATGCAAAAAAATATAATTCTTCTTCCACCTACTATTATAAAACCAGTACCTCTGTGGTCTGGAAAACAGATTGCGTCGACTGTTATTATTAATATCATTCCACCGAATCAAGCACGTATTAATTTGACATCCAGCGCTAAGATCAGCGTGAAAGATTGGCAGATTGTGAAAGCGCGACGTTGGAAATGCGGTACTGAATTTTCAGATCCCAAGACAATGTCAGAGGCAGAAGTCATTATACGAAACGGAGAATTATTGTGCGGTGTGCTCGACAAAACGCATTATGGTGCCACCCCATTTGGTCTTATACACTGCATGTATGAGCTCTACGGTGGTGCATGCTCTACGAAATTACTGAGCGCTTTTGGTAAATTGTTTCAGGCTGGTTTACAAAGAAACGGGTTTACGTTAGGTGTTGAAGATATCTTGTTGGTAAAAAAAGCAGACGCGAAACGAAAAGAAATTATTTCAAATTGCCGACAAATTGGAGAAGATATCCAAAAGTCTATACTGGAATTACCCGAGGATACACCAATGGACGTGGTTACAGCGAAAATGGAAGAATCTTATTGGAGTAATTCGAAATTCCGTGCACAGGTTGATCGGAAATATAAAAGTGCATTAGACGTTTACACTAATGACATAAATAAAACATGTTTACCTGCCGGTCTTCTGAAAAAGTTCCCAGAAAATAACTTGCAACTGATGGTACAATCTGGTGCGAAAGGTTCAACTGTAAATACTATGCAAATATCGTGTTTGCTTGGGCAAATTGAATTGGAAGGAAAAAGACCACCTTTAATGATAAGTGGAAAAAGTCTTCCAAGTTTTCCTGCTTATGATCCAACACCAAGATCCGGTGGTTTTATTGATGGCCGTTTCATGACAGGAATCAAACCGCAAGAATTTTTCTTCCATTGTATGGCTGGTCGTGAAGGTCTCATTGATACTGCTGTAAAAACTAGTAGATCAGGATATTTACAACGATGCCTTATTAAACATCTCGAGGGGTTAGTTATAAATTACGACTCAACAGTACGTGATTCGGATGGGAGTTTAGTACAAATTTATTACGGGGAGGATGGACTTGACATACCAGGCTCAAGATTTTTAAGGAAAGAACAAATTAACTTCTTAGTAGATAATAGAAATGCTATTGTTAATCAACAGATAGTTAAAAGCCTGAAAGAGGATTCCGATACAGACCAAATTTTAAAACTAGCGAAAAAGATTAAAAAATGGGAAAATAAGAATGGAAGCGCTTTGCAGAAGAGGAGAATTGGTCCTTTTCTGAAATATTCTGCGCAGGATCTAAATATTAAGAGTAAAAAATATAAAGAAATTGATGAAAATACTGGCAGAAACAAAGCTGCACTTTCTTTTATGAGGAAGTGGATAAGAGCCTCTGAAGAAGAAAAAACTGCTATGTATGTGCAATGTATCAAATGTCCTGATCCGGTAATATCACAGTACAGGCAAGACATAGATTTTGGTGTACTTTCTGAACGATTAGAAAATTTAATAGACGAATATGTTGCTAACAAGTCTAAGAATTCACCAATAAGAAAGAGCGATTTAAGGGACCTTTTGTCCATGAAGGTAATGAATATTGTTTGCCCACCTGGTGAACCAGTCGGTTTGCTAGCAGCACAGTCGATAGGAGAACCATCAACTCAAATGACTTTAAACACTTTCCACTTTGCTGGTCGTGGAGAGATGAACGTTACTCTGGGTATACCCAGGTTACGTGAAATCCTTATGATGGCATCGAAGAACATTAAAACACCCAGCATGGAAATACCGTTTAAAAAGGATTTAAAGAATCTAACGAAACGCTCAAACAAATTAAGACTGAAGCTGACTAAATGTATTTTATCAAACGTTTTACATAATGTTACAATAGATAGGAAAATGGAGCAGTGGCCAAATCGACAATTGGTGCATACTATGACTATTAATTATCTTCCACACAAATCTTATAAAAGAGAATTCTGTATTCAACCGCACGAGATACTAAAAAAGACGGAAGAAATATTTTTCCGGGAATTGTTTAAAGAAATTAGAAAGGTTGCGAAAGTAACAGGGGCTTTGTTACACGTTCAAGAGGACAAGAAGCCTACGTATGAGGATGATGCATTGTTAGATCAAGCCGAACCAGATGAAAGATCGGAATTAAAACCACGAACAAACTTAGGGGAAACACATGAATCCTCAGATGAAGATGAAGCAGCAGAGGATGCGGATGCAACTTTAAGCCGAAGTATTTCGCGGCACAGAGAAAATCAAGAATACGAAGATCCAGAAGGGGAGGAAGTAGATGATGTGAATGAAAAGGAAGATGATGGTATTACTGAGAATGACAATGAAAAATCGAAAGATACGGAAGAACAAGAGATAGATGATGATAATGATGACAATGAGAATGAAAAATTTCGGTGTGTCGCAAGTGAAATGTATAATACGCAAAGAAAACAAGATGTAACGAACATGTATGCTAATGCGCTAGATTATGATTATGATGAAGATAAACATTCATGGTGCAAATTCACATTTTGGGTGAGTGTTGAATCACACTCTTCAGATGGTTTCTCAGTTTTATGCAACCGTACACTTACAGTTTTTTTATAATTCTTATAATTACATTTTTTTAGTTACCTCTTAAAATGATAAAATTGGATTTACCAACGATCATTAGAAATGTTGCAAACAGAGTTGTTTTATGGGAAGTACCGCATATAAAACGTGCTTTCACATTCCAAAATAATGATGGTGACACAGTTCTAAAAACAGATGGCATAAACATAATAGTAAGTATAAATTTAACATTAATTATGCTGTTCTTTATTCTGAATGTCTATTAATTATATTTCTTTACGTCACAGGAAATGTTTAAATATGACAAAGCATTAGATGTGAATAAACTCTATTGTAATGACATTTATGGTATTTCCCAAACATATGGTATTGAAGCAGCTAATAGAGTTATTGTAAAAGAAGTGAAAGATGTGTTCAAAGTGTATGGAATCACTGTCGATTCTCGTCACTTATTATTGATCGCAGATTACATGACTTTTGATGGTAGATTTCAACCTCTTAGCCGTAAAGGAATGGAAGATTCCGCCTCTCCTTTGCAACAAATGAGCTTTGAAAGTTCTCTTAATTTCTTGAAAAATGCTACATTACAAGGTAGAGTAGTGTATAATTTACATGTGAACATATTTTATGAAAATCATAATTGTTGTATAAATCTTTCAATACATGTAATTCCGTTTTTCAGGAAAACAGGATAACTTGGTGTCTCCTTCTAGTCGATTAATGTTAGGTCAACCTTGTAAATCCGGTACAGGAGCCTGTTCGTTATTAATAAAGATATGAAAGCAATCAGAGGTCACATCGTCAGTGGGTGTATAGCTATAAAAAGACGAAATATTTTTAATGAACTGTTATATATTGAAACAATGTATTAATTACCTACAATCATGTAAATAAATTTATTCTTTTTTATGGTACAATTTGATAGCCTATTTTCTACATCATGAAAAGATAACAAAGTGGAAATAATTGTGTTGTATATAAATTTTTGTAAGCCGATTACACATTTTATTTCGCAACAAAATATGTATAATAAAACTGACAATGAATTTTCAAAAAGTTCTCTGTCTTATAGCATTGCTTGCAAATGAAACACAGCATCGCCTATAATGATTGTGAGATATTTACAACCTCCATTGATTAGTGCCAATTATTAAACAATTCTTAAAAGTATTTTCATTATCCAAATTGGTTATTCACTTGTGTTTCTGAATAGTGGTTTTAAGTTTTTCTTCGTTTGCACCAGCAAAGGATTCCAGCTGAAACAAACAAGACATGAGTACCTAATTATTACTCTTTCTAAACTACTTGTTAATTTAGACTGGTACATACCACTTTGCCATTCTTGATAAATACAAAGGTAGGCATACTGATAATTTCATATTGAACAGCCACTTCTTCGCATTCATCTACATCTACTTTCAAAAATACAACATCAGGCATATCCTGTTAAAAAAAATGTATCATTTAATAAGATGTACTTATAGCAATTATTGTATATCAAATACATAATCCAACCTTTGCCAACGCTTCAATCTTAGGTGCAATCATTTTGCAGGGACCACACCACGTAGCAAAGAAGTCAATTACAACTAAACTGTCTCCAGCCTTTGCAAGGGTAGCTCTCAAGTCCTCCTATACATAAAATAAAAAAGTTTCAGTGATATATTTCACAGAGCATTATCATATAAGTTTACTACTAAATCTATTTTTAATTTATGTATTCAGTGTTAATCAGTTAATGGTGTATTACACTATTATTATTGATACCCAATAGTAATAGTGGACAGTGATAAGACATGTATTACTCAACACCAAGTGATAAAGTTTATATTAGAATACTGAATAATGTTGTATAAATATGTATCTAGTTCAATAAAAAATGTAGTTTCTTTTTCCATATATCATTTAAATGAATTTCTATATAAATATATAATTTAATAGAAATACTTAATAAAGATAAATTTCACTCCAAAAAATTCACATACCGAAGTCTCTCATGCTACCGCATTTAAGGTACAATCATGTGACTTAAAATCAATAAACAGATCATTAGAGCATTAAATCATTCCGCTCGCTAAATCATATCCATTGGGCAAGCTACGCCGTGGCAAATAATTTCAAAGCTGTAAACCTACATATATACATTTATGCAGTAATTGGAATTGTTTATGGTTGACGTAACGCTACGCGAACACCGCATTCGAAAGGATCGTGTATATTCCGTGGCGCTGTAGAGCTGGTAACACTTGCTAACCGTTTGCAATTGCGATTACACATACTTCGAACGAAGTCTGTTCATTTTAACACGAGGAAAGTCCTCACGAAATAGAGTACGCTACAATCGATTCCGTTCAAGGTCAACCGGTTTCGTTGAAATTGTGATATAATCCAATAAACTCACGCCACGCCGAAAGCTAATATTCGATTTATTTTCACGCTCCATTCTAATTAGCGCAGTCGTTCTCAACGTGCAAAAATCTGTTAGTACTTAAGTGGCTGGACAAACGCATTTTATATGCACGGTATAGTAATAATTTTATACTTACGGCACTTTGAATAAGTACGACCATTTTTATTCCTTTTTGGAAACACGTCACGTAGAAGCAAGTACAGGTAGCCTCGAATCGACTGTTCGGATGCTTCGTTAACGACTGAGCGCTGTGGTCACCGTGAATCTCTTACTAGTTCCGTTTCTCCCTCTCCCGCTCATTCCGTCACGTTTCCCCTTTTCCACCGTTGCTGCTCTTTCTCTTTCCAACACTTGAATTCTTAGGGCAGTGGTCGAATGCATGACACGGCGAAGCAAAGCGAGTTGCGTATTGCGTACCGGTCGTGTTTTGCTCACAGCTCATCACAGCTCATCAAGAGATCCACGATGATCCACGAACGTCTTTGAATTCCTAGATTGTACTATAATTCCTGGTAATTTGTATTACGAATAAGAAATGCGCATGTGTTCATAAGGAAGTCCTGTATATATGTTGTTACTAATATCTATATAAATACACGTATTTTATATGAATAAATAAATATGTATAAGTATAACTAATAATACAGACAATATAGCTCTTTTCATTTCTACATTCTCACTGTATGATTCCATGTTGATTGTAACATAATTCTCACCGATTAACAATGTTTTTTCTTGATAATAATATTGCAAATCATCTCTACGTTGTAAAAACTTGTACGTAATGTGCCACAAATATCCTTTTCTTATTACTAATTTTTATTTGGTCCGAGGAACATTAGAAAGTATTGTGAACCAATACCAATGAAAGTATAGCAATAGAAAATATATGTATAAGAAGTATATAATATAATTTTGGCATAAACATAAGAACTAAGAATACAAATTCTGACACCAACAACGTTTAAAGGACTCTGTCATGATTTCTTGGGAATGCTTTCCCCCGAATGAGTAACCTTGACATAAAAATAGTATGGGTCATGCAATCTACTCAGCTAGAAGAAATCGATCGATATATGGCAAGGACAGTTTTTACTAGTTCCTCAGTAAACTCAAATGAAATTTTTTGATAAAATTTCAATTCATTTTGGATGCGTCATAATCTTATTTTTATGGCTATTCCTAACTTATAAACTACAAAAGATGACTCGATCGAAGATGATTTCATTCATAAAATAATGGTGTCATGCAATCATCCGGTTAATTCTATGTCGCATTCAAGTGTCTTCTAAGCCCTAAGCATATGATCTTTACTCATGTAATCATAACATATTTTTTTCTCCGATATCATAGTGTAAATATTACATCATTTTATTTATATATTTTGCTAAATTTTCTACTTTTATATTGTACGTTTATTATTTATTTTCGAGTATACGGCACAAGTATGATTTCTTGTCATTATGGAAATATACATAGAAAGAACAGTCATTGGATTACAATTCAATAAATTCTTACTTGTTTTGAATTAGATCAAATCGTCCGACGCATTGCGGTCTTTGTTGCATACGCCCACCCACTATTCACTAGAAACTACATCTATTGTACAGCAGAATTGTTTTTATCGACTTATGCCGACGGTAGTTTCAAAACGGAAACGATTGTAGCTTGTGATAAAAGTGTTCTCATTCAATGTAGATTAACCTTTATATGCCCTACTATATTAAATTTAAATGTTACTTAATATTATTTACATATTTATTTTATTTTATATTATTTAAATGTTCGTTTCTTAAGACGGGTTATAGAAAATTTCTTCAGATTTTGTTGTTGATAGTACTTGTTATCTTTAATAATTTTCACCACTGGGCATCGTGATATAAAATACCTACGTTATATCAAATGCTGATTAGATATAGACGTATCGTTTAAACTTTTTAACGAAATCATACCATAGCAAATCTGCAGCCTCACGACAAGTGAACATGCTGAAATACATGTGATAAATAAGCTGAGGATACGTTAGCGTATGTGATATCATATGTGACAGCAAGTAATCATTTTATTTGTACTACATTCCTGAATTAATATGTACTTCTCTATCTTCCTAACAATTATACTACTTGCAAAGTACAATAAATGAATGCGAATATGAGTATAAAGCTACAAGAATACATTACATATTATGTACATACGTACATATGTATAAAATATTTTACCGAAGAATAGTTGGCGCCGAATATTAGTGTTTCTTAACAAATTATATCTTAAACAATTGCTCCCAATTTGCTCCCTCGGAATCTAAAATTGCTCCCATCGCACCGTTTATATTTAATGAGATATTGTAATATTCCTGGACAGTAGATTTTTATGCAAAATTAGATTTTTTTTTTGTATTAGGTTTCAAGTTCCTATTAGGTTCTAATCAACTTTTTTTAGCATCACCAACCATTGGTTCCCAACGCCTTCTTTTTATTAACTAATTATAACTAATTGTATCTTATTTTGTTGTTTTAAATTAATTATGTTTTATCTTGATTTATTTTAATTGACTGTATTTTATTTTGATTTTATCAGAGACCCCGTGTGGTGAGAACGTGAGGTCATAGAACCCCTGGAGGAGGCGCCAGATGGCGCCAGAGACCCGTGTGGTGAGACCGTGGGGTCTTAGAACCCCGCGGAAGAGGCGTCAGGGACCCCGTGTGGTGAGAACGTGGGGTCATAGAACCCCCGGTGCATACGCAAGAGCCCCCGTGTTTGTGAGGAAGGGGGTCATAGAACCCACGGACTCCGTGGCACAGAGCATGCGCAAGAGTTTTGAAACATGATCTATCGTTGTTGCTCGTACGTGTCTCGAGCTCGGTCTAATGTTGCTCGTACAACTGTCGAAATTTGACTGACACTTGTGCGTGCTTCCGTAAGCAAATTATAGAGTAACCCTAGCAACCATGGCAGTTTCTGCAGATACTACTACAGTCCAAGTTTAAAAGACGTAGGCAGTAGTTAGTTTCTGTAGTAACCTGTTGAACCAGACAACTATAATTAGTATATGATTGTACAATACCTATGCAGTTATATTTAAGACAATTCGATTACTGTGTCGGAAACGATTGAAGATTAGAAACTAAAATTTTACCCAATTTAGTTTCTTGTGGTTATCAACAAATGTTGCAAATTCGACAAAATGAAGATTTAACGTAGTTCACAAATTCACCGTTCTCATAGCGTAGAGGGCAGCAGAAAATCTCTGACTTTTTATACTATCGGTATTTCAGAACATGAGACACGAAGTGCCATATGATGATAGGTCTATCCTATACCTAGTCTGTGATTATATACACGTAATAAGAATGGAGTATACAATGCTCCGTTTGTGCTAATAATACTAAAACTCATGCTATCGGTAACGTCGAGTATTGACACTGAAATGGTACGGGGGCTTTGGAGCCCTCGAAACATGTGACAGAAAATTACATTGCATGTAGGTCTATTCTACATCTCGTCTGTGGCAGTATGTTGCTGCAAAATTGGCAAACGTTATATGGATTTGGACTAATAACTTCTAACTTTCAACCTTGGTGAATGCAATTAAAATTGGAATAATGGTCATTTAAGAATAATCACAATGGTATGCTCAAACCAGCAATTACTTGCAACGATACCACTGAGTCTTTATTGGGAGCGTCGCGTAAAGATTTTAAGTGCCATTTTGACCAACTTCGATTAACTTTACGCAACGATTAACTCAATTAACAGCGTACCTAATTTAATCGTTCATTAAAGTTAATCGAAATATGTGAAGTGGTCCTAAGTTTGTCAAGAGTCGTCTGAAATAGCGATCATCGAAAGCTTCGGTAATTCTCATAATGTGACAACCTTGCATATTTTAAATCAGACGCTACTGTAAAACTTTGACTGGCTAAATCTTTGTTAGGTTGTGTGCAAAAAGGATGAAACGAATAAAATATTTTCACCGTTTCAATATCCTAACAGAGCGAAATTCACATAGGACTTCCGTGCTGGTACTTATTGATTACAGTCTTATAGGAGCCGATGAATCAGTATTTAAACAATGGTATTCGATCTATGAAGCAACACTGATTCCATCACATCGTTGGCAATTATTATTTAAACAACAATATGCATAGACCTCCAGGGAACAACGAGGTTATCGAGCTTCTAATCGTCGGTAGTTGACAGAACAGCCCGCATACTACTACGACCTACGACCGCGCAGACTCGCCGAGAACGCAAAACGTTTCGGTCAGAACGTTAGACACGGCGAGACACGACGAGGCGAGACGAAACGGAACAGCGTTGCTAAATATAATACACGAAGGCACGCGATACCCTTACGGCCGGAGCCCAGCACGACGGTCATCAACATCTACGAGGCAGCAGCACAAGCTTCGTCCTCGGTAGTGATCTTGTTGTCGTCGTCTAGTCGCAGGCGTTACTCGCGCAGAAGCCGGGACGGTGTAGACGGCGAATAAACGTCGAGTGTCGAACGTGTGTAGAGACAAGGCCGGTCTGAAAGAAAAGAAAGTTCCGTGATTCCTCAAGGGGTGAACAATATTCCAAGGACGGTTCTATATGTGTCCCATGTGTTCTGCCGATGTTGTCTTCGTCACGTGGTAACCGGCTGAATTACAGGTGAGACCGATCTCTCAACTCTCAACGCGTATGATTGTGTTCGTTACCCCCCCCCCCCCCCCCGGAGATCACGGTGGCTGAAAACGACAACAGGACTTGGGGATCAAAGATGTGCGCATCATTTCTGACGCAATAATAAGTTATATTTCCTACGTTTTCATCGTTCAGTGAAGGATTTTTCCCCTTTTTCAAATGTCACATTATACTTGAGAGATTCGAACTGTGTATCATAATAATAGATGCTGCAAAATTGAAGGAAATCGTGTTAGATCTACTAGTACCAGAGAGGAAATCTAGTACTAGTGCTCTATTTGTAACAGTTGTTGCCTACACGAAGGCGTCGTAAGTGAAACTTTAACACGCGGGGGTATATTTATTCAGCAATTTGTATATTCGTTATGATCGGAATTAGCAAGATCAGCGGAGTCGCGTGACCGATTCCTTTTATTCTTAGAATCGCATGGACGGATCGTGGGAAGCATAAATATCCACGTTAAAGCGAATGTTTCACGCGCGATTTATCGGGATCGGGTGGTTCTGTGGATTGGACCCAACGAGACTCCAACCAGTTCTGTTTCCCGTGACAACACTGCACGCTGATCGAAAGATTGTGTTTACAGCAGTTTACAGACTAACCAACTTATTTCGTGTTCTATATGCGGGTCGAGCCTTTTCGAACCTGCCAAGAGTATAAACCCAGATAGCACATGACGCCTTGAACACGACTTGAAGATGCCTTAGACCTAAAATAGCCGTAAAATAGGCGTCCTTAAGGCATCATATGCTATGTGAGAACTCACTATGTTTCTAAATATACATACTTACTTCGTTATCTCACCGCGTTAAACAGTTTATATGGTGCACGACTAACGGACACACACACACGCATAAGTGTACACAATTTTCTGTGCACAACAATTACCATAATGTGTGTAGTGTTTTCAATCGTAAACTAGTCTGGCTGGTCTAATGGTAGCGTTGCTGCATGTCGTAATAACGTATTATTCTTTCGGAAGTATCGCCGGTGAAACAATGACGCGTGTCACAACCATTATTTGGACAGCCCTAGACTCGACCGGTTTAAATGGATCAGGGGAGAAAATCGTAGCGCAACCATAGGATCCGTTCGTAGAAATTGCCGATCAATAAGGCTGTGTGTGCACCGGCCGGGGCATTCGGCTCTCTCGTACTCGTCATAAATATGCCGACTACCGCCGGATTGCATTTCAACGCGTTGAACGTGTTATGTGGCACAACTGTCCGTTGCGCGCTCTCTTGCCCATAGATCGAATTTCATCAAAGAACATTTTAGATCGCGTCTGCATCGTCTACGAGCAAAATTAAAGCGAGAAAAACGAAACTGCCGCGTCGTCTTTTATTGTTTCCGACTGTGCTTATATAACTGATTTGCTTCGCGCTTTTTTTACGCGCGTGACTGTTTCGCCCGGAACAAATTGCCCACGAACAGGGGAGGGACTACAGCGCAAAGTTTCGTAAAATATTTTGTGGTGTCAAACGAAAAAGTGGGTGTCTCCTCTGTGAAGAAAAGAGTGTTCCGTTCAGTTGTGTCGTTGATCGGTTGCGTTTACGATGAAAACGTTACACACTCGTACACAGAAATAATTACTCAAAAGAATATTCAAGGAATAAAAATATTTTGCTTTTCTACGTTTGTTCGACAGAGATGAATATCCAGAAGCCCGAGGGTCTTTTGTCGGTGGTTTTACCTACTGAACTTGCGTCTTCGCCCAGTTCACGACAGCTTATTATGAATCAAGACCAACAGGTGTGTTCGACACAAATAACGTACCTTTTATCTTCTGCTACTCTCTTCTTCTGTCTTCTCCGTGCACGCTATGCCCCACATATGTGTTTTTGGTAACTTCATGACGACATGATTCCTAGGATTTACACATTCTTTTTGACAGGAACATCTTTCGAAATTACAGATTAACGAGAAACTTGTGGTACAACCGGTCAGGAAGAAGATTGTTCAAGATAAAATACATCGAAAATATAGAATAAAGTGTTTCGAATGTATGCATATTAGATAAATTTTACTATATATTTAGGGTATATTATATAGTATATTTTACTATATATTATAAATTATACCTTGAAAAACTAAGGTACAAAGATATCGGATGACGTCATACCGTTTCACAAAACTACTGACCGACTGTATTATCAACTAAAGTTATCGATTTACCGATATTATTATTTCCTGTAATTTTATACCCGAAAAGTAATTTCGGTGTGACTCCCTGCTTTTTAATAACCATCTCTTTTTTTTGTTCTGTTCAACTCTTCACTGATATTTCCAATTTACTCTGAACGAGTATGATTTTGTTCATTCGTAACTGATTTCTTTAATACATTATTCGTTAACACGTAGTGCTACCATTTTGTTTCACGTTATATTGAAAAAGAAGATTAATTTTTACACGAAAAAATAAAAATAAGGATGGTTTTATCTGAAGTAATTGTTTGATAATCGCTTAACAGGATGAAGAAGCATCGGATTGTCCACTTCTGACACCCAGTCCACGAATTGACGATGCGCTCGATTCCAGCGCGATTTTCGTTTCCCTGGAGGGAAATCCCGTGGAATCGATTCCGCCGCCGACACTCGAGAACATTAATAGGGAAGATGGGCTTAGCGAATTCATGAATATAGTGAACAGTTCGAGCAAAGCTCTGAACGACGGTAAGTATTTCTTCGGTGGACATATGTATAACACTTAAGCAGAATTACGTCCGATAATAAAGCTGACGCGTCTTGTATCGGCCACTTAAGCGAATATTTCGTATAGAGGATGTCCCGTTAAATACAGCATCAGAAAAAAAATGAATTCATTTTCTATAAACGAGTAAAATGTCAAGTAAAATTTTTGTACATAACGCTCTGTTTCCTGGAAAATCGAATTAATGTTAACCCGGTTATGATCTTTAGTTTAGCTATACTTTAATAGCGGTACCAACTCTGAAAAAAATGTTTGAAGAAATGAGAATACAAACAGGTCGGCGGTCGTATTGACTGGAAACGTGACTGGCTCTAAGGGGACTCAAACAAATATACTTTATTTTATTCAGTAGCTGTTAAATACAAAACAACCAATAGTGTATTTGTACCGTATAGTTAACCCAATTATTTTCACAAAAATCTCGTCTGTTTTCACTGAACAAAGCGTCCCGTGTGATGCCTATTGTTCGAAAGCGTTACGCAATCGTTCAAAGTCACATTCATGGTTCTTTTACAGACAATAAAACGCCTTAATTGGTTCGGTCCATTGAGTTCCATACTAACTGGAGAGCGAACTCCCGTGTGAAGAACTAGTGGCGACAAAGGTCTAAGGGAAAAGGAAGATATTCAGGGAACCCATCCTTCTTCTTCCTATTATCCCCTCTATCATGTTCCATTCTGTAGTACAATTGCGTGTAGAGGGGGTATAGACGCTACTCCGTGATCTGTGCATGTGTGTACGACTCATGTGAAATCTTCCTTCTTTCTCGGACCTGCCACCATCTCACAGTTTGTTCACCAGTTAGTATAGAGCTCAAAATGGTCAGTCCCTATTCGATCGGCGAATTAGTCTAAACGAACCGTGGCCGGGTCTAATCTCACCACCGTTGGTCTTAAGTCTGCGATAGTGGTTGTTAGATGGATGTCTCTCGCGTTATATACCCGACCAATTTGCGTAAACTATAATGGAGAGCTCTAATATCGACAGGACGCGGTCCAAAACGGTCCCAGACCATCCAACCGTTTCAGATTCACCGTTTGTTCCAGAGCCGAGCTCCCGTGATCCAATGGTCGAGTCGTCGAGCAGCGGGAGCAGCAGCGATACGAATGGACCGGTTTGCGCGCAATTGTTGACGCAGCTGAACACAGCGTATCAACATCTCGCTCCTGATGCACAAGCGTTGGTAAGCATCCCCCAAAGAGATTAGAAGCGCCATGCGACGCGTTACGTTTGTTTCTGTGGTAATAATGGAGCCGTTCGTAGGTCAAAGTGACCTGACTCCAATTTTGAATTTTTTTTTTCTTCAAAATTTTACCTCGAAGCATGTGATTGCTGCTTAAGTTTTTATATTTAAAATAAATTTTTAATGTAAATATTTATGGAGTTAGTCATTTTGATAGATAAACGGCTGAATTAGACTGCGGATCATCCTGCGATTATACTGTGCGTTTTTGCGTGGAGCAAATTTACTGAAACTGGAGTCAAACAGAAATTTATTCAGTGTAATAGATTTCGGACAAGAAAGGATATCATCGTTTGGTTTTATTAAACTTTTTGTTGTATTGTATTTTATAGACAGTCATGTATACGGACAAACGCATGAAATCCGCAGTCTTAATGGTTATCGAACAGACTACAGGACATTGAAGCGTACCATTGTTCGCGTTACAATATTCCTTTCAGCGTGATGCGTAGATAGTGACGACAGTTTGTTTTCGTGTGATCTCGATTGTAGTAAAAACTGTACCATACGCTAATTCCCTATAATAATGATGTACTTTTCTTCATACATTCTGTGTATTTTAAAATATTTGTCGCTTCATCACTTCCATTTGTGCTTACTAGTCTATTACGTAGTAAATAGAGCACAGATCTTTTGATCTCTGGATCATTATAGAAACAAGAAAATGATTTTTCTGTTGTACATAAGAAACAAGACTTGTCCCGCGAATTTCAAGCAGGAGGTCATGACAATTCACCCTCACTGTTTACAACAGGGGTGAATTCTATCAAGTTCTCTAAATTTCAATTAACTACTTCAATTTCGATGAACTATTATAAATTTTAAACTATGTTAATTTAACTATTATAAACTATTTATTTTATGATCTTCTATTATAAATTTTATTACATAGAACTATAATATCCTTGTAGCGAAACGTACACCATACATTATGACACACACACACACACACACACATATACACTTTAAAATGATTTCTCCACATTTATGGGGGTTTATTGTGTAAACGACAAATTCGTTCGTGTTACTCACATAAATTCGTCGCGCGCACGTGCATTGAGGGACACTTGACAAAATTTATAAGACAGTTCGTCGAATACGACGTCGACCAACGTTTCTTCAAGGATCATGCTTCTTTCGTATAGTAGCTTCGCGTTTCTATAGTTCCTAGGCGCGTGTTCCCGTCTTGTTATTTTTTTTATTCGTTCGCTAACAGATATGTACATATACACGGTGGCTTTCGGCCACGGCCGATCACCTGTTCTGCCTTCGATCTAAATGCGTCAAGTTCAATCGCGATCTACGCGTCATGGTACGGTTTTCTTTTTATTTTTAATACACGTATAGGCTTTACTAGTGACCGTCCAGAGCAGAAGCAAAGGGGAGATTCTCTTGGGTACATGACCGGTGGATCTATAACTCGGAATGTTGTAAGTAAATCGGGCCGGAATTCGCAGAAGTTTAGTGGTTGAATTGTGTTTGCAACAGAGGTTCTCAAACTTTTTTTTTGGAATAGGGCCATGTGGCACAATCGTAGCAAAGAAAAATGGCGTTGAAGAAAATTGAGGACACATTTGTATTCTTGTAACAGTTGAACAAATTATGCATTTTTATATTCATACAAATTGTTCGAAATTCACAATTGTTAATTTGGGTACCTGACGGAGAACCCTTAACCCTAGAACGATACCATTCCTTGTTTTAACGTCAGTAACACCGTGGGGTCGCGGGCGACCCAAAATAAAATTTTAATATTTAAAATACCATTTAATATTTTTGAACTATTCTTCTTTAATTCTTTTTTAAACACTTTAGGAAATAATAACTGCACAGTGTAATTCTGTTAAAAAAAAATTAAGGAAGGGTAAAGAAAAGCTGAATGTTCTAATGTTTATTTTCACGTCTGTAGACAAGATTCAAATTTTGTGGGGTCGCTGGTAAACCCAGGGTGGCGTTTCAGGGTTAAAGAGGGGCACACAAACGTTTGCTTGATTTAAGTTTCAGTATATTGACCGATAAAAGTCTATGTATATTTGTATAAACATTTGCAGCCTGGTAGCGAGATTGGATCTATTCGGGCATACTTGACAATAACAAAGTTTCGTAATCGGTCGTAACCAGCGCAGTTACGTCTAATTTAAAGTGTTCGACAATAAACGCTAGGTCGATATTTCATGTTCATGTCTTGTAAATCGTTTATTGTCACGTGCATTCATGATACTTCTGTTGCACGACAATGCATCTGCTTACACATTCGTGAGCATAACGATGTTTTTAGCTAAAAAAAAAAGAATTCTAAACCATTTCCCATGGGATTGGGCTTTGACTTTCAAATGTCGTCATTTTATTTTCTAGACGGAGTTTTGAGTTACATTCCTGTAAATAGGCTTAGATAATTTTATTACGTTGTCTCCATGCAAATAGATACATCTGTTTTTCGGTCACAAGATTCACTCTAATTTCAATTGCCACGTCGCGAACCATAGCCTACATGGAAACTATCGATGAAATGATTTTAATTTTCCTCTATTGTCGTCTCTGTGTTGACTAATTAATTCGAATTTCCATTTGGAAAGTTTACGGGGGACGGTTTTTCAGCCGGTCTGTATTCAGCATATTTCGATCTGTTTGGCACAAACGCGTGGAATACTTTGCCAAACGCTGCTTGCAATTGCCGCCAATACATCTGCGCTGACATGCTCTTTCGCATTCGATAAATTATCACGATGAAATATCGTCGCGATATTGTCTCCTTTATCTTAAATACCTAATACCTTTACGTGATGTTTCACTCTTAACGTCGTTCGATCTAAATATACATATTTCGTCGAAATATAACGAATTTCGCGATTAAACGCACCGTTCAGACGGTGATGGTGCCCCTTACTGCCGTTATACCAGCTTGAATATAATTTCCCCACGCGTCACGATTTATGAAATATCTGGCATGCGTGCTTTCGCAAGCCACACACGTGTCATAAAAGTAACATAACTATCCAGATATCTTGATAATTGATCTTCTTTTAGACACGCAAAAATACACTTATACACGTGACAGCCCTTGGCAGACACGCTTTGTCTGCTAGCAATCAGATTACCTGGGAATAACTGTCAGTACTGAGGCAGAAGGACATGTTTTGACTGTCAATCGACTAAGAAATATACCCTTGGAAATATCACATTTTTAAATATCACGATTCTCGTGTTACGAAGTCATTCTATTCCTTTGTCGAATTGCATTGTTACCTGCGTAACGGTAGCTTAAGAGACCTAAGGCGCACATTGAATACTAGTGTAACTTAAATACGAACCAAACTTGAATACCATTCGACGTATTTGTGTTTATAGATTGAAACACCCGCCACCCCGTACATATTCTTCATGGCTGGAGGGGGGATCTGTTGTGTGTCGGGCGTGTGTAATCCCCGATATGTGTTCACACTAATCTCCATCGCTTGTCGCTTCCTAACAACCGTTTATGAACTCTCGCTGTAACTGTTTAGTTTTACAATCAGGAGAATGGCGGGAAGCCACCGTTGGTTGGGATCCAGCTGGTGGTGCCGAAGCCGCCCAAGGATTATCGTTTCATGAAGTGGAATTGGCCGTTGATACGGAAGACGTGCTTCTGGTCTCTGATGTCGGTGCTCGCTGGCTGCATGGCGCTCGTGGTTGGCGTTATTGCCACGATGCCAAAGAAGTACGTAAAAAAAAGAGAAAAGAAACTTCGAACTTATCGAGTCCGGACGTTTACCGCACAGGCGTCCAAGTACCCAAACTCGGCTTCCGCTAGAGGAAGAATTGGATTAGGGAAAGGATCTTCTGGCACTTTGATTTAACATTTATTTTCAGTATCTGAAATAAATTTACCAAATAGAAGGCCCTTCTACGACACTTTTTCCACTAGCGGAAGCCGAGTTTGCACGTGACGGTACATAGTAGGAGAATGTTGCCGAATTTGGACCATCGCCTACATTGGACCTCTTCTGTAACTTGTTATGTGCAAGCAATTTATTATAGTTGTGATTGTATTAACTAACTTAGTATAATCAGCACCACATATATTGTTTATCATACGACGTAAATTGCTTCCACATAACAAGTTAAAGTAATTGAAACTAGGCGATGCACAGTATGGTATTTTCCAAATCCAGCTAAAGTAAACTCTAAAAAAAAGTTGATATACAGGGGTGTACCAAAAGTGTAGTAGGTCCTTGAAATGGGTCACTCGTGAGGTGATTCGGTACAAGTTTTTCCTTAGCAAAAATCTTATCTGAAGCTTTGTTAACGAGATATTAACAAAATTCTGATGAATTTAGTTTAGCTAGATTTGTAAAACACCACACTAGGTTAGAATTCGGCAACCTTCCCTTGTGTATAGCAAAATGATTCCGAATATTTCGATAATTTTGTTGTAGGTGTGATCCGCGGGTGCAATGGTGGCAAGGCAGTATATTCTACGAGATATTCCCAGCGTCTTTTCAGGACTCGTCCAAGGTCGGCGACGGTATCGGCGATCTTCGTGGCGTAACTATGCATCTGGATTATTTGAAAAAGCTCGGCGTTCGGGGTGTCCGTTTGAACTCGATATTCCCGGCGGACCACTATCCCGAATATTATATGAACATCACGAGTCTGACCGACCTGAATAAACAGCTGGGCACGTTGAACGATCTCGACGTGCTCGTGCGGGAGATCCATAGACGGAACATGAGCCTGATATTGGATCTGCCTATTTATCCATTTGTGACGACCCTGTACGACGAGACGGTGCCTGTCGACAAGCTGAACAGAACCGACAAAGCGGTGCGCGAGAGAAGAGACGTTACGACGGATGATATAGTTCTGGGGGATGACGTGGTGGTGTCGACGACACCGTCGGTGTCGCTGCATGCGATACCGGACGCGTTGTCCTCGATACCACCGTCAGCCTTGGACGAACCGCCGCGACAGCAAGCTCTGACATCGAATCACATTAACGCCGCGACGGAGAATCCCGTCACAACTGCGATCAAGTTCTGGTTACAAAAAGGGGTCGATGGATTCTATCTGAAAGGGCTGGAGCACTATGTGGATGAGGTGTCATTCACGGATAGTCTGGGCCACTGGAAGACCCTGCTCGGACACGAGAAAATTCTCATTTGTCATATGGACGCTTTAAAAGCGGCGAAAACCGACGCAGCTAAAGATTCCATTCTGACGAATGTGGATCTCGTGGAAGTTACGCTTCGCCTGGCAAACGGGACCAAGGAGATTAAGAGACAGGTGGAGGAGGTCACGAAGGGTTTGTTGTTCGAGAAACCCGGTTACTCGTGGGTGCAATGGTCCATTGGCGGAGTGGACTCAAAGAGAGTGGCTTCCAGCATTACCGTGAAGAACGCAACAATTGCTGCCTCTTTGTTGGGAATGATGCTGCCAGGCACACCGAATATATTCTATGGGGACGAGGTATATCATAGGTGTAAATATACGTGTTATGGCTCCCTGTGTGAAATTATCGGACTAAATTTTTGTATGGGGTCATATTCCACCATGAAATGGGACATTTCTTTGGAGTAACGTTTCGGATTTTGTTGAAACTTATAATAGTGGGGTACTATTGATAAATTGGAAAAAAAATGATATCCTTCGAAAAAATCCCTCGAAATACGTTTATATATCACTAAAGACTACAAGATATCCAAGTTTCAACAGAATCCGAAATGTTGCTTCAAAAAGTGTCCGATTTCGCGTGGAATGGCCCAATGGTAACAGTCATGTTTGTTCATCTTTTATTCAGTAGCGTTCCGTGTTTAGATAGGTATACTGGACTGCGAATGCGAGGATCACAAAGATCTCGCTCACGTGCACAACCTAGCTCCCATGTATTGGGGCCCGAATGATGGTTCCGATAATAGGTTCGCGTCCATTGGCGTCACGGCCTGGCTACCGGAGGCTAAGCAGCCATTGGAGACAAGCTTGATGGGAAATATAGCAGAGATGGCTAGACTTCGATCTGAAACTACTCCGATTTATGTTAAAGCGGTGCTGAAAGATAACCAGGTGTTGGCCAACTGTGATATTAGGTAACCAGTTATTTCGTATATCTTCCTGATGAATTTCTGTTGATCTGAAATGAAAATACATTAATTGTCCACCTTGGAATCTCGTATTTTCCATTCGGACAGTAGTTTTACCGGCCTTTGGCTTAGATGGAATTCCTTATGGCCTCCTACTGACGGTCAAGCGGTCTGGCTGGTTCGATGGCACGGTACAAGATTGGAGATTGTTCGACTGACCAGACAAATTGCAGTTGATAAATTGAAATCGGTTTGCGCAGATTATCTGCTACATGGATTAGTACACGCCAAACCGTTCGAACGTCTTGTAGGCTGTCCTTATTCTACCTGTAAACATATGTAGAATGTAGTTTTTATAGAATTTTTGGTAGCACTCTCCTTTCTTTACAGGTATGCGGACGATGAAGTAATCGTGATAGAACGATGGTATCCACGACGTAATTCGTACGTCTTCGTGGCCAACTTAGGCAACAGCACGCAAACAAAGGATTTATCTTTCCTTTATTATGGTGGCCATGTTGTTGTTGGTCCGACATACAGGTTGAACAAGGATGTGTACTTCAAGGAGCTTACTGTGCCTCCGGGCGAGGCATTCGTTATAAAACTCGATAAATGAAATGAAGATTCACGTAACATTCATTTTACATCTGACGAAGATTTTTAGCTTTTTCGATTGACACTTAAACCCGTCTCGAAGCCAAACTGATCAAATTCACAAAATACTAAAGTAACGAAAGCTGGCGATATTTTGCGTACACACACACACACCTTTCATGAAATATTACATTATTTGAAATGTATATTCTATATTACGGTCCGTAAAATATTAGAAATGTTTCTAAAATTTGCTAATTTAAAAAAGTGTGCAAGTGTGGTCGTTCATCAGTTTGGAATCCTAAAGGCTCATGTCAAGCATGAATTTATAGTGTTTCGTTTGAAGGTAGGTTATGCCATTTGTAACGTTGCGAACGTTGTACAACGAAAGATTTTATGCGAAAAGTTCCTATTAATTTTTTAACGAAACATGTAGGAACCGCAATATCCGTGGATGTTTTATTTGGAGGAAAACTGGAAGTTAATTCGAATGGAAACAGATTGTACTGTAACAAGTAGATTGTAGATGTTCATGCGGATTCTCACTTTCTTAGATAATTTTACAAAATCCGGAATCAAAGAAATTTTTAATCCTTTCGTTACGGCAGCTTTTCACTTGAAAGAAAAACAAGAATTTCATTAATCTCTATTGAAGTATTTGCTTCAAAAAGGAAGAACAAATTTTAATAACACACGAAAAAGTTTTTATTTTTTTTTAACATAATAATACTATTAATGGAACAGATAAAGTTTCTTTTTAATTTCAGTTCTTGTAAAATAGTCTCAGAAAATGTGAATTTACTCTGTCCAGTAACAAGTAAGAAGAGGGGCAACAATTTGTGTTATTCGAATTATGTATTGTATTGTATAATTAGGTGAAATGTGCTTGGCTAAAACAAAAGAATCAAAAGTAATAACATGAAATCAAATCACACCGTTTACTGTTTAGTCTCGTTAGCAATACTGAAAAAAGCACAACGAATGTTTGCGCATTTCACATTCCAAAAGAGGACAAATCATTTCATATTCGCCTGTGTTCATTCTCGTGATCCCGGTTTATGGTCCGAGATTGTTTCACTGTGTTTTGTATCTTCTGATAGTTTTGATAATAAAACCGACGAATTTTGCGGGTGCACCGATTCTATTCCCAGTCACAATACGAATTTGACATGAAATTTGAAATGTTTTATATTTAGACGGGTACAAGGAAATTTTATCCCTGTTATGCTCTGGATACGTTTTTAAAGCGCAGTAGATCAACCGAAAAAATATATATATACGGACTATTTTTGTAACGAATTTTATCGTGCGTGATAAGAACTATTCGCAACGTGTAATTTCTCACTTCTTTTATAATGATTTTGGTACTAATCGAGTGACATTTTACTCACGCAGTTTCCCTAAATGAACGTTCGTTGAATCGAAGTATTCCGGTACGTAATCCTCAGATAGTATTAGATTTTTACTTTAACAAAGTTCGATTTTGATGTGAATATTATTCATATTCGAAAATAAAATGAAAGTGTTATAATCTTAAACGTCAATTGTCTTACTTCCTTCAGTTATTTATCTTAGTTGTTAGGCAAATCGTTTAAACTTTTAAAAGTTAGATGGATTATATTCAACTTAAATTGTTTTATGTTGTTCTAAAAATGAAAGCAATATACTTTCTATACTCGAGGTATACTTCATTGAACTTTAGCAAAGTCTTTTGCAGTCTAATTATATATAAATATATTTTACCATTACGGTACGAATGATGAAATTGAGAAATACTGTGGTTGAGCGCTACTGTGACCTTTCTCGCTAGTGCTCGGTGTCGTTATGATTTGTATATAAGCCGCTTCAAAGAACGTAAGTATGGAGAGAAGTTCCCCCGAGCAACACCACGGAGCCACAATCGAAGTCCTTAGTGACTATCCATTTGCTCTGAGGAAAGTCCCTGGACCACGGGCAGAAAGTGCCGTAGCGTAAACGCTGCTAGCCTCTGCAGTCTTCTCGAACATGGAAAGGATGCCTTTTAAGGTTGATCTTCGAGTTGTGCGAGAGCGTGTTGGTCCAAGAAAAGTAATGTGTTGAATAAGTTTATCTCCTCTCTCCTAGGGTGGAGGATTGAAGAACAGTTTCAACTAAACAGGGCTCTTTACGGGGGAACTTCTCTCTTTTTTTTTACCTTTTGCAAAAACATTAAAACGTAATCTTGGTAATTGCGATGTACATTTTGCTCGGGGAAAGAATAAGTTTGCAATACTGTCATTTATTTCCTATAGGGTGTAATGCACAAATTGTAAAAATATGTTTCATGTACATGATTCGTAAACAGCAATTTTATTAAATATTTCGTAAGTATATAAAACACTTACATAGTGTAATTTCTGTGAAAAAGCGAAGTATGCACATAAATAATTTACATAACAAAATAAGTATCTAACTTTAAAAAAAAAATGGTGTTTTCAAAAAACAGAATTTCATATTTCAGTTTCAAGTGATTTTCTGTGTGTCTACTAATCCCAACATTTTATACGTAATTCAGGCTCAAGAATACTCCAATTCGGCGAATGCATTTCATTAGACAACCAATTAAAATCATCGATGCAATTCCAATTGTTTATTTTCGGATCGAGACCCGCTAGATTGAAGTGATTCGCTTGATCCTCATAGGACCAATTATAAGGCGCTACACGTATATTTGTACAATCCTCTATGATCGATCTACTCGTAACATGTAAATAAATAGTACAATCCGTCGAAGAGTGTAATCGAAGTTGTTGACACGCAAAAGCGAATGCACATTCACTACAATCATGGGCGAATACAGACGATGTTACTGGCCCGACCAATACGGTACACTGCTTCAAGTTTACCATATGCAAAGTACTAGGTGTGCCATAGATTCGTACTGTACAACGAACTAGATCGGAAAGCAATATATCATTCTTGTTCACATTCTCAGCATCCAAGACTAGTTGTTCATCAACTTTTCCTAGTATCATACATGCACTATCGCCGTATTTGCTCGACAATTTGTGATTTTGCTTCGAGGAACCATTTACAATTCCTTCCGATATTTTCAAGTCCTTTAAACCATCCGTCACGTCGTGCGCCTTATCGGAGGTCTTTTTGACAACCCGTCGATTTTTGAAACCGAATTTTTTCTTAGGTAGTAACTTCAGTTCCAGGTCGGAGGCTTCGTTTTCTAGTAACTGTAAATTCTCTTGTGCTCTTCGAATATCGTAAACTTTTAAAAACATTTTTGATTGCGACAAATAATTTTTCAATGTTTGAATTTCCTTGTTCACTTTGTCAAATAGTCCAGGAAGAGCCGACGTAGACGCACTTGGTGCGTCATCTAACATTTCTTTGATCTTCTTGCATGACGAATAAAACGTGTCTTTAAAATAACTACTTTGCTCGGATTCGACGGCCAATGATTGCCGTTCCTCTTTCCGCCTTTCAATGACGTTTTTCCTTTCACGATCTCTTCTGTTAATACGATCCGGTAAATTTCCTTCTATGAGAGCAGGAGAATCCATGTTGCAGTCCGAATGTTATTTTGCAACAGAACTTGTGCCTCTTGTGTTGTTTGGTTTAAAACATTGATTACTTGCCACCAACATAGATTTATATTCAGATGTATTGTGTTTTAATACATAACAATGATTTTCTGGCTCTTCTATATTTGTAGATTTTCCATGCAAGAACTGAAAAGATACAAGTAAATACATTATGAAGATACAAGACTATTACTATTAATACAACTAGATCAATATGTACAAGTAGATTGTAGAACAATGTAGGTAATAATAAATAGAGAGACTACAATTTAGCTATAACTTGTTTCCATGTTCTTGGCTGAATATAAGTTAGTGGCCCAGGCAAGGATATGTCAATGAAATATAAAGCTTCTTAATTGTGAGAAACTTTGAAAGTCAGATACAAAGCACTGTATAAACCAAAGTCTTTCTGAAGCATTGTTGACTGTTATTATTATGTAAATGAATGGCAAAGTTAAATGTCAAAGGGGGCAGAAATACTATAATTTTCCATAACATCTATGCTAACATGTGTACATACCTGTTGTACAATTTGTTCACTAAAAGAATGAGGCCCTAGGGAAGAATATTTAAAATCCCTGTTTCCTATTAAAAACACTGAATGTCTCACGAACTCCATGAAGATCTACTGTTCATTTCGTAGCTGTTCCCATGTAGACAGATCATACAATCTTGTTTTATTGTCTCCAGAGAATTTTTCACAGGTCGTATAATATGCTTCTAATATGAACGGAAATTTTTTGTGCATACGATACCTGCAATCTAACGATGATACACATTTAAATTGATTGGAACAAGGGTTATAGAAACTTTGTTTAACGTGAATGATTACAACTGTTCATCGTGTTGTTGTGTTTCTTAGTATGATAATTAACGCATACTTACACGTGTTGCTATTAAACTATGACTTATAACACACTAACATAAACTGTGAACAGAAATAACCTAAAAACGTAGAGGAATCGCGAAAGATGATATGCGACTTACTTTGAGACCTATTCATACAGCGCCAGGCACAGTACGATGCACCCACCAGTAACAATTCAAAGATTGCAACTGCCTTCAAGCTGTTTTTGATAATGAAGAAGGAATTCGATTTCGGTAGCTTGTAAAGCATACTACTCAATAACAAGATTTCCTAAAATGGAAATCATCAATACCGTAAAGAATGATGTGCGTCTCGAGACATCGAGATCAAGTGCGATGGGTAGGGATAGCACAATCTTACCCGGCTCACTCACGTTGTGCAAAACTCTCGAACGGAGCACCAAACTCGTTCGATATATCCTTTCGATACGAACGGCGGGAAATTTAAAAAAAGGAGGTCTTGAACTTTTAGGTCTTAACTATTGCTATGTAACATCATTTTTTAAGGTCAACGTGAAAATCTTATTGTATACCTTTGGATGTTTCATGTTTGTTTCTGAATTATTTATAGTCGGTAGTGTGTAATTAAAAAAACCAATGAATGTTGAGTATGAATAGCATGTGAAGTAAATAATTTGTTGAGCTCCGGTTAAACTTTTTTTTCTTTCAGTTTATTGTAATGAAATATTAGTATATACAATATTTTATAGTTCACTATTGTGTAACATGTAGTTTAATATTTGTCTCGCATATTACGGAAACGCTAAGAGTGTTGAAAGCAATGGTACAGAAATAATGTATCACAAGGAATTTTATAGTGTAACGTTCTGTGTATCCAACTGTAATACTAAGTTAATAGTGTACATATCTTGGAAAAAGTGCAGTCTTTGTACCTATGGAAACAGTCTAAGTTACAGATTGTAGAAGAATATTTATTATACAGCCTTTCATACATAAGTAAGCATAGATCAAATATACAAGTAGGGAGCACGTTTTCAAAGCAATATTAAGACTGCATCTGCAATTAGTATTTCATTACATCACACAGCAATAAAAAAATAACCATTAAGATGATCTTTTTAGTGATTTGTACAAGAAATGACTGTTATCCCTATGTAATACATTAAACGTTCAAAGTGAAATATGAATTTTGTATCAAAATTTTGTTGAATTTTAATACGATTTAATTTCCAATCATTACATCGATCTATCATTAAATTTATTACAATATTTTAATTTGTAATAATACAAGCGGTGCCTTACTGAAATAACTTGTTAAATAACGTAGGCTATATTTTAAAAAGTTACGAAATATATTCTCATTTATGAAAAATAGGAAATGTCCATTATTACATGTACTATACATAAACGTAACTACTTATTTACGCATTTGGCTGACTCCTTATAATTTATTTCAAATATTTCTCGATAAATTATGAGTAACACAAGCGATTGGCTCATGCATTATTGGTCTTAAGACGATACCACTAGTATCTAACGTTACACAGTTTTAATATGAAATATCTAAAGTAGATATTTTAAGAACAAACACACATTGCTATCATAACAAACGGCAGTTGTTTTCGTAAAACCATATATTTATCATTTTATGTACATATGAAATAATAATGTAAAACCTAACAAATTAAGAAAGTAATATAGAATAATAATAATAATATACATAAAAATTCTTAAACAAGTTTTATCACTTTCTTCGTGTTCCGATAAAGATGAATCATATTATAATGTAATTATATCTCTTGTTCTAATAGACATTTCAATTGCACTGTGAAAACTCAAGTTGTTAGGTGACGATATATCATTCTTTTATGCCTAAGTATTATTACTGCCCAATATACTCTTTAAAACATTGATAAATCTGGTCCAAAATTATTTAAAAATCATTTATTATTATGATTTAACATAATATAATACTGTTTAAAAATTAGATGTTTCACCTGAATTCTTTATTTTATACTTTTTTTGTTATAAATTAAATATAAAATTACTTTCCTTTAATTTGCAGATTTATATGTAAACATCTCCGCCCCTTATTTACATAAAATAATTTAAATGATTAATATTTTATGCAAATTTCTATATTTATTTTGTTAAACATGGCATACTTTGTATCTCAAGTTATTGTATTATTTTAGTCTTATAGAAAAGAAGACTTCTAAGAATTTTCCTTATTGCTTTTCTATGTCTCACCAACAAATACAATAGTACTTAATTAAGAGACAATTAATTATCCAGTTGTCAATATTATGAATGATTGAAACAAAAAGTATTACTGAAAAGTTGATAATGAAGATGCATGTTAAAATCGAATGCCATTTAACTAATTTTTTAAAAAGAATTTATTACTTTTTGTTTATTGTATTGCAAACTACATAAAGTTATAAATTGAATGTGAATTCAAATTATGAGAAAATGCTGGATACTTTTAGATTATAAAGTGCTAAGGCACCAGAGGTAAATGCAAATGATAATAGTGATTGACATCATGTTCTCTCACTATAATTTCAGGGGCATAAACTACAGACATTTTCTTTTTATGTAAATGTATTTATAGTATTATTCGTTCTGAAAGTATTTGTACACATATACCCTACAGCTTCAGATATATTGTGGGACCTCTAGTTTTGTTTTTTAACTGTTCATTACCAGGCACAAAAAAACGTAACATTTCGTTATTTTTATTCCATTACTGATAATCATACTTTAGGATGAACATTTTTCGATAACAAAGAATACAACCTGTTACGTTATTATATGTACTCGTATCTCGTATGTCAATGCATTTTTTGTAATACCTGTTCAGTAACGCATTAAAAAAAAAGTGGCATACTACTGATTGCAATAATTTTATATGATCATAACGGAAATATAATGTACATATCACATACACATATATGTAATACGTACAGCTTAAAAAAAATGCTGCAATTTTATGTATGTTTAAATTGTGAACTATTCACAGAATTATATGCTTATTTTTGATTTATGATTTCTAGACACCGTTATGTCATGAATGACAATTTTTATCACTTGTTAATAATGAGACTCAATAACACTAGTAATAAAAAAAGTTGTATATTCAATACAAGATATTTGATTCATATCAAATAACCAATGCTGTAAAATAAATATTAAAAATTGATACAGTCTACCAATACTATTTTAAAATTTTAACAAGCTGGTAATTTTAAGGCAAATGTAATATTTATAAACTTTTGACACCCAGTGCATGTTTCTCAATATGAAATCACAGTATTCAATAAAGGTACTAATTACAGTATCCATGCGTAACTTACGAAGTCAGTTTAATTCTTTCCAGAATAAAATCGTCAAGCTTTTTAATTCTCTGATGAAATCTTGAATCAACTTGCACGTCCTATGAAACACTTCAAATATTGCAAAGTTCACAATTTACCTCGGTTGTCTCTCATTGCAAATTATTCTACTCAAACTAAATTTTCTTTCATACAGACTTACTCAAGACATCAGCATGTAATTTGAAACACACATATCATTGTACGATGGCAGTTATATACGTGATGAAAAATGAGAACAGTATCACCTTTATTGACAATTAAAAAAAAATAATTTCAGAAATCCATCAAGCATGAAACAGTTATTTACAACGTTTTATTTTTAGAAAGATTAAATTCGACATAATTTCTGCCAAAACAAAATTTTCTATTATAAGTTCGCAAAACCACAAATTTTGCCTTTCGTAATGTTCTTATTAATGCACATTAATTTGTTTCTCTTTACATTAATGCTAAGACGGAATTTTTTGAATTTCTATTCTGCCGTAACCTATACTAGTCGACATTATTATGCTGCTCTTTGCTTTCAATCAATTTTAACAGGCAAACGGATTGTACGATTTCATATAAAATCCGTTAATAAGAAAGAAACGGGTTTTCCAGTAACGTCCGATTGTTAGTTATTTTTTAATCAGTTAGCAGTTAATGCTAACATATCCCTCATTTACTCTTGTACAGTCATTTACCCAGACTTACAGTAACGAGGCATAAAGAGATAGCTGCTAGGGGCAGGAAAGAGTCAATGTGACGATCAATATGACAGTCTTTTGAACACCATGAAATCATGGGCACACTGCTGCACTGTAGTTCGCTACGATACCATTTCATGCCATCCACTATCATTTGAGGAGTTGCTCTCCAATGGTACTAAAATTTAAAAAGAATTTATTTAGATCAGTCCAACAACAGTCTTACTATTAATTTATACTTTTATAATTAAACATGATTACGGTTATTTCTTCCACAATTACTTATACTTAAAAGTGTTATTGTAATAAATAGTTATAATTATAATACATGAAGATTTGCAATAATAAAATATTAATTGTAGTAAAATTACCAGTCTTGTCAGTTTCAGTTTTTTCGGGAGACGATGACCTGGGGCCCCATATTCTCACTGTACAGTCGTCTGAGACAGAAGCCATCATTTGATGGTATACTGGATTCCATGAAACACAATTTACTGTCCTACTATGCCCTGTTAATGTTGCTATTGGTAGTTCTCTCTTGATATGCCACACATACACTTTAGTATCTGTGATGCAAGCAAAAAGTATATCTTACTTTATGATTGAACCAATAATACGCAATTCAGTTTAAGTAATTTAATGTACCTTCACTACCAGATGCAATGAAATCTTGATTTACACCACCAAAACAACTATGAATTGTAAAGTGTCCTTGTGTAACACCCTGGAAACGTCTTACTAAGCAGCTATCCTGTAGATCCCACAGATGTACACCCTGATTAGCCACATTTAGAAGTGCAAGTCGGTCCGTTTTATTTACACTAAATGACATCACCGGATGGTCTTCTTGTAATCTGTAATATTAAGTTTATATTTTTATGAATATCCCATCAATTAGATTCGACAGCTTACTAGTAAAAAATATTTATAATCTTACATTGTAAAGTCACATAAATCGTCAAAATTATATCCCCTAATTCGGTGATGCGAATCAGCAGCTAGAACAGTTTTACCATCACTTTTGCACCATAAACATTTTACTCTAACTCCTTCCCAAGATTCTGACACGTTCCCTTCTAAATCCTAAAATATTATATTTATATGTTGAATGTTTAAAATTGTTCTCGTTGCACAGCTAATGTTTCTTATATAATAAATTTTTTGATATGTTACAAATTGATAGAATTGTCCACGAAGTCCTCCAGCGACAAATTTACGTGAATCAGGGTACCAGGCGCAAGCCGTAAGCGAATCGTCAGTACTCTGGGTAACTGTTGCGCGTAATTCATAATGAGGTGGATCAATACTCCAAAGCCAAAGTTCTGGACAATCTTCAGGTCCACAGGCAATTAGAAGACTACTGTCAGGACTCCAAGCAATAAGTGCCACACCATAAGTATGACCTTCTAGTGTTTTCCTATAAGTTACTCTTAATGTTTCCTATTTTTATATGAGAAAATCATTAGTTCGATTAGGGGCACAAATTACTACTGTATTATCTGCGACGATTTACTTACAGGATCAACATCCCAAATGATTACAGTCATATCCTTGGAACCTGTGGCTAACTTAAGACCATCTGGTGAAAATTTACAATACCACACTTCGTCACAATGATTATTGAGCACCTGTATCGTATGGCACGGAAACTGTTCTTTGCTGCAGCTGTGGTCCACGAGCAGTGACACATTCTCTAAACTCGACTAATTTGCAATAGAAATTAATTATATTTGCATTAGTATGGAAAAGAAAGATTACACGCAGAAGGAGTCCACTGAATCATATTTTGTACTTAATATTCATAGAAAACTCATAAGTAATACATCTAAATTTATCTTAAAATAATTGAATCGTTTTATGTTGCATAAAATTGGATTAAAATGAAAATTGAATTTTTCTATTAAAATATAGTAAAACTTATTAAGTAAATAGTACCTGAGTTTGTGTTACATGGTATGTGCACTGTTGGTTTTGCATCTCTACAGCTTGGCACAGTAGAGAATGAAGACGACGCGGTGGTAACATAATGGAAGGTGGTAGGTATTTCTGTAGTCTATCCATTAAGGCAGCCCTTGATGTTGCACCTTTGCCATCCCAGCCCGCACGTGTCTGTTAACAAGTGTCTATTTGCTAGTGATCAAATTTTCAGTAGCAAGTTAGTTTCAGAATATTTTTATGCGTATACAAAATTTAATTTTTTTGAAAGCTCATTAGTAGTTGAATACTACTTTAATAAAATACATAACACATGTTACACTGTATGTCTTCCTGGAATATAACATTTTTAATGAAACATGTGGCAGTACCTGTAATTCATCGCGTCCACTGCACATCATAAATGCAGATAATTGGTGGACACGACCTGTGTTGTGACCTAAGGGTGTAAGTTCGTTGCGTAAAACTTGCAATGCTTCCAGGACCAATCCTTCTTCCAGGTATTCCAAGTACTTCTGTTCTAGTAATAAAAACTTCATTTCCTGTAATTGATGAGTATTAATGTAATAAATATATATGTTTACTATAGCACATGTTTAATATTACTTATAAAATTTTATTATAAAGATCTTTACCACTAGACTCTGACTTGCACCATTTAAAAATGATTTCAATTCATTAAGGTCATGCTCTGCCTTTGTCCAGTCCCCATCCATGACATGCTGTCTAAATTTTGCAGCTGCTGGATGATCCAGCCTGCATCCTGACTCTTGCATAAGAAGATCTGCTGTACGACTGAAATTGACATTTTATTGTATCAATTATAAATAATTAAATATCTTTCAGAATAATGAAAAATATATTTGCTATCTATTTCTAATAAGAAATATAATCCTCTTCAATACAGGTAACCAACAAACTTGTTAAGAGAGCAGTACAAAATCTTAGTAATGTTATTGAAGATCAAGCTGAATATAATATACCATTGTGCTTTCTTGTTAATACAATTTATATTTGTAATCATGCATATAGTGCTTTTTTATATTGCCTACACCATTATAAAGCAAGTATAACTTGAAGATACTAGTGACTATATTTCAGGGTTCTATAATTAGCTTTCTCCCACCACACAGTATGCAGTCCAGATAGGTTGCAATACAATAGTTCTGATAAATGCGTATATACAAAGAACACTCAAGAAACAAAGGAACACTTAAGATCTCTTGTAAGAATAAGAATATTATCGTCAAAACACAAGTGTTGCATTAAATGTGGCACAGTAATGGTTTATTCACGAAGCGTGCATTGAACACCAAGGTTTTTAAAAGAAAAAATTCTCTTTGCTGTAAATCCTATAGATGTGAGGGTCAAACCAGAGAAATTACATACTCAAGTCCAACTGTCTTCAAATGTTGCCCAATGAGTCTCACAATGTCTTGATTAGTTTTGTCCATTATTTTTGGAGGTCCCATATTCTGATTCGTTTCCCCGTTCACACCATTGATGTCACTGTCCGATTCCGGTATTATGTTGCCATTCGCATGAGGGCCACCGGAATCAGCGGTACTCCCATTCTGCTGTAGTCCGGAGGAAATGCCACCATTTGAGGTCTGCTGTTGCATTACACTGTTATGCACACACATAGAAAATGTTACCTGCGAGAGCGATAACTACTTGTGATACTAACACATACACACAGTATTAATCGGTATGTTTTTATCTTGACATAAGGGTTGTAACTCTTGTATGATTCAAAAAATACATAAAACACTATGCCTTTACACGGATGATCTACTATTGAATGGGAGTGCATTGCAATATCAAAAACAAGAAAACTGTCTGAGAGATAGCACAAATGATTAGGAATCCGACGTCGGCACGTCTTGAGATTCTGAAAGGAAGATTATATATGTGGAAGCGTCATTACGAAGGGGGTAAGCCCCTTCGTGTGTTGACTACGCGGTGGTGACGACGTCTGAGGGACCTGGTTGCGTTACCGATAGTTTTCCATCTCGGGATCGGTGTGGTGCTCGTCCGCTGGTCGTAGGGTAGTCGGGAGAGAACTACGGGACCTTTTGCGCGGTGGCGGAGCGAGTCCACCGTCGTCCGACTCGCCGCTCGAGGCCAGGCTTATGCGCGTACCGCCCCGTTTTTCACACGATTATTGTCCCTAAGATCGTTGGTGGGGCTGGGGCTGGAGCACGCACGCAGCCACGGTTGCGTTCTACGGAAAACTCGTAGCCTCCCCCCTTTTTTTTCGCCACTTGTCTTCCCGATTAACGCGTGTACCGTTTATTCTGTCGGACTTTAATGCCCGACGATCAGAAAACGAAGAAAAACAGAATTCTTGTACGTCTGCCAAAACGGATACGAACAATGACTGCTACACAGCTGATACTTGTTTAGATCGTCGTTTACGTCACACTGTGATCTTCTTTGCAGATAGTTCCGCTGACTATGGCGCCCACTATGTCCGCTCACCGCACGTTTGCCTTTCTAAACCTGTAAAACCCGTTCAGTTCGGGCCTTCATCGTACGATGGTAGCACCTGCCCATTAAAACGACATTCAGCGGGTGTTTTGATTACTTATCAAGATTTTTTTTAATAAAGATTTACATATTAGCCGAATTACTTTCAATGAGCCGCGTTAAAGTAACACGATTATCTGTTTACGTATAGATTCTGAATGTTGAGTACAAAGCAGGAATATCATTTGCGATTTGTTGGCATTGTATAAATTAGCAAGGAATCTTACACTTATTTATATTAACTTTCTCTGGAATTTTTGCTCCTGTAATAGATTAAGTATAGTAATTGCTGTATTACATAGTATATGAGACATTTAAAATTATATATTCTTAACATTTAGTACATTAAAATGTATGTATATATTTATAGGATTATACAAAACATGCAATCAATGAATAAAACACAACAATACGACAAATAACATTATATAAACACTATGAAATATAATATAGATAAATAGAAGCGTAAGTGGTTCAAGAATTACTATTTTAAATAAAATTTACACAGTGCAGACAATTTATAATGGAAAATATAGTTTCTGCAATTGACCATATGTATCAGATGTATCAATATATAATCCATTACTTTTTCTCAAACTAAAATATTTATACTGAAGAATAGCATTGAAAAGAGGAAATTTAAAAAAAAAAGAAAGTGGCGGGAAGATGATTCGAATTTAAATTGTGTTACCAGTTTATTAAAATAAGCGATCGGTAATTTATTCATAGACCTAATAATAAAACTGTTATACAAGTAATATAAGAAAACAGTTTTACAATCGAATAGATACAAATCGCTGTATATTATGCTATCGGCGCGCTTCGATAGTTAATGCAGTTCGCGTGTAGCTTCGTGGGGTGCAAGTTGATTCCACTGTTAGGTTAGTTTGTCGACTATGGGAAGCCGGCGTGTGCCGCTAGTCAGTCACTCGCCGGCCGCCGGTGTAGTACGTTGTGCTGGTGTTTTCTGCGTTTGTACCTCTTCGTTTCACAGGATTGTGTCCTGAATATTTCAAACGAGCTTGCACGTTTCACGCTTTATCTGCGCTGCTGACGGATTTTCCTTTATTGAGAATGTCGCTCGCGATGCCGTTAAAACGGCCTTCCCGCGGTTCAAACGACGTGTGAGAATATAAAAGGGCCGAGAGAGAAAGGGAGACGAGGTATTCGTTTCGTCCGCGTCCATGATCACGTGAGATCGCGGGAGTCTCGTGTAAATCGGCGGCAAACGTGCGATCTGTGTTGTGCTGTGTATTTCATAGTATTCTCACTGAAAAGTGTTTATTCGTTACGACTACCTGTTGCGCGCCTAAAGCACGCCTCTTTGTGTTACGTTGGATTAACCGGATTACGTGCATCGTCGGGATGTTCTGTTCGTCGAGATAAATTATCGGAGACGTAAAGAAGAAGTAAGTACACCTCCATTTTTATGTTTTCGTTTCTCATGCGCACGCGACTTAAAAATGAATCACGCACCCTGGAGATAGAAATAAAGCCGTATGTACCGATAACTCCGTTTTCGTGATTTTCAACGATTGAGTTAATCGGCGACATATTTGAAATTGACGACATTCTGGAAAACCACGAACAGTGAAACTCAAACGTTTGACAGGTTGCTTCTCGATTGCCTTTGAATCGAACGTTTCTGTCGAATCACGAAACGTTGTGTCGTAGCGATGATTCTTAAAAATTGCAACTTTTTGTGGTCTATGATATTTTTACCATATTATCGATGATTCACGTAGTATTCTAACGTCGAGTAACGTTTCCACGCGTACTAAAATATGCCAATGGAATTTACGCGCGGATTCTACGATGATTTTATGCTTCTTAGATATTCTATCGCTGATCACATTTTCTAGGTTATTGATATTTTTAGAAGAAATATTTTATTTCAATGGTGATGAATAACCATGACCAAAGATGCTTTTGAAACGCTGCCTACTCGTTACGGGCTTTCTATTCGCCTTTCTTTGCCTTTTCTGGCAAAAAGTGTTAATGACCTCTCCTTGCTACCCAAGCCCCGCTCGGATGGGTTCCTAAGAGCCGAAATAATAGCATTATTGCGAACGGCTTCTACCCATGGGAAAAGAGTCGCATGCGTGTGCGATATTCGCGCGTAAAGAATCCTACGTGACGGACGTATGCTTTTAGATACGTGTGCATCCGTGTATGCACATTTCGACGGCCACCGTACGACAGTACGTCGCCGAGTGGAATGAGCCGCGCGACTGTAGTGCGACGAAGAGGGTTTACCGGGTCGGGTGGAAGGGTGCGGGTGGTCGAGGGGTAGGGTGAACCGTGGGGAGCGATGGGTATTCAATTCTCTCTGGCACATTTTTTCGCGATTTAATTATAAAAAACAATTCATACCTTCTCAAATAATACTTGGATTACTCCGAAAACCTGTGGTGATGTTTTTCTCTAACTTTATAAGTCTATACAGTCTAAAAGCTTGGAGGATATAAAGGGAGAACAAAAATGACAAGTACACGTATGAGTCTCGAGATATGCAATGGAAATAAGTATTTTTTTTTACCCACATCGGAGTAATAGACGCGTTAAGATTGCTTGGTACACTGAAACTTGCCTTTTACACCACAATCACAATGAAAAGCTTTATATTGACGCATATTACAGGGTATTTCATAACACGTGGCATCTACTTTAGCATTAACAATGAAATTTCATGTAAATATTTACCTTTGTTGACCTTGTTGTTAAATTAAGCAATCGGAAATGATTTAATAAACTGTTTATACACAATGAGAGTGTATACATCTTACTGGAATACAACAATGTATTATGTTCTCCGTGCATTATTCAATTGGGTTTCACGTGTTTTGTGAAATACTCTATTTTCGGAAATCTGTATTTCTTTTATATGTGTAACGTAGTCGCATTATCATTATAAATATTTGAACGCGTCGTGATATTCGAGATTTAAGGCTGTATCGAAGAATCCGTTGAATTCCTCAAGGACTCTCAATTTCGAATAATATTCGAAGTATTTCGATGCGTCTCGAGTCCATCACTGGCCGCGGCCCGCGGGACGGGAAGAGGTTGTCCGTGGGGAGAGGGCACATTCCACAGTGGATGCGCATGCGCGCATTCTGACTCGCGGCACCCGCGCATTCGACCGCGTGTAGCCAGTGTTGTTGAGGTTAGCTTTTTCTGCTTTATATCTGGAAAAAGTAATCTCGGTGCGGAACGTGAACCGCATCTGAGTACACCATCGGGATTAGGTAAGCAGCGTGTACATATTTTGGCAATAATTCTCGCGAAATGCAAGTCCTTACCTATTCCGTGTATGTGATTACATTCCATCATTACGGTACAGTGCAATATACATATACGTACTCTATGCACATAAGGGAATAAATTTCTTTTCATTAAATTTACAATTAACACCATTAATGAGCTTACGTTACGAGTACTGAGCAAATAACGATTAAATCGACTACTCATAAAGTCAGTATAAGAACATTCAAATTTGAATTTAAGTAAAACGGACTTTGACGTCAGAGGTTGACAGTTTACGTCCCTTGACTATCTAGTATTAAGAAGGAAACCCGTATTGGGATAGCGTTCGAGAAGGAAGCATTTTCATATAAAGTTTTATGATTCCTTCGTATGTTCCTGCGTTAAAGGAGAGCCTCTCTCGATCTCTACGTATCAGTCGCCGTGATCCCCCGGGCGAGAATTCCAACGCTACGACTTTGTATGTTCTTTTCTATGTGGTTTATGTACGTGGCGAGAATGCCCGTCCTTTCCGATGCGTTGGAACTCCTCCGGGCGTTCGTCGTGCGCAACCGTAATAGTACAGAAATGCCTGATTGTAGGCGCACAGAACGGTTCCCCGACACGGCGCGCTTCTCCTCAACTTTGGTTCGCCGTGCTGAATGTTAATACGTAGGAAACGGTAGCCGGCGACTATCACCGGCCATTATACAGTTGTAAAGCGGTTTAATACAGGAAAATATCGTTCCAGCCTCGATCGTGTGTACATGTTAAAGCCCCGTCATGGTAATACTACTCGATACTTATACTAGTTGATACTTATATCGTTAAAAGAAAGGCAGAAATGACGAACATACAGATTCCTCTCGATGATCGTCTGGCTTGTTCTACACGATTATTGTCCAGGCGTTATCCCCACCACTGGGGGGGGGCATGGTCCATTTACACTAAATCTTCGATGAGTGTTCGAAGGCTCCTGGGCGCTGACAAGGAGAGGTCGCCAGGTGTAACCTTGACTTTTCAATCAGGTTTAGTGATAGATCTTGGAATTCTGAAGTCAATGATATTTGTTTCAGCCGCATATGGCCATTAGTTTATCAAATATTTAACGCTCAGTGCCAAAGACCGTTTGAACATTCATCAAGGATTTACTGTAGTCAGACAAAGTTTGGGGGTCAGATTTATCGGTTAAGAAGCATTTATTTTTCGTTTCGGTTTCCACGTGTAATATATACGGTCTGAAAATTTTCTGTAAATTTTTACAATAACATTCTAGAATCACCCTCCGTATACCCTTGTTCGTATATTTCGCGTAGCCGCCCGTAGGTATGCAAAAAAGACACAAGGGGACGTCAGGTTCGTTCGTTCCGTGTACAACCGCACGACGACGACGGTGCCTGCGTGCGTGACCAAGTGTTCACGATATCGTAAGTTATTGCTCCCCCGTGTCATACCGGCCCCGCCGCGTAGGCACCGCATCTCTCGCACCCTCGCCTCTCGCCATGTACTTTTGTATGTTTGTCCCGCGTAAATATTCGCCGGTGTGCAAAATACCTTTCGAGGCTGCGCTGGAGGCCGCTGCGCTCAGGGCAAATAATATCCGGGCGTCTCTCTCTTCAGCTGACATTCGAGAGGACGTCCAAAGACCTTTGGCTGCGCAGCGTCGTATTTTCC